AGACATTATTGGTGTAAAAAAAAATTATATTATCAAATAATTAAAATATTTTGTGAATATAATTTTTATATTGATTATTATAAAAATGTTATTTTTTATATAATTTATTATTAATAATAGTGTAAAAAAATTTATACTATGACATGACAACAAAATCATCATTTAGTGACTATATTTAATAACTGAAAATTTTTTGTCACTATAGTGACTAATTTAGAGACTGAATATATTATTAATAAGGATAATTATGTTTTATTTTTAACTATCGAAATAGAGACTGATTTTCTTAAAAATTTAGTAACTGATTTATCTGTCTCTATTAATGACTAATTTAGAGACCAAATACATTATTAATAATAACAATTATGTTTTGTCTTTTAGCGACAGAAATAGAGACTGATTTTTTTAAAAATTTAGTGACCAATTTATCTGTCTCTATTTGTGACCAACTTAGAGACGAATACATTATTAAATAATAACAGTTATGTTTTATCCTTTAGTAACCAAAATAAAGACGGATTTTTTTTTAAAATTTAGCAACCGATTTATGTCTTTATTAGTGACCAATTTAGAGACTGATTTAAGATAAATTTAAAAAATATTATTAAATTTTATTTACTAACAAATATAATTTTTATTTTATATTTCATAATTTATTAATTGAAATTAGTTATATAATTTTTTTTGTTAATTAATAAAATCACACTGATTTTATTTATTTTCTTAAAAAGACTTATTTTTCTATTTTATTTTATCAACATATCAATCTTAATTTTTAATAAAAAAATTTTAATTTGTGAATTATTTCACTTAATAAAAAGTCATATATTAAATTTTTTATTGATACAAAAAATGTTAAAAAATTAAAATAAAAAATTTCTTTAAAAACTCATGTTATTTTTATAAATATATTAGTTTATTTATTATTGTATTGAATAAATTATTATAATAAAATGAATGATTTAATATATACAATTTTAACTAAAAGTAAGATAACTAATTCAACAAAAATAATAAAAAAACATGTAATTAATATAGTATAATGTATCAATCAAATATTTTAATACAATTAATCAATAAAAAATGAAGTAATTATTATTTTTTAAATTTTAAATTTCATAAATGAGTTTTTTTATTACTATTTTAATTTTATTTTTGTAATTGTATTATTTCAATATCCAATAAAATAGAACAAAATTATAATTAAAATTATATAAGTAATAATTTTCTATTAAATGAAATCAAAATAAATAAAATATCAAATTTAATCTTTTGATTTTATTTCTCTCTAAATACCTATTTAATAAGCTTAGATAATCAGTTTGTTTAGTATAAAAATTGTAAAATATTTCAAATTGCAAAAACACAGTAACACTTCTTAAATTATATTTTTATTTTAAATTTTAAATTAAGATAGTATATCCATATATCCAAATCAAAATTTTAAATTAAAATGTGTATTATAATATTGAAAGAAAAATGAGTTAAAGAATTTGTTTTATTATTATTTTTAGATAAAAATTATAAATTAATTTAGTTTTTACTCTTATTATTTTAATGTTATCTTAAAATTTTCATTTGTTCATAGATCTAATTATATAGAACAAAAATATACATTTATAAAATAGAACTTTCAAACTTAATTTTAGTATAATTACAAAATACAAAAATTATTCAAACAAAATTTAAAAAATTAGTAATTTATAATTAATAATATTAAATTAATTAAAAAATAGGGTAAGAAAAATATTAAAAAAGTAAAATTTATAATTTTAGATGATTTATTATTTAAATAATTATAATAAAATAAAATAGTATAATAATTATATAAAATAAAATATTTTGTTACTTATTAGCCGGAACACTATGTCCCAAAACTTGAATCCTTTATCCTGTTATCTACTTTTATCAACATTCAATCTTTATTAGTAATAGGAGTTTGCGGTTGTTGGGAAGTGAGTTTGCTTAGGTATCCTAACCAGAATTCAATATTTCCTCTCTTGAATCTGGCTTTAAATTCAATTGCAGCTATTCCACATAATCCCTTCACTTTTAATTTTTTCCTTCCTCATCAATCACCCAAGTTTTAATTTATTTCATTACCTTTCTATTTGTTTAAATGTTTTTATTAGTCGCTAAATCTGTCATTAAGCATTAGCTACCATACATTTAGCGACCCAACATTATTAGTCAGAAAATCAATTACTAATTAGTTTAGCGACTGCAAATTTTTTATTAATGACTGAAAAATCAAACACAAATAAATATTTTTCTTGTAGTATGACTAAATTAAAATCTCATGATATATGTACGAGTTTTTTTTTAACTAAACATGAAAAAATAAAATTGATAAATAAAGAAAAGTGCTAATTTACATGTTTGGTCTAAATTGTTTAAGAAGATATTTTTAAAAAAATTAAAATTCTTGAGAAGTTTTATAATTATACTTTTGAAAAAAAACGATTATCTAACATTCTAAGATAAAGTCAAACATATTTATAATATTTTTAAAAATCACAATTCTCAGAAAGTACAATTTTTAATAAATGGAATATAAAACAATTTACATACCACATGTCTACTTGAAGGTTGGTACACATACCAGTGATCAGCATTCGTCAAATATTAGTCTCCATGAATTTGTGTGGATATCATAGGTCCATTAACTGTTCCATGATCCAAGACAATTAGATTCGGATCATGTCAAATGTAATTTTAAATCTATTAATTGAAATATATTATTTAATAAAATTTAATAGCACATCAAGATTAATTAAGAAAATGACACAATATGCTATCACTCCATTAACTGTTCCATGATCCAAGACAATTAGATGAGGATCATGTCAAATGTAATTTTAAATCTATTAATTGAAATATATTATTTAATAAAATTTAATAGCACATTAAGATTAATTAAGAAAATGACACAATATGCTATCAACTGTGATTCCAATTTCATGATCCAATACGTGCATTGATAAGACTATAACTACTCCATTCTGTGGTTCGTATCAGGTCATTTCTTTATTAATATATTTTTGAAGATATAATATTTAATATAATTTTAATTATTAATGAAATTTTATTAAAAAATATATGTCTCACTCTTAATTTAATAACTCTCATTTATAATTTATTAATTTTCATTTATATTTTTATCATTTTCAATAACTATTAACTAATAAAAAAAACATGTTAATTATACTTAAACTTTTATGATTTTCAAAAAATATGTGTTATTAAAAAGAAAAGCAAATACAATCGATCATAACTTTAAGGATGGTCAAATAAAATAAAATATTGTATTTCAAAAATTATAAATTTAAATTTTTACTATTTTTGTTAAAATGGGACAGATATAGCTCATGTAAATACTTCGAGCTTTACTTTTCTTACCTTCAAATGAAACGTAATTTCCTCTTCTAAAAAATATATTTAAATATTAATTAATTATATATATATATATATTGCTTGATAATTCTTTAATAATTTAAAGACTTGATTATATTATTTTATTATTATGCGTACAATTTTAAAATCTAAATTTTTTTAATTGATTAAATGTCATTATTTTTAAAGTTTGATAAACTCATTTTTTATTTTTTTTTATCTAAAATACTTAAACTATTATTTATACTCAAACTTTTAATAAACTAAATCAATTTATTTGTTTTAATTTTTCTTTTCTTCCAAACACACTAATCCAAACTTCAATTAACATATAGAATTTTTTTAAAAAAAACTTCAAACTCTAATCTTACATTTATTTATTTTTTAAATTTTATCAATATTTCACTAAATTTTATACTGGTAAACTGATAATTTTATTCTATATACTGAAGTTTATCATTAAATATTCAAATATTCAAACCAAAAATAAAGTTAATAATAAACTAAATTTACATAATTCTAAAAATAAAAAAAATAATCTTAATTGACTAAACAACTTAAAAAAATTTAAATCACACGTACGTAAATCAAACTAAAAAATTATTAATAATGCAATTAAATAAAATTCAAAACAACAAATATATTAAACTGTTATTCCTTTCACCAATTTCTTCAACTATAGCTTAGTAAGAACATAGTTTCATGATTCATTAAATAATAACGTAACAAATGTATAATTGGCATGTGACTTGATGATGTTAAACTATCACTTAACAAAATCAACAGTACAAAATAAATAAAAAATGACGTGCCAATTTTAAAAAATAACTTTCTATCAGAAATTTTGTTTTGCACTTTATAATAATGAGAGATCGATTTACATATTTAAACCTTGGAGACTATTTTAAACATAAGTGAAACATTAAGAGGGTAATGCCCATTTTTTTCTTATAGTTATGTAAAAGTATGATATATTAAATGGCATTTTACGTACCCGTGTCGATATATATTTTTCTAATTTTCTCTATTTATAATTAGTGTGTGCGTAACATATATTTTTAAGCTTATTAAAAATGAAGTAATTTAATTGTTGCTATTTAAATAAGAAATTAGAATAACTATAAAAAATTTGAAAAGGTTTAAAGATAATAAAATTTATGAATAAGCAAAGCATCTAAATCTGAACTTCAATTTCTCTTAAAATTTCACACAACTGTAGCATTAACATATATTACAAATAAAAATAGCACCTTTATAAAAATAAATGTTCAACTTTATTATTCATATATAACAACAGTACATGAGTCGGAATACATTACTATCACGCACACATCAAATATCACAAATCACCATGTAAACACTTATCTCTTCCCACGGTGATTCATTATTTTTCTTCTTGTTAATTTATTTTCCATTGTAACATGTGACCCCACTCTTATCTTTTTGTCATATTCCTTAAAATCCAAAGAAAAGGTGGTCAAACTCATTCAATCTGCAATGCTACTTTTCTCCCAACGCAACCAATTATACTATGAAATATTTCAAATTAAAATTAAAACGAGACAACATTGAAGTTCAAGATTCTAGCTTTTGATCTGATCTATAATTTAGTTTTTAGTAGCAACATTTCTTGCTGCTTCCAGCATCATCTCCAGAGAAGTTTCGAAAGATGACTTGAGTTGGCGTTCATCTATGAACTCTTTCTCTACTCCAAACCCAACTCGTATACATCCCACGTAACTTGTTATAGTCACCGTAATACTCTGTAAATTCATTAACAAAAAAGAAAAAAAAATTGCCATATTAGTGAATAGGACGTATAATTTAGAAAACTTTATGCACACATGTAATAGTTTACAAGTGCTTAATCATGCATTAAATGCTAGTTGAATAATAGCACAAATTGAAAAGATTAAACACACTGGTATAAAACTTTGTTATCTAAAAGAACTTCTCTGCGAAGCATACACTCAAAGCTTGGAAAGGAAAATTGGCAGCTCAACCAGCTCTCTCCTGAAGGGAAAAAAATTCTTAACAGAAGTTATGTGAAAAAAATAAGGGTAAATTATATTTTATTCCCTTATAATATTACAAATTCCCATAGTACCTCGTTTTTTTATTAAATTTTCTTATAATTTTTTTTGTCACTTAAACCTTTTATAATATCATTTAGTCTCGTAAGAAAATTTATTGGCAGAAAAGAATAAAAGAAAAAGATAAATTTAGAAAGTATAAAATTATAAAAGAGTAAGATGTAATTTATCTTTAAAATAATATATTTTGTGCCATTGTAATATTTACTAAAAAAATATTATTTGATGAATATATAACTTACATGGACATGGTTTATACAATAATCAATCCCTTAGAGGATGATGAAGAGGCGTTACTCGATCTTTTAATTGAACCAGGCCTACACCGTGAAATTACATTTGAATATTTATAATTTTCACTAGACATTTTAGAATTTTTCATTTTTCAAAATGTTTCAGTCATTTTCTAAAAGTATGAAAATTTGAAAATAATGTTTATAATTTTTTTTGTAAAATATATATTTTTCACTTAAAAATACAAAAATCATATGGAGAGGAGGGAGGAGAGTTAAAAAGAAACATGAAGATTTATCTTCTAATACAATTACTGTTGTAAGGGAATTATTAAAAAATTAATGCTTAAAGAGGTGTCAGTAAATAAAGGAAATTACTATTGTTCTCACTGGCATGATTATGAACATGAATGAGATCCATGTACCATAAAAGAAAAGAGAACACACACCTGCGATAAACCAACGGTCATAAAGTATATGCCTTTGATAGGATGATTAACCAAAGCCACTTGATCCACTGGTCCAACCATGTGTGAGATGCTTAAACTTGTATTATTCAATGTCTTGAATACGTGTTTTGCTGCAGCCTGCAATACCAAAGTAAATAACACCAAACAAGGACAAATTTTTTGTTAGTGTAATTTTTATGTTCAACGTTGTATTTGCTTTATTAAGTTTTTGAAAACTAGAGTTAATTAGTTTAGTAAAATCTCTAGTAATTAAAAAAAGAAGACGATGATTCTACAAACCTCTGGGCCATTGATTTGGTTCACCAAGCGCAAAAGCAAGTCAGTTAGTGGTACTTCAGCCAAAGAATTTCTTTTCCTAGTGATACTTTTGTTGGCTTCTGACACAAACTCAAGTGGGTTTAAAGAACGAGCATCACTTAATTTGGGAATTGGAACATGCATGAAGTGGAATCGATTCCCCCATGGAGCCTCGTTGGTATGAAGCATCTCCTTCACTGGTTTGTAAGCTCTGATTTTTCTAGTATTCAGCAGCACCAATGCTGTAGCCTTTGCTTTGCTTGATTTATGGTTCATTGCTCCCATGTATAGTTGAATAGCCAAGAAAATTACACCAACCAAGACATCATTTACGCTCTACAATCAGACAAAAATAAGGTAAGATCTTTATATCAAATATTTTTATTATTATTAGCTTGACTTGTACATTTTTTAAAAATTCTTTAATTTCTTTTATGCTTGACTTTTTTTTTATTTAACGCTTTTGTATTTTTTTAATATATCCAATTAAAATATACATAGGTTATTTAATGTTAATGTATTTTACTTAAAAACAACGAGAAATGCTAACAATATATCTTTTAATGTAATTTTTTAAAATTTTAATTATTGATTAAAATTAAGTAAATTATATAAATTTCACCCTTTCATTCTTAATTTAATATTTTCTCTTATATTTTTATCTTTTAATAAATTTTAATTAACAATTAAAAATGTTTTATTAAGACTGTGTTAAGAAAATGTTTGTAAAAGCAAAACAAATCACCGTTCTAAATGAAATTTTCAAGCTAGTTCCATTCAAATGCAGCAAAAACTAATGAATGAACGTACCACATTCAACTTATGTTTGACTTCTTTGATGGCTTCCAAAGAGAGAGAAACATTTGAGATAGCCATAGGCCGAAACCCAACATCTTTACGCCCTGACCTTATTGGTGTTTGATCATCTGCAATCAAGCTATCTTTTAACACATTCCACCCAAAATCAAATACACTCTTACATACCATAGACACTGTTTGAGGTAACATTTTTAGCTTGGTTATTGTGGTACTTTTTGATTTCACTGAACTTGGCCTTGAAGGAAATTTTACGGGAATAGAAGGATTGTTAGCATTTTGTACACATGAAAGCAACGTTGTCATGAAAGAGTAGCCATCTCCAAGTGCATGATGGAGCTTAAATATAAATGTTCCAGCGGCATTACTCGTTGGATACTTAATTATATGCATTTCCCAAAGTGGTTTATAAAGTGATAACTGTTCCATAGCTATTTTTGACATGTATTGATCAAGGTACTCATCATATAATTTAAGTGGCGTGATGGTTGTAAATGTGGGAGTCTTGATGTGTTCTTTGAGATTAACATGAACTTCTTTCCATCCCTTCTTTCCTTTCTTGTCCACAACCTGTTCAAATTCAGTAAAGAAATGGTATGATTTAGAACATACCCACTTAACAAGAATTCACCATTATATTAAGAATTTACCAAGACAGAAGAGAAGCGCCTGCTGATGGGAAGGAACATGTCCTCAAGCAAAGGCATGACTCTTGAGTCATCAATTGGAATCTCAGATTCCATAACACCAAGAACGAATACATTTATCACAGAGCTGCTAAAGTAATCCGCCATAGGACTTAGAGGCATTGAAACATCCTCCTCAAATTGATTCATTTTCTTTTTTTTGCTAATTCGTCTGCAAAACAAGGAAGGCGCGAGTCTTTTCCTCAGGTAAGCGATCGTATTTATAAGCCTTATTTATGAAAAATAATTTTTTTAATTGCTTGTCACTGTACTAATAAATCCAAAAGGGCTTATATTTTTTTTAAAATATCTCAAATATTAACTAATATTTATGCTCCCTATGTATCATTTAAAGGATTTTATACAAATTAAAAAATTCAATTAATTTTTTTATTTTTAATTTTAATTTTTTATTATATCTCTATTATTTATTGACTGATTAATAACATATGATATTATAAATTTTAAATGTCACCTACCAGTTTATAATAATGTTAAAACTTAAAATTTATTCTATTATTCTAATTATCAAAGAGAGAAAAAAGCAAAACGTTTCATTAATGTCAAAATAAGTGAAAACAAAACGTTATTTTTTCCAATAAACAAAAACACATAAATATAGAATATTAAAAAAAATTCATTATATGACTATACATTAAAAATTTTAATTGCTATTATTAAGAATTATTATTATACAACGATTAATTAAATATAGACAATTGTTTAAAGAATATTTTGAATAAAAATAAGTTAATGCAATAATGCGTTGTTGAGAGACTAAAACGCTAAATATTATAGAACTTTTTTTTTTCTTTTCAAAACGTCACTTATTAAAAAACAGAAAAAGTATTTTTTAAGATCACTAACATTCACTTTTTCTCTTTATTATACGTATTTAATATAATATTAATAGTTATAATTATTCTGCATAAAAGTAGTAAAAAAGTATAGAACACACTTTTAATTTGTAAAACCATAAAAATTATATATTTTTTTTTAAATTTCACAAAACAACACTTCTCTAGCATTACTTTAAAATTATTATTTTGAATATATATATATATATATATATATAATTTGTATTAATAATATTACATGTTATACTTTTAATATTCTTTTAATTATTATCTTAAAACAATATTAATGAAACTGTTAAAAACGCATATTAAATAAGTGTACATGAATTAATTAATTAAATGTCTAGTCGAAACCTAATTTTGAAAAATTGTCTGGTCAACTGCCTCAACTTTGTCGCACATCCCAAACGTATCGCATCTTATCCAATCGAGAACACGTTTTAAGAAAGAAAAGAAAAACTTTGCATGTACCATTTGTGACTACCCGAGAGGGATGTTTCTAAGATCTTTCTGTTGCTATAAAAAATGTTAAAAATTAAATTTCCGGTATAAATAATTTACTTGAATATTTCATTTTTTAAAAAAGGGTTAAATTTACTAAATCTATAATAATATAATATTATAAATATATTTAAAATTTGATACAAGATCAGTTTAACTTGTTTAAGAGTTCTTAGGCTGTAAACTCCGTTAATTAAAAAAAAAGAGAGAGAAAGAAAGAGATACCGGTTTAAGAGAGAGGATGCTAACGCATATGTTTTAGCTCTCCTCCATTTTCAAGATTTCAATTTCCACGCACATCTGTGTATACATGGGAAAAAATAATATTACATTAATATAAATTATATTCACTATTAAATTATTTAATAATTTAATTCTAAATTTAAAAGTTTTAATATCATAAATCATATTTACAAGATTTTAGATTAATTTAAAATTATTTAATTCCTTATTCATATTTATTATATACTTTTAAAATATATAAAAATAAATATCATTTAAAAATATTTTTATATTTATTCAATTTTGATAAACTTTGGCACAAATAATTTAAGTAATTAATAATTATAATTTAACAATTAAATTAATAATTATTTTTTATATTTCGTTTATTGACGGTGTAAAAATATAAATCAATGTAATTTGAATATATAATACATACTTTATATTGTAAAGATAGAACTCTTATTTGTTTTTTTTTTTTTTAAAAAAAAACTCTTATTACTTAGCTTCTTAAAAAACTATCTTATTTAGACTTGCATTTAGGTTAAGTCGACTGAACGATATAATTTTAAATTTTTTTTATACATGTTATTTTTCATGATAATTTTTAAAGTTAAAAATGTTCTATTATTAGTATTTAGCTATAAATAGTTAAGTTTTAAAATAAAAAAGTTAAGCTTGTTTGTATATATTTTTATATTTGTTAATCATTTCTTTTATTTTACTGTATCTGTAGCAATTTTTCATTACTAATATTTATTAGAGAGATTAATATATACTATTTTGGTTTTTTCTTAGCATAAACATATAATGTAGACTAATTTTAAAAATCTGTTAATAATTTGTTTAGTATCTCAGAAACAATTTTTTATTTTAAATACTTCTTAGGATCTTGATATATTCTATTTTAATATTTTTTTAACATACACTGTGGAGTATTTTTATATAAAATTTTTATTTTAATATAAATTGTACAATATCTTTAAAATATTATATCTACAATTTTTTTATATTTAAAAATGATAAACGTGTGGAATTTATAATACCTATTATAAAATTTATTTTTGTATTTTAAAATATATATGCAATACAAATTAGTGCATTGCACAAGTTATCACGCTAGTTTAATACATTGTTAACTGAAAATTAATGTTGAGTGGCAATATTATTAAATAAATAATAAATATTTTTAGTGCAAATATATATATATATATATATATATATATATATATATATATATATATATATATCGACATGCAAGAGATGTAACTTTTATAGCCTGTATATATGATAAATTATTATTGAATGATTTGTGACCACTCCTTATCCATGATCTGAGTCAATCATCTTGTAATATGAAGTAGAATTTTAATAATTTGTTTCTTATTAATTAAAAATATAACCACATGCTATGTAATAAGTTGTTAAAATGTGATCCTTGTGTAATATGTATTGGCTTGTGACTATGTTATTCTGCTTTTAAGGGTCGGTTTGTTAATTAGGATGAGATAATTATTATATATGTTATTAATCAAGGATTTGTAATTAATTTATCACATTACTTATGAATTAAAAGAGAAATGAAATGATAACAATTTTTTTTCTTTCCTCTCTCTTCTCTTTTTTATTCTCTCCTTTTTCTCTTTCTTTCTTGTCTCTATTTTTATATATTTTTAATATATTATAAATTTAAAAAAAATATTAAATTATTTATATGTTTTCTATAAATTAAAAATAAAATAATTTATAAAAAGTAAAAAATTAAAATTTTATTTAAAATAAACAAAAGAGTAATTTTATTATTTTTTACATATTTATGTCATATCTTCTCTTAAATTTATATCAAACATTAAATATGATAAAAATTTATTATGCTTTTATCTCATCATCTTCTTGTCTAACTCTTATCATATTCATCCTAATTCTATTATGCCACCCTACTTATTAATTGTTCTACCTAGTTTGACTCAAAAGAGGCCTAAATATTTATGGAAGAATACAAGAAAAGCACTACAATGAAACCATATCATGGAGATTCATCAAGGCTAAGCTATTAACCCTTGTCAAGTTGGAATATCACAGTGACATTCATTTATAACCTGTACAAAGAAACTATGAAAAGAGAAGTTGGCGTCTTAATAATGGAAAATTTGAGCAATGAAAAATCCAATTTTCACCGCTGTTCGTGAATATACAAAGGAACAACATAAACTATTATCGATGGCGTTCCAACAAGAAATAACATTCATGATTTTCTTAAGCAACAATATTAACATTATTTGCAAAATTCTTGATATGTCCACCTCATTTCCAATTATTTTTGGCTTGTCTAATTAATCCCCAACCTTTTAATTGTAACAGCAAGGGTGAGTTTTCAATACACTTAATTCTGCAAAATTAACGTGGAAAACACATGCAGAAGTTTTCAATACACTTAATTTTACGCAAAAAGAAAAACTCAACCTTGAAACTAATTTCACCTCTATTTTCAAACCCATTCCAAACATACCACAAAAAAGTTATTACCCCAATATAAATACTTCTCATATTCTAAAGTAAAGTCTAAAACATGAAAGGAAGAAAGAAAGAACAAATGTTACTTAAATTGCTCAGTCTGTAGATCTAGCACAATGGGTAATGGCACTACAGCCACGGCGATATGGATTAGCCTTTCCACGATTTTGACAATCATAGTAAGAATTTCCACGACGATTACATGGGGCACTGTCCTTTTTCAGAGCATCATAGCTTATGTACCTTCCGTTTTGAGCTAAGTTTCTTCTACTAATAGAAGACCCCATTGCCATTTCCTCTTCATGAGAACACTCTCCCAACAACCCATTGCATATCGGCGGTAGAGGAATACTTGAAAATTGTTTACGTCCCATATGCAAAATGGTGTGTGATTCCGATGACTTAGACACCATGGCCAATGTCATGGCAAAGAAAATTATCAAAACGAAATTACCCATGTACTAGAAGAATAATGATCTTGAGTTTAGAGATAGGTAAATGAGGGTGATGACTAATGAGAGCAATAGGCAATTTACTCAATTTAGATCTAACTTGTTTTAAGGTTGGCGTAACTTGTGTTATGTTATGTCCGTTTATTGCTCCCTATGTCATGACTTGAATAAGAAATCAAGTTTGAAAATAGTTAATTAGGTTAGTTTTAGTCTCTCAGTCAAATTCTCATACTATATAAGATGAGATCCAAACTAACTCAGAAATATTAGGGATTCCGTTTTAAGTTCTGTTATATATATAATGTAATTTAAAAATAGATGCCTTTATCTTCAAGTTGCTTGTATCAAACCCCAGAATATAGAACGAGTAGTGAGTTTCTGCGATGACAAGAACACAATTCAGTAAGTTGAAATATACAATTATCATAATAAAAAAGTTTATTATTGCATATTTTTATTATTTTATTTGGTTCAATTTTTATTATAAGATAGATAATCGTATTTAAATTGGGAATATCCATAATAAAATAAAACTAACCTTTTTGGGAATGATTGTTTTATGCATAAACTTTTGAATATGATCGAAACATTAAATGAAATTATACATATATTTACATGAACGCACAACCATTAATAAACGTAGAAGTCATCAAAGTAAATGTTAGTGTGTACACAACCTTTTCAAGTAAAAGATGAAAAATATAGACTAAAAGAAAATTACAGAAAAGTATAAAGGATACAATAATAAAAATAATTGATTCCAAAAAATTAACTTAAACTTTAATTAAAACAAAAATTTTAAAAATAGTAAATGCTATTCTTTACAATATTGTAAATTAAGACATTATACCACTTTTAAGAAAAATAGACTATGCTATAATAATATGTAGAGATAGACAACGAATTAAGCAAATTCCTTATATGGTATTTGAAAGTTTTTTTTCCTCTTAAACTACCTCTTAATGGTTGCTAATATCCTTAGATACCTTCTAATTCCGGACACACAAATCCTTCTCAATAGTATTTTACTTTTCTTTTATTAATTAGTTTTTTGTGCAAAATTTTTTATAAAAAAAAACCCATTACAAAATTTATCGACGGGGCCATCACAATACACTAAAACCAAAAAATAACAATCTCAACAAGGAATAGATGCCCATGCAAAAATTCTCCAGAAACCAAATGGATCCACATCCACCATAAAAGGCCCATTAGCAACAAAACTAAACAAAGCAACTGAAGAACAAAACCACTACAAAAAAAGTGCAAAAGGCAACTCTTACTACAATCCTGGGCTTCAGTTTTTTGGGTTTTCTCATCGGATAAGTGACTAGCTACTTATTTTTTTCTCTTATATTTATGATCACATTTTAATAAGTCTATTTAAGGACAGAAAAAAGAAAAGCCCATCCTTACTTTATCTGGGAATTTTGGGGGGAAATTAAAACAAAAATATTAAAGTGGTGTAAAAAGAATATATATATATATATATATATATATATATATATATATATATTGCTAGGTAGATTGATTAACAGATAAAGTTGAAAAATAAAACTGTTCATTTATTCTAAGAAAGATTGACAATGAGAGATATATGAAAATGGATTCTTATTCTCTCTTCTTAACGCTATCAGACAACGACATATAAACAAACGAATTACGTGCCTTATTGTTTGTTTCATTTGGAATGATGAATATTTAGAGAATAACTACATTTCAATTGAAGCATATCGTAGACCGATGCTATTTTTCTACGTCTTTCCATTCTTTTTTATCCTAAACGTAATACTGCTTTTATTTATGAGAAATTATTATTATTATTATTTAAGTATAACAATATTTTTTAAAATGTATTATTTTTATATTATTATTTATTATAAAATTTGTGTTAAGAAATTACTTTTATTTAAAAAATTGGATTTATTTATTTATTTAATGTATATAACGAACCAATTTATTATTTAAGATTATAAATTTTTATAATATAATATAAATTTATATTATATAACTACTTTTTCTTAATTTTAATAAATAAAATATTTATTTTTTATAAATAGAAAAAATAGCGAACAAATAAAGTTTTTATTGTATCACAGAATTTTAGCTCTGGCCACATCATCGTAATTTGTTGGGATGCTTAAATGATTTTTTTAACCTTATAAGTTGTTGATCTTTTAATTAATAGAAGCACGTTATGTGATATTATTATAATAAGATTCTATTATGAACTGTGTCGTTATCTATTAAATAATTGCAATTCAATTATTTCAACAAGCCTAATTGTTAACATATCATGAAAAAATATAAAAATAAAATAAAAGAAAAGGTTAAATAATGCGATTAATTTAAAATTACGAATTTAAGTTTTAATTTATATTTTAAAATATCAATATTTTATTAAAAATAAAATCAAAATACATCAAGTTTTAATAAACTTATAAGTATTAAATTTATAATAAATTATAATAGAATAGATGAATTTAATTAAATACTCTTTTATTGTTAATTTATTTTGAAGCAAAATTATTTTTAAATAATAAGTATTTACTTTTTTAATATAATAACATATTTATTTATATTAACTTATATTTGTGATGATTATACTAGTCAAATTCATTAAAATTTATAGTGATTCAGCGATTCCTAACAAAAATTAACTTTCTTTTCTGTCTAAAATATCAAATTCAATTTTGATATTTCTAATAATAAGACTCCTTTTTTGTTATTCCCTTAACATTTAATAGCGTGTAAAGAAGGGGGTTCAACAGTTTTACAAACACTAATAATACTAAAAATTAAATTAAAAAATTAAGGTTTACAAAGAATCATAAAAGATTCAAAATATTATTATCAATCTTAATTTGTTTATTCTCAGTCCCTATGATTAAAAAAAAATTCAATTCCTAAGAAATAAGAAATAAATTCTTAATTTCTTCCTTAAAAGCATGTTATTTTTAGATTTCATGAAGATGCTTTTAGGAATCATACATTAAGTCTGTGCTTTTGCTCTAATCCTGTTAAGAGAGTTCTTGATGAATTACTAATAGCATGGAACCCTCAAAACTTTTATTTTTTTATTTTTTATGTTTAAATAGACTTGAGTTTTATTATTGTATGAAGCTTTAAAAACAAACTAGTACAAAACATGGTCTATGTTTTGAAACATTGCATGACAATGTTCTTTCTTGGAATGAGATCTTTCAAATCCTAACGACAGGTGCAAACATGACTGTGTTATTCTGGCGAACAATGTTCTTTTCTAACCCCACTTTTTTATGCTTTCTTTGGGACTTAAACTTATCAATGCTCTTCTTTTAAATCCTCATATTTTAGCTGTCAGAGTACTACCTACACACCAAATGCCTAGAAAATAATAAGTTAAACTAAAACAAATAAAAATGTATGATAAACTTAACCTAAAATGTATAATTATAAATAAATTTAATGCTAAATAGGACTATAAACCGGTATATATTATATATTCCTAAATATTTTTTCTCATTCAAGGGTTCATTCTTAACTATGAAAATAATAAAAATCTAATTCAATTATTATTTTGAGATAGAATCACCTTTCAATTTATTAATGTTAACTTTTATACATCTTAGATTAATTAGAACATATTATTGGCATGCCTTTTAAATTAGTTTAAAAATTACTAAAAGTAATTTAAGAATTGTGATTTTTAATGTATTTATTGTGTAATTTAATAAAAAAAAAACTTTATTTATTTATATTTTCTGATCAATAACTTTAAGACATGACCCGATTAATTATTTTAAAATTTTATATTTTTAGTATCAATTAAAAGACACAGTAAAAATTATATATGATAAATTTTATTAAAAATTATAGGATTTATTATATTAAAAATTTATTCAATTTTAATACATAATTTTATTTTTATTAAATTTATTCTAAATTATTCTATCTTTTATACTTATAAATTCTCTTAGTTATTAAATATTTTGAAGACTATATATATAAATATTATTTAATATAAATTTATAAAATGATAAAGTAAATACTATAAAAAATATAATTAATTTTTTATTATATATTTTTAATCATATATTAAAAAACAGATATAATATTTTATAATTAAATATCAACGTAAAACGGATCCATTCCAATTAAAATAATGCACCTAAGCCAAATAAACTATACTAATAAGACATATATTTTAAACGCGTGCAACGAATCTCGTTAATAGAGCGTGATCAAGTTGCTTCTCTTGGTGGAGCAGAAACAGTGTGACCTCCATTTTACCGAAACCCCGAAACCTCGAAAACTCGTCAACCACCTTTGCGACAGGACCTCTGAATAAAAAATCTGTTCCCACCCAAATCCGAAAACATAATCTTTCATTGTTATAATTATTGATTAGTACGAAATAAGTTACATTTGTGCAAAACTATGCTGTTGAAGGCATCTTTTTGCTTCTAAAATTGAATTTGGTGACCAATTATGTCGTTGGTCTTTCGCTTTCCATATCTGATCAAGCTCCTTCCTTGACCCTTTTGAGCTTTGACTTCTTCTGAAGCAACCCTTTTCTTTTCGCCTCCTTCTTAAGCTATTTGCTATGGTGGGTCTTGGGTTATTCCTCTGGATTTCTTCTAGTCAGCTTCAACTGAGAAGTGGTTTGTTGAATTGGAGTTGAATTTTTAGGGGTTTGATATGTTTGCCACTGAAAGATTGGAGCTTTGTTTGTTTAAGAGGAGGAGGGGGCTGGGAATTTTGTTTCAGATTGCATTTGAGTGGTGGGTTGTTCTACAGTTACTTAGTCCTGTGGCGGGTCTCAGACCCTTAAGAGAGAGAAGTCGATCATGGGGTGATGAGGTTTGCTTAAGAACTTGTAATTTATTTCTTGTTTTTTAAAATGACTATGGCAATTGAGGAATGGTGATGCACATAGTAAATATTATTATTATTAAGCAATGTTCATCCTTTCGTGTTTGCATTTTAATTATTACTCACTTAACCTGTGAGGGGTTGCTTTTGCTGCTATTGCTTTATGCAGTTGTGATTTGTGAAAGAATGAAACATGAAATCTGAAGTTTAATTCTGTTAAAACCGATTGGCGTTACGTGTGTTTAGAGTGTTTGAACCCGGGTAGAAGGTTGATTGGCGTTAATTTAATATGTTTAGAATGTTTATACATGGTTTTGAATTAACCCTTAGTGAGAGAATGAGAGGGGAGGCATATCTCTCAGCAGAATAAGGAAAGAAAAATCAAAACGGCACTTATGTAGTATTTATAGAATTGTATGTCAATGTGTATTTTAGTTCTATTTTGAAGCGATTTACATGGTACTTAACAAAAAAATAGTCATACATTTGAACTTTCACGTGTAGCTCTTACAGTGTCCGGGGATAGAAAATTTTCTCATATTCTATTAATCACAAGTTCAATCATTACTATCTCAATTTATATGTTATTGTAGATCCTTTAATTGGGCTATCAGACAATCATCAATCATAATTGGCAATGTCTGTAAATTTTTCTTCTTGTCCAAAGGATACCTTGCTGCCCAGTTTTGTTGCTATGCACTTTTTCAGAATCTGTATTGAAAGTAGCTGGGGCACATTGAATCTTGAAATGGAAAACAAATTGTATCATTTGCAAATAGGTTTAACATAAAGGAGAGACCGCATGATATTGTGTGACTTTTACTGATTAGTACTTCCAAGGACTTTTACTTAATTATAAGGCATCAGCCTTTATCTTTACTAGTATATAACTTTGCTAAACACTGGGTTACGATTAAAACTTGTTTGAATTGAGAAATTGTGACTGTTATGATTGAAGCAAAATCTGACTGAAGGAAAACTTACTTATTTGCATGTTATCGATATATTGCTTCTCTCAGTGGCTATATACAAGAAAGGATGACAGTAACTTAGGCCCATTTTCACAATGGAACATAACAGGAACTTACAAAGGTTTGTATTCTTGACTAACCTAAGTGTATGCATGGTTTACTGTTATATTAAGTTGTAGCTTTGGTCTGTTGTTCAAATTTTTAGTGTAAGCAGTTGCACAGTTGAAGTACTGCTGAGCATATGCTTCACTGATGTCTGTTAAGAGGATTTGTGGTTGGATAACAAACTAAATCAAACCTGTCAAATGTTGTAGCTTTAGTCTGTTGTTCAAATGTTTAGTGTGAACAGTTGCACAATTGATGTATCGCTGAGCATATGCTTTGCTAATATCTGTCAAGAGGATTTATGGTTGGATAACAAACTAAATCAGAGCAATTGAAAATTTACTGATTTTGACTATTATGAGTTGTATTCTGTGACTGCTGCTTCTTTTGTGAATGATTTCATGCTTTAATTGTCTTATTCTTTCTCCATTAGGTCAAACATGTTGGTAATTGCTATGCTTCTTACCTTTTTGCTTAAGTTTTCTGTGTTCTTAACCAGCTACCATTGGACACAGCATAATAAAACCAAAGGGGCAGCATTCAGCTAAAAACTAGGATGCCTGCTCCCTCAGATTAACTAAATGAACTTCAGGCATTTGGACAGATCATGTAATTTTAAATGTAACTCTACAATTTACTGAAATATGCTTCGTTTCTAAATGTTTTGTTATGTTTGAATAAACTTACTTGGTTAGTTTGTCAAAGTCTGAGGATCTTTGTATGTTGACCCTTTAAAATGCAGGAACTTGGAAGTTTCTAGATACAACAAATGGCTCTTCCAGATTTCCAGACATCAGAAAAACAAATGGAAATTCTGTAATTGAATTAGTTAGTACGCCCACAAAGATAAGTGGAGTACATTATGTTCAGGTGAGATATTGAACTATATAGCTCATTTCACGGGCATTTATCCTTTCTATGTCATATATTTTCTTATGTTTTTATTAAATGGAAAGGGAATTTTGTCATGCATGATAGAAGCATTTCCCTAGTAACCCAAACTTTACGAAGGTTGACCTTGATTAGATTAATATATCTATCTGCTTTTTTAGTGACACTACTTCTTATGATAATTAATGAGCTTTGTGCAATGTGTAAAATTGATGCCAAAAGTGCATCACATGCATGTGGTTACAGTCACGTTACATCTCTGATTTGTCTATAGCTTTTATGCTTTGTTTGTTTTAGTGGAAAAAATTATGTAGGGACGAAAAAGTGGAGAAAAAAAAGGTTTTCATCGGTTTGAATGTTTTGTTTTATATGGGTGGAAAATAGCATTTTTCGTGAGATCCACCAAAACCTTTTCTCCTACAAAATGGTGAGATTTTGTGTTAAAAAAGTGGTGATATATATATATAAAAGAGAAACTATTTTTAAAATAATATAAAAATATTAAAAATTACATTATGAAAAAATTATATTAAAATTTTTAATTTTTGTTAAAATATAATTTTTATTGCTATTATAAAAATATTTTTTCATATAAATGACATTTTTTTTTTATTCATCCAAATAAGTAAAGTTTTCTTTCTTATTTCTATCCATCTAAATCTAATCAACACATCTTTTCCATCTCATTTCTCATATTTCTCTCATCATATTCTCTTTTACTTGTTTTCTTTCTACTCATTTTCTATTACTTCCAAATATAGCATTAGGGTTTCATCTTTTGCTTTGTCCATGTCTCTGTGTGTATGAGAGAGAGAGCATTTATCTTTGGGTGTCTTTTAAATGTAATTGATAAACACTTATTTTCTTTTTTATTTTTAAATTGTTACTCAATGTAAATTGAAATGCCTCAGTTGTTACATTATTTTTTAATTTTTTTTATAAAATTAATATTTCAAACTCATCGAATGCCCCTGCCCATCAAATGAAATTATCTTGTGAAAGATAAGACTCTCTTCTGTTGTTATAATGAGATTTTATGCATATTTGGACAAGTATCTGCATTCATATTTCAAGGTTAGAGAGGCTGATAATCTGTAGAGGTCCTGAAGCTTTGAGGGATCATATTGTTTAACTGAGTCCATCTCAGTTGCTGAATCAAGTGCTTTTCATGCTTCTGATATATATACACATAGCATAATCTAGAACTGAACACCATATTTTGGATATTGTAAACCAAATAATTTACCCTTTCATCTCACCATAGAACAATAATATTGTCATGGAAAATATTTAGACTGTTTCAGTAAAATTATCCTGATTCTTTTATAACAATTAGTCCTCTTTTTTATGTTTTTTTCATCAGGGAGTAGTTATATTCCATGATGTGTTAGACAATGAATATGATGGTGGTTCTCAAATCAGAATAGAAGGTGTATATATATGGCCATTTAGACAGCTTCGAATGGTAGCCAACAGGTAAATTTCATGGATATCTTCAATGTGATGTGCAGATCAAGTTTATATTGAACTCAAATTAGCATATGTCGTCAGCAGTGTTTAAAAATTTAAATTTCTTTTTGTCCTAAATTGGCATTTCATCATGAATCAGTTTTTATCCTCTGTTATACTTGTTTAATTATGTTTATTTTATAGACAAATTCTTTTGTCAATGAAATTGATAGGCCAGGTTCTGTTGGGCCTTCTGAGGAATATGGCCTAAGCGCGTTTAAGGTTTAGGCTAGGAAAAAAAAAAGATAGAGTTAGTAATTCTGTATTATGCAGTTATATTTTATGGTGTGATAGTTATAGTGTTATATGTGTGGTATTACAGACCTGTAGGAGGTGGTTAATGTGTCAGTTTGCTGTTTTGAAGGAGGAAACTCCCTGGTAGAGGGGAAAATCTGTGTAGTTGGTATACTCTTCTCCAAATGTGGTCTATATTACTCTAGTAAAATATAACTATGTGTTCAATCCTTGATCCCAGCTAAAATGCTTATATTTCCTCAGTGTAAAACTTACAATATCTGAATGTGCTGAATAGTTCTTTTGTTTCCTTCTGTTGCAGTGGAAGAGAGGGAGAGTTGAATCAGAATGAAGATTACATTTTATCTAATCCATATCATCTAGTAACAATCTTTCTTCTTGTATCCTTGATCATTTACTAATCTAATTATATAACTTAAAATAATATCAACAGTGTAGTTGACCTCACATGATGGGATAAGGCTTAGCTGTTGTTGACAATAATCTTATCAGCACTTCTGATTTTGGTGATCGATTTTTGTTCCTGTTGCTTAATCATTTACTCTTTATAATTGATATTTACCTGAGTCCAAGATTTTAATGAGAATGAATTGGTACTAACCAGTTTTTTTAATGATTTTCATGGGCTCAACTTTTTTTGTCATAAACTTACCAGTTAATGCTGATATTTGCTTTGTTGGTTTAATTGTACTTTCTGCAAAACATTTGATGCTGGAAGTTAAAATATGTTGTAATACATGCCTCCCAAGGTTGTGTGGTATTCTCTAATAACATTTTCATTGTATCTATCAAGTGTAATCTTGCAGTTTTTTTTATTTTCAATTAGCAATATTTAAAATTTCCAAATGATAGATCTTTTATTATCCCCTCAAAAACTCGCATAACAGTTAAAGACAATGTTTGGGGTTCTTTAAACAGGAGAAGGGTGTAAATATGTAAATTTATACAGCTTTGCATCATATAAACAAATCCATTTGAAGATAGTAGCTGTTATTAGGTCCTTATTAGGGTTATGTGGTTGTAAAGAAATGCGATCTTTCAAAGAGGGGTTTTCTGACAAATATACAAAGGAATTGGACAGCTTTGCTCTGTTGATATTTGATCTTTTTCACTGTTATTTTAAATTTCCGTTTTTAACCATGGAGAATTCCCTTATCCTCCAAATTACTTGTACTTTCTTATTGTTGTTTTATAATAAACATTCAGAATATTTATTTGCGACAAACATGGCTTTTTGTGCACAGCTTGGAGTTTTCTCATCTCAGGTACTGCAAGATTCTTCGCGAGATAAGATGTGGAGAAGAAAGCATTGTAATTTATCTAACATACTAATATATAATCTGATTCTTTTATTTGTAGTTGTACCATTGACTCACTATTTTTCCCATACCGTTTACTGCAGCTCTAATACATGATGTGGAGAAACATTGTAATATTGAGATTGCTGCACAAATCTCACACTTGCCATCATCAAATAATGGTTTGTGTTCTCCCGGCATACCTTTCTGTTTTTCTCTGCCTCAATGAACCTGTTGAATGTTTGTATAGTTTTCTTCTTGGTCCTCTTTCCATTTTAGTGAGGAGTCTCAGTGAAGGATTGGAAAACTTTTCTACACCGATAGTTTTCACTTTTTTGTATTGTTTTATCTTATTGTTTACAAGGACTGCATATCCTCCTCTCTTGTACTCTTTCCCTTTTCTAATAAAATGACTTGTTTTATGATTATTTTTTTGTCCATGGTGTAATGCCATCATGAAACCTATGATCACATTTAATATTACCAAGTACTGATGTTAAAACTATATGAATTGTAGAAGAATTATATGTACATTACCTGAGTTTTATCCATTTTTGTACCCATTGAGTGTATACTTGTTGATTAAAAAAATTATATTTTTGTCCCTTTGATTAACCATATTATTTTATTTCTTGTAGAAGGCGAGAATGATCATTTTCATCTAGAAGGGTTAATGGAGAGTCCCTCAGCGGATGATGATGGGGACTGCTTTTCTCCATTGCTGTTAAATGCAACATCTGTCAAAATTGAGGTCTACTATAACAAAGCGGTGAACTATACCTTGATGGTTACTTTTGTATCCTTCATTCATGAATATTCTTACATCTTTATGACTGTGTTATCCATTATGGTGTGAGCTCCTTAATATACATAAATCCAGATCTCTTTCTTGCAAGTCCTTCTATTGATTCGTCAAATGGAGCATAGCAGCACTCAATCTGTAAGAATTCACTTTGGATTTTTATTTGAAATTTTCCTTGTCATAGATTTAATGAATGAAATCAATATAAATTTTTGTAGTAGTTGAGATGAATTTAGCGAACAATATTTGAAAGTTCACATGCCATATATTTCATAATTTCACAATTTTTTAATTATGATTATGAAAGATGAAAATGATTTAGATATACCTTTACAGGGATCCACTAAGGTTTCAATATTAATGATTGGCCAGCAAGCAATAATGGATGCCTATCTTTGCCTTTTGCATCTAACTGCAGGAATTCTAGTTGGTAAGTTAGAATTTCACAACTGAGGTTGCTCTGCGGACTGTTCTCTCTCTCCCTTCAAAACATTTTTTGTTATGTTTGTAGACTCAGATTATGGGTTGTAGGGTGATATAAATGTATTTGAAGGATCCTTTCTAATTGGAGAAAGGGTACTCAAATATTTTTTTGTGCACTTAATTATGTTGACTTAAACAGTGGGCTTTTAGAGGAATTTACCTTCTGAATACTCATTGGTGTAAGCATCCCACTCGCATATACATAAAACTAAGTGCATGGCCAATAAAATGACACCCTACCGTAGTATAAACCCAATCCAATGGCCAATAGAAATTTTTACTTGGATGGTCAGAACCTGGACCCCATGTCTACACTTTTAATACCACATGCACCTTTTAACCAAATCTTTTTACCTGTTCTTCAATCCCTATAATGATATTCTACTCTAGTATAAACACTACAATGTACAATATTTAATCCCTAGAACCAGAATTTTTTTGTATTCAGGATTTTAAATCTGCTTCGTGTCAAAAGATTTTATTTTGGAGGGTGTGTCATAATAGGGGAAGAAGATTATTGATATATGTGTTGAAAATGTAGTACTGTGCTTTCACATTGATTGTAATGTGGCTTTATTATTGTGTCAATAGATGGAACTTCAGTGATTAATTATCTTTAGAAGTAGTAAGACTGTTAGCTGAATAAATTGTTGCTGCTTCCTACCCTGCAGAATCCTTGTTTAATGCTTTTGCAACTGCTGCATTTTTCAAGTTTGTGGTATTCTCAATATTTGAGATGAGATACCTCCTTGCTATCTGGAAGGCAAGTAGGCCTTTGAGTAATGGGGAAGGTTGGGAGACAATGAGGCGAGAACTTTCAGTTTTATACAGTCGTTTCTGTAAGTACTCATTTAGAATTAAATTTGCTGTCTGCTGAATGGTTGTGTATTATCATCAACGTGGATTTTACTTTGAGTCATTAGCTCCCTAGAATCCATGATCAAGTTCTCTTATTTATTGAATTGTTGAGCTTTGATGGTCAATGTACTTCTTAGGGGCCACTCAGCTGAGTTAAACTACTTTTATGACTGTTTTACTGATCAAGATTCAATTCCCGCTTTTAAGTTTATTTTTGTTATCAGAAAAGAAAACTATGATGCTTGCTTGAAAATATTTGGTGGGTTACAAAAATTATGATAACTGCTAGTCAATTGTCATTTGAATTGCTTTTAAAATGCTGTTATATTAGCAATTAATTTAACATATATTTTACTGTTTTTTTTTTCTTTGGGCCAACATAAATCTTTGAACTTGAGAAGTGTAAAAATGAGTTACCATGATAAAAATGAGTTACAGGATGGCAAATATCTCAGTGTAATAAATACACGTTTTCATTTTCAAATACATTCCAATGTTGAAGCATGCCAAAGAACTCTAGCTATTTGTTTCATATTGTTTCTACCGATGGAAAGAATTTTGTATACGAAGGAGAGGGGCTCGAAATTAACTGTTTAACTTGTTTTGCAGATGGGATCTTGTTGGGAGGCATTCTACTCATGTATGAGTTCCATAATTTTTTGAGACCTATTCTTCTTCTTATGTACTCTTTTTGGATACCACAGATAATCACCAATGTTATCCGCGATTCACGCAAACCATTGCATCCTCATTATATCTTAGGGATAACTATTACTCGGCTAGCAATCCCATTATATATTTTTGGTTGCCCTAACAACTTCATGCGCATAGAACCAGACAAAAGCTGGTGTGTTTGCTTGGCTATATTTATCGGACTTCAAGCTGCAATTCTCCTACTTCAGCACTATCTTGGGTCACGTTGGTTCATTCCTCGCCAGGTTGGGCCTACTGTTCTTGATACTTTTATAACCACAGACACATTTAGAATGCTTAAATCTAATTGGCCTTTCCTAAAAGACTGGGTTTAAACAGCGCATAGTAGCATCATTTGGTTCATGTAACCAGCCTAATCTAGTGAGAAAAGGCTTTTTCTTCTTCTTGTATATTTAAGCTGTAACTGAGGTTTACTTGTATAATTTTGCTCCATTGTATTGGTTAATCATTGCTCTTTTTCTCTTCATTTAACAATGAGCATGATTATGTGTCAAAGATGGATAATAACACTCTTATACTCCTTGTTTAGGATTCTGTCCTAGGTTTTCCTTCCGTAATTTAAATCAAGATCTAGCATTTACTGTTTTTTGGAATTGGCATGAAGGCTTCTCTCTCTTAAGTCCATCTTTTAATTATTTGCAGATTCTACCTGAGAAATATAGTTATTATAGGAGGTTTGATCAAGACACAAGACATGCTACAGACTGTGTTATTTGCATGACAGCCATTGATCTTTCACAGCGATCTAATGATTGCATGGTATGTGAATTTAAGTATAACCTTTGTATACTCAAATTAAACTTTACAATAAAGTCTAATGTAGAGAGGCTTACACAGGTGACACCTTGTGATCATTTCTTCCACTCTGGCTGTTTGCAAAGATGGATGGATATAAAGATGGAGTGCCCAACTTGCCGTCGCCCACTACCCCCTGCCTAGAGAAGAGTACTTTTTTTCACTGTTTATGCCAATAGGATCAACTGACCCTGCTTAACTTGATAGTTTTAGTGGAATGCTTGTATGACAAAGTTTTACATTGTTTTGCATTTAATGTTACGAGAGAGAAGTGAAATCACACGGGCTTGGGTGGTCGACCTTTTCTTCTTCTCATAGAAATTTTGTAATTTGATTTTTTCCACCATATCCCAGATACTGATGAGGGTATGCTTTTTTGGTACATAATTTGGAAAGGCAACATTAATTGTATTTTTTTCCTTAATATGAATTTTTTTAATTTTTATCCTTCCATTGTGATTGCCAATGCCCAGTATGACATTCGTTTAACATTTTTTTTTTTTTTGTAATCATTTGCCTTATCTTTTGAGTGGTTAAAGTTAAAAAAAAGGCATTGGGGGTTACTTTCCACCCATCAAATTGAAAGAAAAAGTTTACGGTGAACTATCTTAAATGGTAATAAATGATAGGCTTTAAAAGAATAATACAAGAAAAAAGAAATGACAAAATAAAAATATTAAGATGAATGAGTAATTACATGAGAAATGATAGAAAAAGAAATGATTGAATGTGAAAATATTAGAGTAATACATATAACAAAAAATATAACTGAAAATTATCTTTTTTAATAACTTTATTTAAAGTTTTTTTAATTTTCTTTTATAATTCTTTTATTAATGTAAAACGTTGATGTCTGATAAAAAATTATAAAAAAAAATTAAAAAAACTTCAAATAAAGTTATTAAAAGAGATTTATTGGTTAAAATTTTGATTTTGACTGAAATTAATAACGTAGAAATAAGGCTTAATTGTTAGTTATATTTGGCTTTTATCTTTTTCCAACTGTAATCATAAAAAAAATTTCAATTCAAGAATCCTAGAGTATTTGGCAACACAAAAACTCCCGTGGCTACTCCAAATAAGAGAACCATGCAAGATTACCAATGCAAGATTATCAATGGCCCCAAAACATCTATGTATAGTATAATAAATTAAGTCTCGTTAACAAATGCTTCAAGAATATTATTACTTTTATCGTCTTGACTTGTGTTTCTTTAGACTCTAATTAGCATTTGCTCAAATATTCTATTCAATGGGTTGCCATCAATTTGTTGCTAACTAATTTCCCTCCCAAATGGTAAAGTATGTATGATTTTGAAGTTGCACCTTTTGTTCGCTGTCACGTAAAACCCATTTGTTTTAAAATTACAAAATTAATTTTCACACTTTCTAATAAAAAAATGCACTCAAATAAAAATATCTGTTCAAATTAATTTAAGCATAAATCTCAATTATATTTAATGGTTTAAAATTAATTCCATAAAAAATCATTCTACCAAACTTTAAACCAGACGACACTGCATCAATAAAGAAACAAAGTTACTGCATCAGATAATAACACAAATTAGAACAAGGAAAAGACATGCAACTTTCATTTGACAGTTAACACCTTCCAGACAAACATGAACAAATAAAAGTCTTACCTATTTACTTAAACTAGAGGATCTAAAAAACTACACGGATTTTGAACTCGAGACATGTAATGACCAACTAAAATTCAAGTTTGCAAAACTGATTTCTAAATATAAAGCCCCAGTATTTTGGGAAACTTCAAAACCAGTATTTTTCATCCAAATTATTCAATGCAAAGGGGAACCAACACATAACTGCCCCAGATAGTTGTTGTCATCATCATCTGTATCTTAACCTCCACCACCTGAACCATACTTCTTTCCAAACATAATGAGCTGTAGCTTATCATAACCCGCAAGCACCCCTGCACCTGCAACAGCACGTAATATGTTTGCACCAGCACCTTTAAAGAGTGACTTAGTACCCTCTTTTGCAATGATTGTCTTAAATGCATCCAGAGAGCTCTTGTATTTTACAGCTTCTCCAGATGTCATCATCATTCTTCTGCGCACGGTATCAATGGGGTAAGAGGCCAAACCAGCACCTATTGTGATCCCCCATCCCAAAAAGAAACTTGCAAAGAAACTATCCTGTTAACCAAAAGAGTAAATAAGGTCAGTAACATAAAACATGGAATAACTTCAATTTTAAACAAGTTTAAACTAAATTTAGTTAGGCCCATCAACAAATATCAAGCCAGAAAATCATAAGCATTATATAACAAGTACATTTAACTAATTTACTTATATTACAAAGGAGACCTAAAAACATAATTCAAAGGAAAATGAAATAAAGATGTGTAGTTTTATTTACATGATTAAATAAATGAGAGATTTCAAAATGAAATTTTATAATACCTGCAATCCACCAACCAAAACCACTGGCTTCAGAGAATCATACATTCCAAAGTAAAGACCACGGTAAACTATGATTCCAACACATGAGATGTTGAAACCACGATAAAGGCCAGCAATACCATCAGATTTAATGGTTTTCTTGTAAACATCAATCAAGCCATTGAACTGCCTCTCACCACCCTTCTTTGCAGCCTTTGCATCATTTGCTAAACGTGTTCGGGCATAGTCCAAAGAATAGACAAACAAGAGGGAGGAAGCTCCAGCAGCTCCACCAGATGCTAAATTCCCAGCAAACCATTTCCAGTAGCCATCTTTGTCTTTTTTAAAGTTGAAAAGCCTCTTGAAATAATCCTTAAAAGCAAAGTTCAGAGCCTAGGGAAAAAAAAAACACATTAAATATACATGCAGACCAAGCAGTCAAAACGCAAAAGCCAAATGTAAATTTACATTCACGCATCACAGTCAAATAAGAGGGGGTAACAGCAGGATGCAATTACAAGAGAACTGTGATATATTATGTAATATCCATCCTTAGCAACTCCGAATATAGAAGAATGCTTTATGAACAACACTCCGTAAAGACAAAAAGGACAACAAATATGCAGAGCCATTGGGTTGAATGTGGCTTTGTGCAAAATATAATAATACGCTGCACAGATCCAGGATACATATAATGGCACAGAAGTAAGTGTGAGTTTTGCACGTGAAGGAAAAGGAAAACAAAGGCATTGCAGAAGTACACAAAGCAAAGACAGCACAGTTAGAACAATAAATCAGATGTCACATGATAAAAGATAATCACATCAGACAAACTCAGCAATATTCCAACATGAGAGGAAAGAAAAATCACCTGAGTAGGGAAGTATCTGATAACATTAGCAGTGTTTCCTCTCCAAAGAGCAATCACCCCTTCATCCTTCATGGTGCGAGAAAAACAATCAACAATTCCCTTGTACGGTTCAGATAACCGGCCACTTTTGATCATTTCATCTTGATTTTGAATGAGCAACTTAACCCGCTCAATTGGAGCCGCTGCCGTCTTAGACACAGCAGCCGACACTCCTCCCATGAGGAAATCTATAAAAAATGCAGATGCCCCTTTCTCTGCTGGCGCTTGCGCCGTGATTGGAACCAACCCCGAAGACTGCAAGCCTCCATTAAAGTAGGTACAAGTTGTAGAATAGTTTCTGGAGTGACTAGGGGCAAGCCTGGACACAAGATAAGATTGCCCAGATAACTTCTGAACTACAGATGGATGCCGCGAATGCAACCCGTCCGCCATCGCAGCACTTTAGACAAATGCCTATCAACATTCAACCATAAATCAACAACTAAAATTTGAAATAAAAAAATAAAAGATAAAAAACATTTTCCCTTTCAAATAGCCTTGATATGCTTCATACACTTAACCTATGCATTTACGATATACACAAGCACATAAATTCCGCCCCAATTTAGCAGAATGCAAGAATTTGAGGAGGCTAAATGCTACGAAATTCGAAAATAGTAGATAACTATGACAAAATCCATTACAGTTTCCAGTTTAGCTTTACTCACTGTTAGACTCTGATGCTACAAATCAAGTCACAATTAGGATCAGAAATGATAAGTAATTGCTTAATAAACAAACTAATGAACTAACAGAACATGAACTACCTACCCAAATAACTAATTAGCAACGGAAAAACAGTGACATAGTAAGGTCAGGGGCAAAATATGCATTAGATCGAAATAAAAGAATGCAGATCTTAAAGAGCAAAAAGAAATAGAAGTAGCACAGTTTGTAAAAGTGGAAGAGGGTAATACCCAAAAAGGGTGAAGGGAGAAGCTTGGTGTCTTTCTCAGATCGTGTGGGAAGGGAATTGAACCAGACTCGCCCAATAAATGGGAGCACCGCAGCAATATTAGGGTTTTATTCATTGACCATTTTACCCTTCCCTCATTCTTTTTTTTCCTAATACCAAAATAAGTTTTTATATTTTTGGTAATACACTTCCTTCCAGCACGCCCCACTCAAGTCCATTGTCTTCTTCTCAAACACCATTTACATTGGTTTACTACTTCCAATTTATTAATTACTCTCAATCTTGCTATTTGTCTATTTTAAATTATTTTTCTAATTATATGATATTTTATGCATTCGTCAAATCTTTTAAACATATTTTTTATATAATTTATTTAATTCAAAAATTTAAATTCAATTATAAAAGTGTTTTTTCAAAAACTAGTTTAAAGTGCATATATTTTTTTAATAACTCAAACAACTTATTTATATATCGAACATATAGGTCAGCTGACATTTAATTATTTTAAATTAATTAATAGTCTTAAATTTAAATTATATTATACCGTTACATTAAATACTAAAAAAAATGTCACTTACAATAATTGTGCTCAATTTAAATTGTTACTGCATCCTAATTGTGAGCTTCAGACAATAAATTTGTGCGGCTGTTGGTTAATCGTAGTCAATGATGCAACATTGAATATATTGTTGCAATTACCACCGAAATGTATGATAAATTGGGAATAATGATGTGTGATTGTGATTATGAACACTGACAATTGTTACCGTGTAACTAACAAGATTTCAGTTTTATTATTTGAATACTTAAAAGTTAATACCATATATAATGTTATATATGATTATTTATACCTTATTTTTTATTAACTTCTTATATACATATATCTCAAAAATATATATATTTTTAACTCACAATAAAAAAAATAAAAGAGAAAACTAGAAAGTTATATTTTTAGAATCCAATATGAAATATTCTAAAATAAAATGTGACCAATGTAACCTTATATGAGCCTGAATTTGCATCAATTCGAAATGAATCTCTGGGCAGGAATTTTTAAAATCTATATTTTTTTTAAAAATGATTTATATATTACTTTTTCAAAATCTAAGTCTCGAATATATACTAAATTTCCTCCAACAACTAAATTTTAAAATTAATTAATAAATCACTGTCATCCTTTTTATATAGAAAAAAAATTATCAAAACATAGTAATTTTAAAGAAATTTGTGAAAAGATAAAAAAATAAAATAAAAATTACAAATAACATTTTTTGTACTTTAAATTTTTTTAAAATCATCATTTTTTATTTTTTATTTTTTAAAATTGTCTGCGGTGAATTTTGACTTTTTTAAAAATTACCAGTAATTTTTGGAACTTTATAATTTTTTTATATTTTATATTTAAATTCCTACGCTTGCATCATTGACAAATTTTGAATCCTATAATTTTATAATTTTTGAAATACATTATATTTTAGAATATATTATTTTTAAATATCATATATAAAAAGATAATTATCACTTTCTCAATTTAATTTTTAAAAGTGAAAAAATTAAAGTAAATTGATTAAAAGTGTGAAAAGATCAAATTCCTTCTTTGTAAGTTAAAATAAAAAAAAATCTCCGCCCAACCCAGCCAACCTCTACTTTATGCCCTTATGCTACATATCATGAGAGAGATAGAAAAATGTAAAATAGAATAAATGAATAGGCTCAAGCAAAAGATTTGTCTCATATATTTACTGAGGAGACGTGCTTAGGGGGCCTTAGGCTCACGGAACCACACAGGTACATCATATACTCTTCTTTGCCACATGGTCCCACTACTTTACCACAATTCTCCACTTCATCAACTTCCTTGTTCAATAATTCCACTTGATGATCACGGTACATACTACATAGTAGAAAGAGAAAGAGAGAGTTTTTGCTCCAGTTTCAATTTCACATCTCTCACTATCTTCTCTTCTAGTCCATGGCACCGCCACATCAATAAAAACAAAGCTTTTAAGCGAGGTGTTGAGAGAATGGAGCACTTTGTGGTCCTCATTCGCCACAAATACTCTCTCTCTCACACACACACACTTTTTCACCTTTATTTCCTCTGGTTCATCACCCTCAAACTTACCTTCCAACTTGCAACTCTTTCAGTTCTCACCCTTCATGGACAAGGTGAAGAGGGAGGGCATGGAAGATTGTGTTCACAGCCAAAATGGGTACTTGGAGTTGGAGGAGGACAAGAAGAAGAAAGGGGTGTTGGCGATGGGTAGGAAGAAAGGGTCTGCAAGTGCTGGTGGTGGTAGTAGTGGCAATAGCATGCGCTGTTGTCAAGCTGAGAAGTGCAACGTTGATCTTCATGATGCTAAGCAGTACCACAGAAGACACAAGGTGTGTGAATATCATGCCAAGGCTCAAGTGGTGATTGTGGCTGGCATCAGACAACGCTTTTGTCAGCAATGTAGCAGGTTTGGGGAGGTTCGATTTTTGTGTTTTCTACTAGCTTGTTCACCCTTTGTGTCCCTGTGTGTTCCCCGTTTCTGGGGTTTCTTATTCTTGCTATCTTTGGTCGTTTATGGTAAAAAGGGACCATCTTGAAACACCATGAGCATGGAATTTTGTTTTAACTTTGGTAGTTTGGAGATATTGGATGCAACTTTGACTTATGTTGAATTGGATGCAACTCCTAATTATTTTTAGTGCTATAGTGTGCGGTTGTGTGCTTGCTATAAAATTCCTCCTTGGGTTTCTTGTTTACTGTCCACATCATGCAGGAAACATACTATAAATTATTATTTCGTTCTATTTTATTCTGTTGAATTGAATCTAACCTCAAGATTATGGCTGTAGATTCTTATTACGTTGAAATTCAATTAAACTCATGTTACTTTGTGAATGGTCAAGTGATTGCTTAATGTCTACGTGAGATGCTGCTGCATGGACCCGTTATCAATACACAAATATATAATATTTTGGAATGTTGTTTCTGGTATAATTCACTGTATACTAAAGTTTAAATTTGCCTTGCGTGAAGCTGTAGTGTGTTTAGTGCAATCCTGCCATGCCCTCTTCTTCTTCTTTGATTGATCAAAATTGGCTAGTAAAGCCATGTATAGTACCTTTTGCTAATGTTATTTTGTTTATGACAATGTATGTACCTAAACTAACAATTGTCTTGCAGGTTCCACGAATTAGCTGAATTTGATGACAAAAAAAGAAGTTGCCGCAGGCGTTTGGCTGGACACAATGAGCGGCGGAGAAAGAACTCTGATCAGTCTCAAACAGAAGGCTCAAACCTTCAAGGGACAAGCCCTCATTTGAAGGACATTGCTTGTGGACATGCTAATGACAGGGGAAGAATTCACATCACAAATCAAGAAAATGATGCCTACAAACATTTTCAGATAAGATGAGTTCTGTTTTCATATCAACTTTGCTCTCTCTCTTCTGTCATCCTGGAGATGTTTTAGTTCAACTCTTCCTGTGTCACATTCATGTTGAAGAATGATATGCATTTAAATAAATAATTTTTTCATAATAACAAAAGAAAAACTAACCTAAGAAATATAGTGACATTCATTTCAAGGTGTCGCAGTTATCACCTTGACAGTGGAAATTGTGTACTTGGTGTCCATTTTGCTAAATCATTATGATTAAACATCTTACTTGGTGTTGTTTTCCCAATCCCTTTACTTATATATTTTATAATTATTCATGCTACTAACTTGGGTTATTTAAGCTTAATTTGGGTGAGTTTATAAACAAGATAGTGTGAAAAAAGAAAAAAAATATAAAAAAAATTTATTAATTAAAATAACTTATCTTTTAAATTTTAAAAAAAATAAATAAGAGTAATTTTTAAAAAATAAAAAAAATATAAAGTAATTTTAAGTTATAGGAGTAGTTTAATTTATATTATTAGTTGATTTTTTATTTTTATAAGTGCTTATTAAAAAATTTATGTAAATCAAATTCTTTTCTGATTTTGATGAGACGGTATCTTAAATGAATATGTTAGACCTATTTGAACTACTATAATGAGTTGAGAACAAGTAGCTATATTGTCTAATTAATAAATAATATTAAAATTCTTTGACATTTATCATAATGATTGGTGTGATCATATATACGTAATCTCAAACTATCCAATAATTTATGAAAATCAAGGGGTGAAATTGATGAGGGGAATCCTGTTTACCAATTTGCCATTTGGATAATATATGCATCCTTAAAAGGATGGCCTTACCATAATAGAATAATGTCTTTTTTTATTTATTTATTTCCCATTAATGGATTCCTTTTGACACAAAACTCCAACACGCTAAAATGGAATTGAACAATATTTTGTTTTAGTTGGTTAATATCAGACGATATTTTTATTCTAGGAGATAAGAGTTTCATCATGTTAGCCATTCTATTTTTTTATTAAATATGTAAATATTTATTATATTAAAAATATGATAAATAATTTGTCTAATAAAAAATATTATTTTTTAAAACTTAAAATAAGTCTCACAATATGATGTTAACTACACTAATTGTTCTAATACAAGTTTAAGTGAAGAGAGTTTTACGGGAGAATTATCAAAATAATATTTTTTAAATAAATTTTGAAACTAATATTATTTTTAAATATGTTATTGAAATTCTAACAGTTGTTTAGCTCCAATTTTTTAAAAAAAAGTGCCATGACTTTCTATGATGTAAAACTATTAGAAATTACTAAAACTATCTCTATTTTACTAATATGTTTTAAAATAACATTATTTTGATAATTTTTTTAACGAAGACAATTTGCATTCAAAAGTATATTGTTTTAGTAAATTGACTGAATTTTACGCATGTTAATTTTTAAAAATTTAAATAACACGTCAAATATATGAATGTCCCGAGAATCCAACCCAGGTCTATAAATGATGTGAGAAATCAAATTTATATTTTTTCTATTTTACTTATTCCATCATTAAGATGAACAACACACTATTTATTTATTACATTATGTGTGTCTCACTTTTTTCAGTCTTAAATTAATGTTATTTCTCATTTTTTTTAAATTTCTAATAAAATTTAGCAAATCCATTTGCTAAGGAATGGTCGAATAGGTATTTCAGTAATGTCGGGTCTTTATAAAATTCATTTATATGAATAACATACGATTTTTTTAAAAAAAATTGTCAGCATTGCGATGCTTGCTAGTCTTACTGTTATACCCTCTTCCTTTTACTTTTAAGATCAACAATTTTGTTTCTGTTTTCAATTTTAAAGCTTCAAATTTTCACTTGCGAAATTTGATTTGTATAAATTATGGCTTATTTGTACAATTTGAATTATTTGTAAAAATTTATAGCAGATTTGATTGATATAAATATTAGTTTGATGCACAAAATAAAACGTGAAATTGAAAATGAACCTTCAAATTTTAATTATGATGTTTACAAGTCATATACTAGAATTTAGATCTCAATTTCATGAAATAGTTATATAATTAATTTTTAATAATTACTCTCTGAATTATAATTTCTAACCTCATCCGCAATTCAGCAATTTTTTTTTTCATAAAGAGTGCATCTTAAAAAAACATAGCCATAAGAAGCAAGGTGCAAGGATTTTTCTTCTTGTCTTACTATAGTTGTCATTTGGTAGGTCCAAAATATGTTATGATTCTTAGCCATAAGAACTTAAAAGAACTAGTCACCATTTCCACTTCTTATGAATTTATAGCAGGTTACTATGTATGGATTGAGGTCGTCTTTTTGTGTTATTGTAGTCTATGGTTTCATCATTTGTCAATTTCTCTCTTATTGTCGGAACATGTGATGTGAATCAGATAATTTTAGAACCGACCACTTTGGCATACATATATACAACCAACTTTTGTTATGGCTATAAGAAGCAATTTTGCCTATGCTCTAATTAAATTGGAGAATAATTCAAAATGCTATATATCGCTCCAGTTTTGCTTCATTAAGGTTTTAACTTTGAATTAATAAATGGGACTTGCTAACCAAGCCAGAAATAAAAATATTTGTTATAATTATACTTTGAATTAATAATTTTATTTTCTTATAAATAGCACCCCAAAATTATCATTCGTTTAAATTTTTTTAGTTTGATATTTTAGTTCAATGAATGTAACAAAGTTTTAATTTTAAAATTTATTTAATATTAGTTACACAACTTAAAAGTCATATTAATGGCATTTTATAAAATTAAAAAACTAAACAGATGTAAAATAGTATTTAAAAAATAATTATATTATCAAGAGATTAATTTCATAATAAAAGAATTTAAAATGTCTATGCTTAAACTAACTTTTAAGGTTGAAATTAAAAAAAATTAAATTAAGTAATCCAAGTTTAAATGATATTTTATAATGACAAAATTAGAATATGTTTGATTTCCTTTCTAAAAGCATATTAAAAAAATATATTATATAAATTTGTACTATATTTTATTTTTAAATATAGAATTTTTTTAAAAAAAATTAAATATATTCTTAGTCTTTTCATTTTTTAAGTTTCTCGTAGATTTTATTTTTTTTCTTAACTTTTTTTTATTCATTTAAATCTTTGAAATTTTATTTTTTATCACATTAATCCTTTTTGTTAATTCTGTTATATAACCTAACAAAAATATCTTATGTGACACTGAGCACTTTAACATTATTAATTAGTTTTACTTAAACTTTTCAATTAAAAATTCATAATTATACATGAAAAGATTATCCCACCTTTGCATTCTTCTCTCTCGGTCCTTAATAACAATTTTTGTCAGAATATGACAATCTTAACTTAGTTAAAAAGTACAACAAAGTACTCTTTCTGGGTCGTGACAAGTTCACAATGATTATGCATTGACATGAAAATAGTGAAAGAGTTTAGAGAAACAAGTTCATATAAAAAAACTCCACAACACTTTACCATTTGCAATCACAAATCTAACATTTGAAGATTTAATACTTCAAAAATTATTTTATTAAAGAATGAGATGTCTAGAGTCTAATATTTTGAAATTATGTTTTTAAGATTTATACATATTTATAAGATAATTTTTCATAATTTTTAAAAATCTCGTGTTTGTTGCTTGACTCTTCAATAACAATAAAATAAAGCATTTGTTCAAACTTTGAACAAAAAATAATAGAAAGTAATTTAAGCCTTAAATCTCAATAAATAGATGACATTGTAAAGCTCATACATAGCATTTTGAGATTGATTGTTAAATGAGCAAGTATGAGAGATTTGTCAATCTTGCAAAATCCTTAACCAACATTTTACTTTTAGCATATCTTTTTTTTTTGTCTCAAATTATAGAGGAAGGAAAAAAAATTACTGCAAGAAAAATTCATATACAAAATCAAATAACTCATTATTTACAAAAATATAGAATTTAAAACTCAAAAGAAAATCAAAATTTGAGTCCTATTGATCATGTTTCTTCAATTTTAATGGTAGGTAAAAAAATTTTAAAGTAAACAAATCAAAATTAGGTAAAAAATTTTTTAGAGTAATAATTTTGAAATTTGAACAAAATTAGTACCAGACCACATAGCATGTTTATTTTAATATTTTGCAAGGATAATTAACAAATGAACAATTTGGGAAAGGGAAGTTGAATTGTTCTTTTTTTATTATTTAAAAAATTAATTTTCTTTTTGTGATCCTATTTTTAAAGAACTGAAAAAATCTTTTTTTCGAGTTCTAAAAATTTTAAATGAAAGAACAAAATTATTTTTAAATATCTCAAAGGATATTACAAAATAAATTTTCAAAAGTATTCTATTTCTAAAAATAAATAAATAAATAAAACAACTCTTCATTTTTTATTTGAAAATTTTTTATTCTTTATTTTCATTATTTGTAAAACTCAAAAAAATAAATGAATTGAATGAAAACAAAAAAAATTCAACAATTTTTAAGAATAATCCAATTATTTTTGAATCAATCATTCCAATTCAATCTATAAATTGGAGAAATTGTTCATTGATAAAAAAAATAAAATAAAAGATTTGAACAAAGAGAAATGTGAACATTTTTTTTAAAAAAATCAAGAAAAAATAAAAACATAAATGACGTGGAATTATAAAAAAAATGAAAAAAATTAAAGTTTTAAATAATTTGAAAGCATATAATTTTAATTTTTTTTCTATTCGATTTAATCTTGATCTAACCGGAGTTGGTGAGTGAATCTAACCAAATTTAAAATTTTACTTAAATAATATCAAATCATTTGATACTTGAACTAACTTTTGTTAATTGATTTATTAATATATATTTTTTTTATAAATTATAAAATTTTAACTCGTGATAAATGTATGTAATGAAAATTATATAATTCTGAATTATTTATAAAATTAAAAAAAGTAAAATAAAATTAAGTTGAATGACAAATTTTCTCCAATAAAAAATATATGTAATTATATATATATAAACCATGCAAGAAGCCCACGAGCAAGAACAAGTGACATATGAGGTGGATGACGAAAATAGGTTTGAACCCACTGAGCCTGGCCAGTAGCCACCGCCATGTGCTAATATTTCCTTGCCGCAACACACACAAGCCATTTTCTCTTGCTCCTCATTTTATCATTAATTAAAACAATAACATTATTATTTATTATATAATTACATCAAACTTAAATGAGCACTTTTATACTTTTTTTAATTAAAGTTAAATTTTATCTCAATAATACATTAATAATATTTATAATCTTAAGTATACTAGTTTTTAGTAATAAATTTTATTATACAAATTAGTGAGATAAAATTTAAACTTTGATAAAAAAAATAACATTATAATATTTATAGTTAATATTATTATATATTATTGATGCAAAATTTAAATTTTAAATAAGATATAATATTAAAAACACTTATACATTGAACCTAAGTTTTGTTATTAAATATTATTATATTATATACATATACATAAAAAAGAATAGTCGATAATAAAAAATAAAGACAATAAGAGGAGACCCAAAATCTCAATCTCATAGTTTGTTCTTGTGGAGGTGCAGCGAAAAGCACAGCATTGAGGAATCCCTCTGTTAGCAGCAATGCCTGCACAGAAGCGCTCTTTGCCCGAGTCTCTTGAGGATGGGGACACTTCGCAGCACCATCTCTTCCATCCTCGTCATGCCAAGCAGCAGCAGCAGCAACAACAACAGGACCAACCGCAGGAACACGAGGAGGATGAAGAGGAAGACAACGACGAGGAAGAGGAGGAGGAGGAGGAAGATGAAGAGGAGGAGCAAGGAGAAGAGGAGGAGGAAGAAGAACGAGAAGAAGAAGAAGAAGAAGAAGAAGAAGAAGAAGAAGAAGGGCCACACCATAACGACGACAAGGAACAACCACAGGGTTACATATCAGTTTTTATTTTCTCTCGTGATTTTCGGTGCCCCAATTGGTTTTCCTCAACTGGGTTGCGCTTTGTTTCGCCTTTCCAATTCTTCATGTGCTCAAGTTTTCTACTTTTCTCTTCTCAGATTCCGGCGAAACCCCATCTTCTGACTCTGATGAAAAACCCGAGTACTCTCTCTCTCTCTCCCTATCTTTTACTCTCACTCACATTGCTTCAGAACTTCTGCTTTGTGCTTTGTTTTATATATATTTTTCTAGATTAACGTTTTGATCCCATGTCTCTGTTTCGGGATCGTGGCTGGGTGTGAATTTTGCCATTTTTTGTGCTTCTTCCTTGGAATTTGAACGCTTATGTCATGGATTTTGGTTGGTTCCGTTTCACTGTGTAAGGGGATGCCATTTGTTCGTGCCGTTTGAGTTGGGATGTCTCTATTTTCTTAATACCCCCATTTGATTTGTATTAGTTCGTTTGCATGTTTGGAATTTTGTCTTGTTTATGGTTGAAACTCGTTCATTTGTTGCATGATCAAAGAAAGTATATGTTTTGGCGTAGAGTTTTGTTATTTACCCCAAAGTATATAAATCCTTAGTGTCTTTATAAGCATCATCCAGTGCCTTGGATCTCATTCCTCGGAAGGTGGATGAGTTATTTTCTTCAGTTTGTATAATGCTACAGTTATCACTTGGAACTATTTTAGACTTCACAAGGTGGGTAGGGTTCTGGTCTTGTGCATCAGAATGATCTAAGTAGGAATATATAAAAACTGCATGTTGTGTTGATTTGTGTGGCAAAAGTAGATGTTTGATTACAGTCTTTTATCTAAAAAATTTAAATTCGCTTTAGGTTGGTGCTTCATCATTATGTTGACCAACGGCATGTTCTTGATTCTACGGAGCATTTTAGGATGAGATTTTATTTGGATTAACTCTTTGTCAACATCATCTTGAATATGTTTATTTGATAGTTTTCATGAAGTTTTGGATGGGTGACACTAGTACATTCAGCATCTGAAAAAATGGGGATTGATGACACGAGTACATTCACCATATGAAAAAAAGGGGATTGATGACTTTTATTTATGGGGTGGCTTAATATTAGTTTCTATTGCTAAATATATTCTCTAACCATTGGCAGAAATTAGAATGGTTTAGGTCTCATCTATCAGTGTCTCATAGCTTTTATAAAACATTTGAATAGTGATTCTATTGCTGTTCCACTTGTAATTGGCTGAAGCAAGAAACAACCAAAAAGTATATCCATCCACAAACTATTAGATTCTTCAATTTATCTTCATTCCATTGTTCTCTGATTTAAGCTTAGTTCTGAATGAATAATTCAAGCTCCAATTTAAACATTTTTTTCTCTTCTTCTTATGAAAGGGGTAAGTGATCATATAAGCATGCTATGGAACAGTAGTTCTTGATAAATATTTGGTATCTTTAGAAGTATGTAAACTTACTGGCTAAAATCAAACGGGTTTGATTAATGCTGACAATGTACGATATATGTGTATATATATATATATATATATTATAAGTTGTGATGGGAAGTGATGCTTCAGAATATCATTTTACCTCGTGATAGGATCATTATCTGTGCATAAAGGAAGTTTCAATGTGTTAGATTCTTAGTTGCAATAACATTAGTTTTGTCCAAATACGAGTCTACTGAAAATGCAATGGTGCTACTGTAATTGTTTTTTTTTTTTTCTTGCAAAATAATTTCATTGGAATTCAAAATTTGCATCAATTAATATATGCGATTCCTTAGTTGTAATTGGTAACAATTTTGAAAGGATCATTTCATTTTTGGAGGAAAATGGTAAAAAATGTTATTTATCATTTACAATATAGGGAAGTATATTAAATTTCCAAAAATGAAAAGTTGACACTGGATATATAGTATCTACAAGACTGCAGCTACGTTTGAAAACTGGATTTCTACCAGTTCTGACATTATTTCTGTTTTATGAAAAGTGCTGCTTTGTGTGAATTTTCTTTATTGCAGTAGCTTAGAGGATTTAGGTGATCAAGATAGGTAGCGGTTATTGTCTTGCACTAACTATGTTCAAGTCCCAGCCAGTAAAAAACTTCTACATATACTTAATTCATTGGCTATCCAGGGACATAATTCTTTTTTGACTGCCCAACTTGTAGGTGTATGTCATTGTTCTTTCTATCAAGTTTTGTAAATATGTGCTTATTCTCTTGTTTTGTTTGCAGATTTGTGTTTGTAGAACTTCTGGAAATTCGTAAAGATGTCCAATGTCCAATTTGCCTTGGTATGTTTTTGCTTGACCTTTTTTTTTATTGCATTATTCAGGAGTTAATTGAATGTGATTTTGAACTTTTGTTACAGTCAAAATGTGCACCGAGCTATATGTTGTGATATACTTCCTGCCATTGTCAATTCTATGCACGGAATGATGTGTAGTGGCAAGTAGTTATGTTTATTTAAGACCATGATGTGTGATGGACCGTCTTCTATGCTAATGCTGCTTTTATGTTTTCTTATGAGAGAGGGATGGAGTAGTACATAAGTTTACTAGTAGAATTATCACTATTCTTTATTGGATGACTAGGTGATTATGAAACTGTTACCTGTCCTTAATATTTTCATATCCTCTTTTGTTGGTGCTACTATTGCCTGCTTTAATTTGGAAATTTGATCATTTTGGATAAATTAATATCAATTTATGCTTCTTAACTTATGAGCATCAAACTGTCAATTATAGTTATGTGAAGTAAGCATAGCTGTTGAGTTATCATTTTAAGAATGCTCTTTAAAGGACAGAGTCAGGCTGTTAATGTGTGTTTCATATCGATATATTCTAAGTTATAACAGAGGAATGCTTTCACGCATTAGAGCCTAATGAATGAAGATAGTGAGTTAGATAGTCAGGCTGTTGATGTGTGCATGTGTGTGTAGATATAGATAGCTATATTATAACAAAGGAAGGCTTTCATGCATTAGAGTCTAATGACGTTAGTGAGTTAGATGCAACAATGAAATGTATCCATAACGTGACAGGACTAGGTCTCAGATGGAATCAATCTTCTAATTTCATATAATTCAGGAACTCCTACCATCCTTCCTAATTTTATTGTAACTGTCATACTTCCACTTAAAGTAGATTTTAAGGCAGGCAATTTTTTTTAATAACCTGATATTTAGTATGGCAAGAACAATACAGTTAAGTTCAGAGTGAAACTATGAAGGAAACTTGAAGTTTAGACTTCCAAGTATCATTTTATTAGGACAAACCGTCACCCCTCTCATGGCCTAACAGAATTTGTGGGTTAAAAAATTTAATTATTACCAGATATATTATATCCAAATATCCCTATAGTTTTGCTTTCTATACTTCTATTTAAAAAACTTTTATCACTTTTTGCATAATATTGTTAGTGTCATTTTACATTCCAAATAGCATAATGGCGTCTCAGACACAACCACACTTGCACAAAGATAGAGCAGGTGCACAAGGCTAAGTTGAACAAGTTTCAAACTGCTGGAGGTCTACAATGGTGTCAAGGGGTTTGAAGGAAATCTGATATTAGTGTTGGCAGGACTGCTGTATAGAAAAAGAAAGAAGCATCTAAAGCTCAGTTAGGGTTTGAAGGCTTCTTGGAAAGATTTTCATCTGGGTCATATCCAACTGGGTCGCAAATCCAGATCTGATGAATGGGCTTTCTGCATCGAAGTAATAAAACCCCATGATTTTAGGGATTTTACGACTTAAATCCCAATTTTACTGCAATTTCGCCGGCTCATGATTCTACTTGTGATTTGAATTGCTAAAGCCTTCCTAATTCGTAAAATCCCACAACTCTGATTCAAATCCCAATTTTAATTGCTAATGTCCAATCTAGTGATATCAGTTGTCAATCATGAGGCAGGAAACACTAACTTTATTGCGTTATTTGTACATAAATTTTTTGCATTATTTTTAGAAGGAAAAACCCTGAAGATAAAAAAATCTCAACATTGACTGACAAGATGAAACTTTGTAAACTTATTTCTATAGATGGGACATAGTAGTGTAAAATTAACACAATTCATTTATTTTACTATGTGGTTTTTAAAAGCCATTAACCATGATATGATCACCTATTGTTTTTGGCAACTATAGTCTTAATCTCGCATTTTTGGATATTATCAAGATGTTTTTGAAACTTGCAGCTCACTTCATGATGGCAAACATATCCTCTTTGTTGAATAACTAACTAGTGCTTGAACAGGTATTATTAAGAAAACAAGAACTGTTATGGAATGCTTGCACCGATTTTGCAGGGAATGCATTGACAAATCAATGCGACTAGGGTAGGTCCCACAAAGCCATTCCAGGCCTGTTATTTATGCAATTTGCTACTGATAACTGCTAAAGTCCTTTTTGTATCTATTGTCCTCATCAGAAAACACATTAAAATCTCTGTATGCTGCTACATTTATCATTTATGTATTATCTCAGGAACAATGAATGCCCTGCTTGCCGCACACATTGTGCCAGTCGTCGTTCATTGAGAGATGATCCAAACTATGACGCCCTTATTGCGGCCTTATATCCAGACATTGAGAAATATGAGGAAGAGGTATAAGTCAACTAATTTATTCATTTTTTTATTGTGTTTGCGCATAAAGCTTTCACAAAATTTAACTAGTGGTATCATTCACTGTCCCATTGTAGGAACTTGAATTTCGTGAGGAGGAGAAGAACCGCAATAAGCTGGTTAATGTTTATTGAGTATTACATATTTAAGCATGTTTTCAGCTTTCAGAAGTGTGTACAATACTTCTTATACAAGTGATAACTCTGCACACTTTTTACTGATTGATTTTGCGTCATTAAAAATCTGCATGGCATATCAACTCCTAAATACATATCTTATAAATGAATATTTATTTATTGCTCTGGTTTATGCTTCTACCTTATTAACCTTAAAATCTTGTCATTCATTTGTCAACATTATCTCAATTTTCAAATCTTTAGCATTCTAGCTTTTCTGGCAGATTCAAGCTTCGATAGCAAAAGTAGTTCAACGGCAATCTGAAGCACTGGTTAAGAGACGTAAAGATACACCAGGTTTTGTGACAAGATCACAGCGTAATCAACGAAACATTCAGTCCAGGAGACAAAATCAAGTGACAGAAGGATCTGAAGATAATGAGGAGGAAAATGACAATAATGAAAAAGACTCATCTTCAGCTGATGAGAGATCTACCGAACTCCGACAGAGAAGGCGAAAGAGATGGACTAGAGTTCGCCCCTCACAGCCCTCATCATCAATGGCAAGTCCTGATGGTGGATGCATAGAAAGTGATATGGATATAAGTAGAGAAAATCGAGGAATTTCAAGGCAGGTGTCAAAACCTAGAAAGCTTACTTGGGGAAGGGGTGGTTTCAGAAGTAACACTCGGCATGGCAGTGGTGGTGGTAGCAATAGCAAGAATTCTCGCAGTAGTCGATTGTCTAAGTTGGTTGATCATCTCCGAAGTTTGGATGAAAGCACTGATGAGGTATATGTTATCATCCTCTTTTTTGCTCCTCTAATAGGTTACATATGTTACTATTGAATGCTTCTTTAATACAATTTTATTCTTATTTCAGTTCAATTTAATAAAAAGGTGCCATATTTTATTTACAGTTGGATGTCCATCTCATGCTTGTTTCTCTGGACAAACAAAGTACACCAAGTTTACCACAACCACACCTTTGCTGTCGACCGACCTTGTCTGTCAAGCACCTTTGTGAAGTAAGATCCTCTTTGTCTTTGATCACTTGTTTCTGGCAGTGATAGTTTTTGTTTGACTTGATCTAAGTTAGTTGAAGCCCTTACCGGAAGACCAAGTATTGTTTTTGGCTATAGTTGTGAAACTAGTACCTGACTTGGTTGTTTGCACCTTTGTCAGCTGAAGAAGTTCACAAAGGATACACTTGGTGAAAATGATTGCCTAATATCCTTTTGTTAATGAGCCAATATTAGTTTTCTTGCCTTATGATGTTTGTCTAATACTTTTATATATTTTTTCTGCATAGTATGTTGCTCGTCAGACACCACTGCCAGTTGAAGCAGTTGAGATACTTGCAGTGAAAGGATGCTGCAGTACAAATTGCAACAAGTCAGCCAATGAGAATTCAGCCCTGATATATGATGAGCTAACAACGCTGGTTATAGATCCACACAAAGATGAACTTGAAGTTTTGCAAGGACACGAGTCTATGGCAGGGCTTAGATCTAAATGCATTTCTAAAAGGGAGCATTTGGTGAGTAACACCCTCACCTCCCCCAATATTATTATAGAAAATGTTATCTTTAGCCCTTAAAACTGATGATAAGCAGTGTAATTTTATTGAGAAAGAACATATTTATTATTCTGAGTATAAAAATGCAATAAATGTTATGTTTTTAAATTAAAAAAAATTATATTTAAATGCTTAAGGGCTGAGTTTAACAATTTTGTATTATTATTCTGAACAACTACTAAATTTCATTTTTTGTTTTTGCTTTTTTAGATTCTGGCGTACAGGCTGAAGGAGACATCATAGTCTTGGTTTGACTGGCAGACTTTTGAATTAGACAATATCATAAGCTTCTTTTATATGTACATAAAAATTGGCTAGAGTCGATTTCCTAGTTGCATCATTCTCAGTCCCCCCCAAAAAAAAAAATATAGCATACTAAATTATAAGAACCCCCCAATAGGTTATGCAAGCGTTGTAATTTCTTTAATAAGTTTTACCTTCTAAAATATTACTTGCAGTTTCAATTCGGATCACATATATCATCATGAGGATTATCGAAATCTTAAGAAGCAACATTGTTGCAGCTTAGCTCCAGAAATTGAATTTTTAATATAAATAATATGGATTTTATTAACAGTAGAATGTATCACTAATAATTAATATTTGTTGGTATAATGCAACATACTATTAGTATAAATTTAAAATATTTAGACTAATAGTTTTATTTTTGTTAAATAAGATTTATATCAATGAGGGGCAGTATAACGAAATGATTTTGAGAAAGACTCGACTACGATTTACCATAATCCTTTCTTTCCAATAAATAGTCACATTAAATAAAAGAAATCACACAATGAACGGAAGTGCTTAAACTTAATTCCCTTTTACTGAAAATTGCCCACTAATGGAGTATAATTAAGTCATTGAATTAACTTCCTGAAATAGTGTTGTGGAAGCAAATGTGGGGCATGAGGTGGAGAAACCAAAAGCTTTTCACTCTGTCATTCCTTTGCATGCTACTACCGATACTTCAGCTTGTCTTTCGGTTTGATATTGAGGAAGTGTCATTCATGGTTTTCCTCCATTATGCTGATTGAATATTCTTCCTAGGGAAAGTAAATGTAGATTTTTTTTTTTCAAATTCTATCGGATAAGGGCTGTTTAATAAACATAATACATGAACATAATATGATAATTTTTTTAGTATTTGTTTAATTGATATGAGAAGTTTATTTGCAATGTAAATAAATTTTTTGTTAATTTTATTTTCTTTTTCAATATCCTTAATAAACTATTTAGTTGTTTTTACTTTTGTTTATACTTTTTTTTTTCTTTATTTAAAGGAGCTGATGTTATTTGCATTCATTGAAATTAATGAGTTTGAGCTTGTTATAAGATCAGTGGTATAGTTAGAATAGGCAAATTGGATCTGTTTAATTAGGTTGGCTCGAACTCATGGGATAAAATTTAGAACTTTACCTTTAAATTTTAAGCTCAAATTAAATTTAAGTTTTTTTTAACTAAGTCTAACTAATTTCGATGTAGGTTAAATTTGTTAAAAACCTGAATTTGGACACAACTTCGGCAAGTCAATTGGATCTGAATTTTTTTTGTTTGAACAGTTAAAACTCATCATCTACAGCAAACTGACCAAAATGGATCGAATAGTCTGTTTTTTCAATTCCAATTTACAATATAACGTACAAATACATACGAAAGAAAATGTTTTCACTGTATCATAGAAAGGCTAGATACCCTTTTAATTTTATGTATCCCAAGCGATAAAAAGAGAAGAAACAGAAGTGATAGATATAATAAGTAATATAACGTTATAAGAAGAGAAAAAGATAAAGTGATACGATAATAAGAAGATAGAGAAATAGAGAGATATTAAATGGGTGTTGATACATCAATTTATACCCCTTAAAGTTCAACAAAATTTTACCTAATATTCCTCTTTTTAAGAGATTACTTTAACCTTCTCTAATTCATATAATAAATTAGAAATAATTTCTAAAATTAAGAAGGGTATATGGTATTATATTTTTATATGAATTAAATAAAGTTTATGTAGAGTTAAAAAGATAGGAGTAATGAGTGATTTTGTTGAAATTTATAGTGGGTGAGTGTAGTTTTTTCAGAAGATCGAGTAACCTCAACATGTAAATACGTGCCACTTCCACGTTCTATGGTCACATTTTCCTCATTCTTTCACTTGATCTGGGATAAGAAATTCTGAATATAAAAGGAAAATGAATAAATTTCAGTAGGAAGTTCCCAAGTTACTACGGAAATCAAGCAGATAAAAGATTCCTTGATATATCACTTACAGATATATTTCTGGTAAAGTAATCAGATGAGGAATATTTGAAAGGGGTGTAATTTAGAATTTTGGTGTGTTTGCTAGACCTTTGAGTCTTCGGTTGGGGAAAATTCTTGAGATTCCTGTAACCAAGCTCTTTTTCACTCATTGAAACTTATGGGTATAGAAATTTTTTTCCAAAAATATCGGTTATGTAACTCCGAAATGTGATAAATTAATATATCACTACACGAGAAGCACGTAATTGTAAGCCATTGCTGCACGTAGTGGCAAGTTCAATAGCAATTACCCGCGCAGCATGAAAACTTTGCAAGCTTTGACGGGTTTTAGACTAAATGGAAGTTCTTCTATATTGGGTAACATATTTTGCTGAACGATGGATGTACTTGAAGTTTGAATGTAAAAAGTTGCGATGATTCTTTTTTTTTATTATTTATTTAATTCAAGGCTTCGACATTTCCCCTAATGATTTTGAAGATTTTTTTAATCAACTTTGCGGCTTCCTCACCCTTGTGAGCACATTGCCTAAATTTGAGCATCGGTTTGTATTTAGGAAGTGTCAGTAATGGTTTCCCTCTGGCTTCTTTGGATTGAATATTCTTTCTAGGGAAAGAAAATGCAGCTAAAAAGTTTAAAGCAGACATAGGCCTTAAAGTTTGGTCCAGGTTTTCTCTGACTGCCTAGAATGCCCAGTGACTGATTTGTTCTAGACTTTTAGTGTGGATCTGACGATATTTGCAGTCATCGAAATCAATGGGCTTGGACTTGTTTAAGATCAGCTTGAAAATTACGTATGGCTTTACCTTAACGGGTAAAAAATTACATATATAAACTCAATTTTAGAAGGGCTAATATATATACCTAAAAATTCTGTTCCTGTATTTCCTTCCTTGTAGCCGGATCGAGTGCTAGATCCATTCAGTGCTTAGCGCTGAGGAATGTGTAACCAATTAATTTCTCAATTATATAATTGTATAGTATTACTCTCTTTTAATACATACTACTTCTTTAATCGCGTTAAGATTTTTTGGCCATTAGTTTGATGTGAGGTATATATATGAAAAGATAAATTTGATTATAGGTTAGTCCATGATTCATACTTCCATTGTTGACATACTGTATCATGTCTTATCTGAAAATATAACCATGGCTTAATTGCAATGCATGAAATGATGATCAAACACCAAAGTTTTTTTTAATATAATTTATTCAAACATAATTTTTAATGACTGCAAGTAACTTATATGGCCTAACCAGCATAATTCATGATTTCTTGTCCGTCATATATATGTTATCACATCTCTTTTGAGGTTCAACCACTTCACTTCTTCAGTAGTTGAGCCATTAATTTAAAAAGAAAATTTTATTTTTCTTAACCCTTTTTGTTATTATGTCGGACTCGTAATCATGCCTTTATCACATTATTTATTTATAGTTCTATAAAACGCATATATACAAGGTAAGCAGATTTCCTTTGGTTTTAACCAGGGAGACAATCGGTCAATGAACACTTTTTTTGAGTCAAAGGAGCAAAAATAGGATAAAGTAAAACAAATGCAATGAACCAACAATGGAATTAAGGCTAAAAAAGTCCCTTAAATGGAGCCCTCTTGGGTACACCCTAACGTGATCCAGAATTTTCATGGATGTGATGCCAGCATCCCCCAAAATATGATTCAGATATTTTGAACAGAGAGCTTGTAAGACAATTACACATAGCCAAAATTCCTGCCTTCAATGAATTATCAAACTGCCACATACCCTCTTTTGCATGCTCATCTCAAATGCTATGCAGCCACGCATCTCTTACCATATCCCCACATCCCATCCTTGTCACCCTTTCTCTCTCATCTCATATTCTCTCCCCTCAGCCACCCTATATAAATCACCCTTGTCTCCCTCCTCATTAACACATTCACCATTCTCTCACCCACTTTCTTTCATTTTAATTCTTTCCTGTCTTTTTATCATTTTACCTAAACACAACACAAGGTGGCCAAAATGAGCAGTGTTTGTGCTGAACAGCACAAGCTTCACCCTTCTCACCGACTCCCTTCACCAAAGAAATCCATTAGGGAAATTGACATCCCTCCAAGGAAGCTCCTCACTCGCCGCGCCGCCACATATGACGGCGCCACCGACATATACTCCGACGACACCATCCTGCAAAAGTTCCTCCCTTACAACAATCTTGATTCCGATGACTCTGACTCCGAGGACCCCTACTCCTCCGACCACTTTCGGATGTTCGAATTCAAGGTCCGCCGGTGCACCCGCAGCCGGAGCCACGACTGGACTGACTGCCCTTTTGCCCATCCAGGAGAAAAAGCGCGGCGCCGGGACCCACGGCGATATCATTACTCAGGAACAGTCTGTCCTGAATATCGCCGCGGAGGGTGCAGCCGCGGCGACTCATGCGAATACGCTCACGGCGTGTTCGAATGCTGGCTGCACCCTGCTAGATACAGGACTGAAGCCTGCAAAGATGGCAAGAACTGCAAGCGAAAGGTGTGTTTCTTTGCTCACACCCCTCGGCAGCTCAGAATCTTGCCAGTAACATCGTCTTCATCCACCTCTTCAAACGACAAGAAAAACAAATTCTTGAACCATGCTTCAAGGTCAAACAACAACAATTGTTGTTTGTTCTGCCATGGTGCTGCTTCTTCTGCTTCTCCAACTTCAACGCTTTTTGGCATGTCCCATTACTCGCCACCACTGTCACCATCATCGTCTACCTCGCCGCCTCTTTCGCCGTTTCAACTCAGAAACGGGGTTTCTTCGATTTCTCATTACGGTGTCGAGAATCATTACGGTGTGGAGAACCATCATAATCGTGTGGTGAGTTATAAAGATATGTTAACTGAATTGATGAGTTCTTTGGAGGGTTTGAGTTTCAACGAGGTTTTGAGTTTAAATGAGGGTTCGCAAGTTTCTGCAGCAAAAACACCGAACTTGTCATGGCTTGATGTTCCTCTGAACCGTGAGGATCAGCAACAACAGTTCATTGTTTCGTCCACTACTCAGACATCCACAAGTTCCAATGGCAAGTTTTCTTGCAGCAAATTCTTGGGCAACGACAACAAGGTTGTTGTCGGTCCTGATGGTAATAGCCCAGATCTCGGGTGGGTGAATGAGCTGCTGATGTAAGCACAAAGATGGTGACAAAAAATGGTAACAACTGAGCAAAGTGAAACTGTAAATAGGGGGAGCAACGTGTACCGTCTCTGGCATCTATTGTCATTATTGTTAAATTATTGTTTCAAGTTAATTGCTTTCTGAATTTGATATTAAGTCTGACAATTTATGTAATTTATGCGTTTAGATTTTATCTTGCTTTAATGTATAAGGGAATATTTTGATTCATGGTGTTTTTATTTTTTTGTTTTAGTTTGCTTTGCGTTATTTTTTTTTTTTTGGGGGACCTGTGCGAAGGGAAATCCCACTATTTTGGCAGTTCTTTTACTTAAGTTTAATTAAGTGTAGTTGAAATTTAAATATGAAAGAGAAGCATTAATTTTTCTAAATTTAAATAATTTTAATTTATAATTTATAAAATTAAAAATGAAGAAGAACTTAAGGAAGAATATTAACAAATAAAGAGACAAGTATAAGGGTATGGAGTAAGTACTTCACAGGAGTATCGATACTCTTTGGTGTCATTTTGGCCTTTGCAAGTGCATGAAAGCGAACTCCCTACACATGGCAAGCATGCAATCTTTGTCGTGGCAACATTGCATTTAAACGATCTTCGAATTTCTTTTATTTATTCGTGATCGATAGATAGAGATAATCTCGGAAAATTTGTACTCTGAGCGTTTCGTTTCACATTAAATTGGTAAGCAATTGACATTTAATTAACATGAAAAACAGGTGATTGAAAATTAAATTTGAGACGCCCGAAAGGGAATATGTATCTTTATAGCTGTAAATAATTAAACATTGGCATCCTTTATTTAGCATCGATATTTGAGATTCCTTGACGGTCATTATTGTCTATTAAGCGAGAATATTACGTTTATTGAACTGCAAACTCTTTCACTTACGTTGTTTTTATAAGTTAATGAGCAACCAAAGTGTTACATTCGCAAAAAAATTTCACTGATTATCTGTGCATAACCACGCCTGATTTGAATCGAATGGTGAGAAATGTACATCTATAATTTATTGATTGGTCGTGTCTTGAAGATGTAGAAATTGTTGTATGAGTAACCAAAAAGAAAATCATATTAAGTGATGTTTTTCTGTTTTATTTGAGTTACATATTTAGAACACAAATAAATAATTAATGAAAAATAATTTAGTAGCAATATTTTATTAATTAACATATGTTTTATTGTTTTTAATTTTTGTGGGAAGTTTTTATCATTATTAATTAATGAATAATAGTTTTTATCATATACTCTGAAATTAAGGTTAGATGTTAGATTAATGAATATATATATATATATATATATATATATATATATATATATAGAGAGAGAGAGAGAGAGAGAGAGAGAGAGAGAGAAGTCTCAAGCTAGAAAAAAAAATATAATGATATAAAAAAAGTTTGAATAAGTTTTATTTTTGTACATAAAAATATATTTTAAATAAAATAAAATTAGTATTTTCAAATTTTCATACTTCATAATAAGTTTATGTTTTAACTTTTTCTTTCCTCACTTTTTTCTCTTTATTGATTGTATTAATAATGATATAATTAATTCATCTATCCTACTTTATGATATATCTTTTCACTTAATCCTTAATATGGTATGAGATTTTTAATATCTAAGCTAAAAAGCATGAACATGATGTTCTAATTTTACACTTACTCATCCTCAAATGTTGATTTTTATATAATTGCAATCTATTAATCAATTTATTTTAAAAATATTATGACAAGTTTACTAGCATATTTAAAACACTCAGGAAGCTGAGAAATAAAGAAAATATTTTAGTTTTTAACAAGAATGAAACTCACGTTGACATAAGAGAACTTTGAAAACTCACTTGATGTAGTGAGTAGAAATGCTAAGGAAATTACTTGAGAATGATATGAGATGGAACATGAAAGTTGCACTTGTTGTTATAAACTATCATGACAAAGTGGTGGTACAGTGATGCTTTGAAGAGAAAGAAGAGGAGAAGTAAGAAGTGGAGGAGAAAATTGAAACCCATAATTCTGAAAAAAAAATAAAAAAAAATGATCACAACATGAAGAAGAAGATAATAAATAATGCACATACAGTACATATGACGAAAAAAATAAAATATTAATAGAGTTGATATTTTTAATTGAAATAAATTTATTTGAAATATTTTTAAAAATTTAAATATTAAAATAAATCAAAATAAAATTATAAAATAAAATAAAGTAAACCTTTCAGTTAGAGAATGAAAAATATTAATTTTACCTTTAAATATTATAATTAATTTTTGAACTGTTATCTTAAAGATCATATATTTATTAAAAATTAAAATAAATCATTTAATATTAACATATTAATATTAATATAAATAGCATAATATCTAAGGATGCAAATAAACAATAAATACAAAGATCTATATAATATTGAGGATAAAAAAAAGTAATAAAATATAAGCTCAAATGTAATTTGTGTCATTTTAAAAAAGAATACCATATAAATTCATTTAATAAATGTATTTTACTTGATTAAATAAATCTATAGTTCACTTGAAAGGTTATAAGTTAGTTGAAATGAGTTATCAAATACATTTTAATTTTAAGTTTCTTTATAAAGTTACAGACTTTAAGATTGGAATAATAAAGGCATTTGATTCCATCAATTGTAATAATTAAACAACGTTTTATAAAAGCGATAAGTTAGTCGCAATCACAACTCATTAATTTTTTAGAGTTTTGGATAAGTTTTCGAAAAATTCAGTAAACAATCCAATGAAATTGGAACATAGATACATACACTACATGTAATACATTAAAGGTGAAAACAACTTGTAACTTTATGCAGTATATGTATACATATGTTGTCCAACCATATCTTCCACCGAAAAGAGAAAAGAGTTGAAATTTTTTGTTCTTGCCATTGGAGGAATGTATGCTAGACAATATTTGATGATTCGACGAGGTCATGAAACGGAAGCGACGACCTTGCGTATGATACATTATTAGCTACCTAAGCCGCATTTGTTCTCTCATTTGTTTGGAAGATATAAATTGTGCTTTAATGATTGTTCAAATCCATTTCCATTTTTTTTAATGACTAATGTGAGTATTTAATGTTAAAGATAATAGTTTCATTTTTTGAATATCACAAAATTATCATTTTATGTACTATATTATATGCAATGTCTCCATCTTTTTTTATATAAATATTTTAAAACTAAAGAGACAACCTTTGTAGTTTATTGTCCCGAATTTGGGTTTTGAAACATTTTCCTAAAAACAATTGTTAGCGTGCAAAAGTTGGGTATTAGTTATACGACTCCAAACTATATTTTCGAAGAGGCATCTGAAAATGCTGAAAATCAAGATTAGTTGTGTAAGAGAGATTGACAAAACCAATGCAAGTTCCGCATCAAAATATAGGTCATTTCAAGTTTAATTCACATATAAACTGTAAAAGACTAGAAAAATGTAAATATGTTGAAACAAAAATAATTTTTGTTCGTTACTCTTCATGTCTGTTTTAGGGGGTGATCTGGGATTAGTTGTTGACGCCAGAAAACTCTACATTGACCAACCATGGTGGTCCCCTGGTTGGAAAATTGGTGCAGATATTTAAGGAAATTTAATTTGTGTTATTGTCATAGTAAAATAAAGAAAAAGATGTCGACTAAGAGATAATGGTATATACTGAAAGGTTAACAGCTTAAAGTATATATATAAAAATAAAACCCTTTTGTTACTGAAATTAGACCACTAAAATAGATGTGTCGACTGATGTCACTAATCTAGGTCAATAGGGACCTACAACTCCGCTTATGAATTTCAATTTCAAGAGTAATGTTGATACAAAATATATAGCATAAGGCTATTAATACAGGTACGTGTCGTTAACTCGCTATCCCTCCTTAAAAGCACATTAATTCAAAGAGCAAACTTGGATAACGTACAATTGTTGATAGTGTCTTAAGATGCAATCATGCAAATTTGTCCGAAAGACAGCTAGACAATTAGGGCGGTGGGGAAATGACCCATAAGGTTGTGTTTGGAATAACCCTTTTGGTGGGATTTGCTGGTTTGTGAACTTGGGTTAGGTAGTGATGGCATAAACTCACACTATATGAAGTGGTATAGGGAAGCAACCCATACTAAAACGACCCATTATAAGTTATGAGGTCCATTGTCTGCCATTACCCTTGTCAGTTTGATATTTGCTTATACAAGAATTTAGACGAGCATTTATACGATAATTAGCCACTTCTGTTATGTCTGTGATTTTCTTCACCCGTGACTGAGTAGATAACTGTCGGTACCTTGTGAATGTGTACATTTTTTGTGATAGGGCAATTTCATGCAGATCTATTTCTGCATGCCAAATGTTACCTTGTTACAGACAGATTCTCAATTATCGCAATAGCATGCAATTTGATTTATGTCAATCAACGCTACATTGCCACGCAATTTGCAGTTGAGTGCTGACAACGGTTGGTGGGGGTCATAGCCAAGCGGAATAAGTTCTCCCCCATGGGAAGCATTAAAATAGTCACCGAATTTGTATGCATATGCCGTGTGCAGATTAGTATGTTGACATATCTGCACGAATTATCATGTTCCAGATGCTTCCACAGAAGAAAACTGACAACAAACTATGCATTCCTTGGGCCGCTTAATTTATTGAGAGGCCATAAGTTGGATTACCTTCATTGTTCAATAGAGGCAATATAACCACAGTTGGACATCATAATAGTAAGCTTAGGTATTTGCAAAGGGAAAAAAGATGTCTCCCGTTTGGGACGTGGAAAACAGAAGTAAAAACAAATATGATCGAGCCAACCAGATTATAAACTACAGATTTGTGAAGCTTCGTTTTCTTATTAAAACTTTACCCAAATAGTAATTAGTGCTCCAAAGATACTGGTTAAAAAATCAAAAATAAAATATTTTATTAGAAAAATGTTATTAATACATTTTCACTAAAATTTCTAATGTATCTCCACTGTGACTTTTAATAAAACAAATATTTATTAATTCTCTAACCAGTACTTTTAGGATACTAATTAGTAAGACCCTAAACTTTATATCAAATGTCATTTCAGAGGAGCCCAATTTACAAAAAATAATATTAGACTAAGAATGATGTGCTTCGTTAGTTTCGATCAAACGGGATATACAACTAAGCTGCGGCATCTAGAGCTCTTTCAGCTACCCGAAATCTCAGTTATCCTTGCAATTTCTTGTGTAGCTAGACAGAGATAATCTTGACTGAGACTGAAAAAAATCAAATGGTGCTCCTGCTCCAAAAGATCTTCTCGTGGCATTTGGAGAATCTGATAACAAAGGTTCATACACAGGATTTCTGTTTTTGGGTTGTGTTATTGACAATGAAGAAACGTCTTTCTCTATAGATCTGGGCTGAGGCTCAATGGTGCCAAGTGACAAAATTGGCCCACCCAGACGTTCAGCTTGCTGAAGTGTATTGATTTTGCTCGGTCTGTATGTATATCGAAAATATTTGATGGCTAGAATGGGACCCATTCCGGTTGCAACCATGAGCTGTATGAAATTATAGTTCCCATCAAAGCATAATCAATGTAATGCATAAAATGTTTAGCGAAGAGAAAATGTGAATGAATTCGACTCCTGGCAAGGGCCATATAATGCTGATTTATTCGACTCGATGTATATGAATAAGCACAAAATTTTGGGACAAGTTTTCAGGGAAGCTACTTACAAAAATTGCTATCCAATATGATGGTTCTTGACACAACCGAAACATAATTGTATACATCCCTGATGAAGGAAGAGCACTGAAGATCCAGTTGATGGCATAAAAGGCAGCCAAATTACCCCATATAGCAAAATGTTGCAATATAGTAAAGGAACTGCACGCATCAATCATGATCAGTTACCCAGCAGGTTGAAGCAAGTGCTTTTAAACTTAAATGATTCTATTCCCAACTTCCACGCCAATGAACTAACATTTACAACCTAGTAAAAACCCCCCTTTCCTCCCAATAAAAAATAACAATAGAAAATATATACACTAGCTAGTTTTTTCCATTCATTACCAACAGCAAAGCACTCAAAGAAGCAAAGTGATTTAGAATTATGATAAACGATAAGCAATTGCATCAGTAACAAGTAATATTAAAGCTTACTTGGTCTCCATTGTTACGACAAAAGCCTGCAACCAAATACAGCCGGAAAGAGCAACCATTGAAACCTCCTCCATTTCACTTTTATCATAAGCATAGGCATGTATGCTTATTACAAATACAACTATTGCCTGCAAATCACAACCAAACTGATGAGAAATGAACAGGCATTAAAAACTATATAATTGATTTAGAGCAAATAACTTAAAGATGTTTTTCTATTTTCAAGAACAACACATCAGTCATGACTCATGATGATAAGAATCCTATGGACTAATCATCTCAGTAATTTATAAATAATAGGTTAAAATAAATACCAAAACTATGCTCACAAAAACACTTACATGGAAGAGAGACCGCCCAAACCATCCAGCAAATGTACTGGGATTTAGAAGCCTGTTCCAATATTTATAGTCAATTTAACGCTTACCAATGAAAAGTGTCTATCCAGCGCAAGTTAAACAAATTTTTCTGCTTTCGGTTTATTGAAAGTTTATTCAGATGTGATAAATTTTGATTGTTCTGCCATAAAAAGTTGCTATCAGGGTGCCAAAAAAATTGTTCACTTGCACCAAACTAGAAATTATGCAAAAACGAGAAGACTTGACATATCAACAAGAAGGCAAATAGTAGCATAATTACAAACCTTCCTGCTTGGCAGTAAAATAAAATTTGAGGATGCTGCATCACAGTTTCCTCACCAAGATCTTTGTCAAGCACACTGACTAGGACAGGAACACTAGTGTAGAAAACATTATATGCCATCAAGCTAACAGAATTGAAGAGGCTAGTTCCAGAGACTCCTGAAATAAATGAAAAACTGAAAATGCAATCATCAGTAATTATAAATTGGATGGTGCTACTTGCATAATAGCACTCATAATCATTAACAATAAACACAAAAGAATAAAGAGAAAGGGAAAAGAATACAAAGTTTTCCTTCTCTTCTTTTTCTGAGCTACCAGGATGTTTTTGTGTAATTCATTGTAAAATGCACCCCCAAGGCCGAAGCCTATTTGCAGGGGGCATCTGTTTACAAAGTAATATGCTACTTAATCAGGAAAAAAAAAAAAAAAGAAGAGAAAAGCCATTATTAGTAGAAACTTACAAGATTTGAATGAAGCAAATCAGCAAGGATTTATAGAATGAATACTGTGAAAGAAATGCTGTGCGGTTATATGAGTAGCGGCCATGGACCAGAATTAATCTCTTCAGGAATCTAAACTCTGCAAATTAACAGAACAATCATAACGTCAGAGATGAAATCTGGTAGTCATATGCAACTACTAAATGAATGAAAATCACCAATCTGCCTCCTGTAATTCCAACCACTAAAAAAAATTAAGGACTACTTGATTTGAGAAAATTATTTCGATTTTCTCTTTTCATTACAAAAATGTTATCTTCTTTTTTCTTTTTCTTTTTTTTTCTGTTTTCAAGTATTTGTATAAGGGAAACAGTGAAAACGTTTTATCATTTTCATTATTTCCTATACAAACAAAATGTAAATAAGATGACATTTTTGTAATTAAAAGTGAAAACAGAAAATATTTTCTCAAACCAAACGGCTCTTGACTTTCAAGAGAATGCTGGATCAAATCATGGTTGTTAAAAATAAAAGGGAAAAGTTATTGATAAAGTTTCAGATACAGAGCAGCATCAGAATTGAACCATGTGTTAAATATCTGACAATTTCAAATGGGAGAAAAGGAAGGTATCTGGCAAACACTGTTTAAGAACTCATGCACATCATGATTGCACCTGCAAAAGGTACAAAAGGGCTTACTTCCAATGCTATAATCAGCCGCTCTTGCTGCCTGCAATCCTTCTCTGCCACTGATGCCCACACCAATATCAGCTTGTTGTATCATCCTTACATCATTTCCACCATCACCAATGGCCAATGTTCTATAATCACATGATTTTAAGATCTGTACAAGCTGCAACAAGTAGTAGTCCACACGACAAACCAATGTCATTATTTTCTGATAAATTAAAACAGAAACAATACAAACAGCAGTATCATGTTCCCATTAGAGAAAAACGTAAGACATTGGTCTTATCATCCCCTTCCTATTGCAATAAGTTAATTAAAAGGAACCAAGTAACACAAGCCTAATATATAACAAGGACAAACAAGTGGTTAAAAAACAAAAAAACAGAATATGAAGCATAACAGTATAAAACAACACAAGGCAACATATTCCTATAAATGGATAAAACTGCCAAAAAAGCACCTGTGCTTTTTGTGATGGTGTCACACGACAACATATAGCAGTCCTTGACAAAACTGCCAGCTCAGTGAAAGCTTTACGGTAATGATTAAGTGCGATCTCAAGTGCCCACCCATCAATAACAAAAGCCACATCCTGTTTGAGCAAGAAGAAGAATGAGCAGATGAAACGCGAAACTTTTTATCTTGATCTCAATACATGTTTACTAAAAAGAATGTCCTAGTCAAAAGTCAAAACAGTCAATGTGTCTATACAAGAGGCCTAATTTTATTTTATTATATTTTTAATATATGAATAGAATTTATTAGAGAAGAGAAAGAAAAAAAAGCACTAGAGAAGATAATAAGATATCCTCCAAAATAGTAACCACAAAATACAGAACAAAGAAGAAAAACAAATTACAAGATTCTAAGATGAAACAGAAACTCAGCTCAGCAGTACCTTGGGTTCTGAGGTAGTTATCCGCATAGTACGGAGCACTCTCTCTAAACTTCTACAAACCTCATCTCCTGATTTTCCATCAATTGATAGAAGCTGTCCCTTTGGTTCTATTAGTTTTGGGGAGGAGGCAATTGTAAGAACAAAGGCTTCTCAGTATAACCACCATAAATTAAAAACCTTAGAAAAGAAGGATGCATAACACTACTCAAACAATAAAATATAAAGCAATTTGTGAATACACACATATCCTAGCTCTTTAAAAAATGGAACATGCACAACAAATAGTTAAATTAAAGTTGAAAGAGTGTTATTGTATACGTTGGAAGCCAAAGCTGAGAACCAGAAGCTTCACTTTTTGAAGCATTCTCAATAGGACTCGAGATGTTTTCAAACTTGGGGAAGATATTTTAGATATTTCCTGATTTTGAGCTTTTATGACATTCCAATTATTGAAGTATTGTCATCAACTGGAAAAAAATTATTTATACGGCCATCAATTAATAGAAGCTGTTCCTTCAGTTCTAATAGTTTTAGGGGGAGGGAAATATAAGAATAAAGGTTCTCCAGCATTACAATCATAAATTAAAAACCTTCCAAAGACGGGTGCATAACACTAATCAAACAATAAAATTTAAAGCATTTTGTGAACACAAACATACCAATTTCTTCGAAAAACAGGATTATATGTACAACAGATAGTTAAGTTTAAAAAGTAGCATTATTTATGTTGGTAGCCCAAGCTGTGAACCTGAAGCTTAACTTTTTGAAGCATCCTGAATAAGACTTCAGATATTATCAAATTCGAATAAGGAATTAGTTATTTCCTGATTTTGAACTTTTATGTCAACATCCCAATTATGAAAGTGTTGTTACATAGCTAGTGAATGGTATAACTTATAAATGTATGCTTTTCGTGATAATAGTTTGGACATAATGAGACTCTAATGCTACTTGAGTTTTTGGACAAACACATTCAAAAAGTGTACTATTTAGACAACACATAGATGAAAACTATGATATTTTGCACGATCTCAAATCTTAATCACCTGGGGAAATAAAATTACATGACAGAGCAATTTGTATTGCAGTATGCTGCTTGTCTCCAGTTAGCATCCAAAAATTTATTCCAGCTTTTCTCAGTGTTTCTATTGTTTCTGGAACTCCATCCTGAAAAAGTATCAAATAAAAAATATGATAATAGTCATCATATTAACTCACATGGGAAATTCTTTCTTTATTTATTTTTTTCTCCTTTAACAATATAATATAGACAGAGATTCAGTAAAATTATAAGGATTTAAAAATACTATCAGTAAATTAGATTGCTATCTGCTAGGACAGCTAATATTCACCTGTAAACGATCCTCTATTGCTGTTACACCAAGAATTTCCAAGTCGTGTTCTACTCTTTGACAGACCTCAGCTACTCTCCACTGTGAAAGATATTAAACTGAGAAAGACAGTTTTTGAGTTAAAGTATACAAAATCAGTAACAAGCATGTCCTTTACCTCCCTATCAACCAAAGTGCTACTGGCCTCTTTAAACATCAAAGACCATTCTTGATATTCATCTCTCTTTAACTCACGCCAAGCAAAACATAGCGTACGTAATCCCAAGTGAGCATATTGCTCCACAGCTTCAATGAAATGGCGGGTCTGCTGCCCTGCAGGAAGCAATGGTGTCAATCATACAACTAAACAACCATTCAACAAATGCACACCAGTGTATTCAAAGTCTGGAGAACCCTTGGGTTGGTAAAACTCAGTTTTGGCATGTTTACCAACCAAACTAACCAAATCACTTCAGAGAAAATCTCAACTGATTAAAGCAATGCTTTCTGACAAAACCCAACAACTGAGTTTTACCAACCAAACTAACCAAATCACTTTGGAGAAAATCTCAACTGATTAAAGCAATGTTTTCTGACAAAACCCAACAACATAATCCAACCTTAATAATAATTGCGTAGCATTTGATTCATTGATTGCCTTTTGCAACTTCCATTGGTAATAATTTTTGCATTACATATATCATTTAAAATATAAGTAATATGTAATCATAGAGACTATATGTATATTGGGAAAAATTATTACAAAGGACCTGTATGTGTTGTTGTACAAACATACATGCATGTATAAGTGTGTGTGTTGTTCAATTTGGTTGCAGTTGGAAGTCTAGACACAGACACAGTTTTGGGCTTTCTTTAATGTAGATTTTTTGTCAGCCTTTTAGCGTGGAACTGAACCTTGTAAAAATACAATTTGTGGCCGAAACCAGGCCCTATGACCAGTTAAGTCCGTTCCAGTTAAAAACCATCTAATTCATCTAAATCATATGATCAATTCTGGTTGTATCATATTTGAAAGGTTAGTTCCAGTCCATGTAAAATAAGTTGGAGTAAAAGTACAAGACAATAAAGACTTGTCACAGTAGCACAAAGGTCAACTCCACGTAATATATTAAAAAAAAAAGGGGGAAATTAAAACAACTGACAAAACATTTGAGCACCAATATTTGGCAAGGATTATAACAAAAAAATTGCTCCCACAATAGTGCATAAGTATTCAATCTTGATAGCTCCCTCCCCTCTCATCTGAAATCACTATACTCCTCTCTTGGCTCTAAGCCACCAGCAGGTCACATTCATATGAAGAAAAGAAAGTACGAGGAATTAGGAAGATAATGTACAAGCAGTCATGACATGAAAAAATCGAATTAAATTAAAATACCTACATAAATAATATAAGAATGTCCTAAAAGTAAAAATAAACAGGAAACATAAATAATCTCACCAGCACGAGCATATGGAAGAATAGCCTCATCTGCTCCCTTTGACAGGAGAAGGATCTTTCCATTTTGGCAATCTTTTAATACTACTGACATTCTTTTCCTATCAGAGGTGAACTCTAAGGTTTCCAGAACTTCATACTGAAGCATTGAAGAGTTGAACTTGACTTCTGAAATATTAAAGAAAATGATTATATGAACCCAAGTAGGACAACTAATCAGTCATGCTTTCAAAAGTATGGCAAGCAAAGTACCCAGAATATTTCCATTCTTATTAAAGAAAATCATGTGCAACCGAGCAGCAGCATGAACAAGAGCATCCTCATCCTGAGACTGTGCCTTATACAAGATATCTCCAGTTTTGCTAAGTATGACAGTACAAGAACACAAATACAAAATTAATAACTTTTGCAATGAAAATATTCAGACTAAGAAACAAGTTTCATCATATCCATGTCCTAGCAAGGATAAAGGCAGAATCACCTGCGTGTAGGAATGACAGTATTACAGATTGCCATAACTGTAAGAAATCGTACAACATCAGAAGAACCACTGGAAACAGCATTGAGAAGCTCTACATCTGCACATCACAGGAGGTTAAACTTGCAATCAACAACAAATAAAGAAGGGAATATATCTTCACAAAACAGTCAGTAGTTAAACCAAAAAGTCAACGAGTGTATGGATAAGCACTAAAGGGAGAAAAGAAGAAATAAAAGTTAATTCCCTTTTGTTCCAAAATATGCATGAATCATTTCCAGTTCTTGAAGTACTAATTCAGACAATCTTTAAATTTTAGACTTTCTCCAGTGCATTCACATTATGCACCGGAGATGTCTTTCAATGAAAAAGAAAAGATTCATATTTTCATGTCAAATGATATTAATGCCTATTAGTTGAGAAACTCAATCTTCTATTTAAAAACATAATCATACATGTGATAAATAAGAAAACAAAGACTTCTAAAACTAAGTGAATTAAGGAAACCATTGGAGCTGTTAATGCTGGAGTCTTTTTGAATACCTTAAAGATAAGAATAGGCTGCCGTGATCAAGGTTTTTGAGAAAATCCATTAAGCACAATTATGTTATGCTAAAAACCAAATAAGTGTCAACTGCTTTTGCAGTTACTTGAGAGTATGCATAAGTTCAAACATTTTTTTTAATTTCAATTTATTTAGAATGTAACTTCACCCTATGGTGTTTTTCACGAACCAAAATATATAGCCCATCTTCTCCCATAGATGGCAAAATCACAGTTCAGTTTAGATTTCTCAGATCATTAAGTTCAGAAGATCAATGGTATTAGCCATGCCTAACATATAATACACTCTCAATAACAGAAGTGAACTCATTTATTTGGGAAATCTCCAATATATCAACCCAGAAATTGGTATCCAGATGCAAGGTTGTAAATTCCAGTACACTTTCCAGTTAAGGAAAAAATACTAATACCGCTATTACATGATAACAAGGCAACAAGAAAATGTTCCACCAACCAACCAGACCTTTCAATGCATCTCCATTCTCATTTCCATAGAAATTGCCGCTAATACAACATCTTCTAAATATCATCTTATTCTCAGTCAGGGTGCCTGTTTTGTCAGTCAAAATATACTCAACTTGTCCCAGGTCCTCACTTATCGCAGTACTGTCAAATACAACAAACATCATTAATAAAAAATGTGCTGCTGTACAAGCTCCTCAAAGTAGTTAGAAATCAGGATCCTTCAACTACTTACTTAGTTGCATGGGATGAAATACTAGTCTCTAGGTCAATCATCTGATGGTCCCAGTCAATAAATTTTGCATACAAGCTCTTCACCAAATCCAAAGATACCTGCCACAGAAGGAACAGCTGGCTGCATCAGCTTTAGAAATGGTCACCCTCGACATATTTACAAAATCTTGAAATATTCCAAAATTAAAAAATAACAGGCATTAGTACTATAATTATCAGTTGGAAATCATAACTTTTTATGAGAATTTAAGTTATAATGATATCTTTTCATTAGTTCCTAAGGTCATCCAAGTTTTTTAATGAAAGGAATACCACTCTACTTTCTATACTATGGTTATTTTTAAGTGACAAGCATGCTGTATCATATAATGTACTATAATGCAAAACCTTTACCACCAGCTCACCTTAATTGAAATGGGTATCATGATGGAACAAAGAAGCTCGAATCGCAAAGGTATGATCAACAGTTCATACCAAGGGCCTTCATGAGGGTAAAGAACATACCATTGCTTTGAAAAACAAACAAATAAACAAACATGAGGATCCACCTACAAGCATCTTGAAGGTAACATTTGAAAATACGGAAACTTCAAGAGAATCATAAAAGATAAGGTATCAAAACATGGCAAAAGTCTAAACAGAAGATTGATTGGAAAAAAAAAACACTTGAAGGATATAATAGCAAGATGACACAAAAGAAATTACAAATTTAGTGCTCACTGTATGAAAAAACCAGCACACCCAAGCAATCATTGAAAAAAGGAGTAAAATATTATGAGAAATATATCCCCTAAAACAAGTCAAAGGCTGCCTTATTAAAGAGTACAATTTATGCTTGAGTAAGTAGTCTGCACGAAACACAAAGGAAGTAACAAGCCAAGTCAACATACTCTTGTTAGAAACAAAATTAAAATTGCAAAGAGTGCAACCACCTTCCATGGCAGCACAAGTAAATGAAAGGACAATACACAAATAATAAAGAATAGATAACATATAACAGGCATAAGATTTGATACAATTTATAAGTGCATAAGAACAAGTTCAGATATTGTGACATACCTTCTTAGCTTCTGTATCCTTCCAAACATTACCCGCTACACCAAGAACTAAAACAACAACAATCTGGAATATAAATATGGCACCAGTCAACTTGTCAATCATGGCATCCATAGCAGTGAGCTTTGGTTCTGGGATACCTCTACTCATGCCCAATTTGGTTTCATTACCTGGAGAAATGCAACACGTGGCAGATACAAAATTTAAATTGTTGCTTAAAGCATATATGCAGTGCCAAGAGCTTATTACATCATATACATGGGCTTGCCTGTATACACAGCTACTCCACATGCCCACTCAGTGTTTCTCAAGTAACATGACTGAAGAATAGTATTTTTAATGGTTAAAGGGCATATATCATTATCTATAAATGGGGGGAACAACCGCATGTTTGCATCAAATCTCCTGATGTCTTTATCTGGACTGGGACATTCAATTACACCCTGGATACACACACAGAAACAGAAAGAATCCGTGTAAGTGGTTGTCCAATATAAGAACTTTTGACACTGAACTTCTAGCAATTCTATGAATTATCTACTTCAGATAAAATCTTGCCTTAATTTTGTGCAATAGTTCAACATCGATTCCCATGCAAGCAGAAGGTATGACCCGTGTCTTCAGATCAGTTTCACCATCCAGCGCAGCTGTCTGAATAACATGTCATATGATAAGGCGCTTACAAATGTATATATGATTTTGTTTGGATGCAATGATTTAGCAAGGAAAGGAAAAAAATAATCGTGGGACCCACAAAAAAATTCAGCCCTGCCATGCCATGAAAACTGCATAGTAAAATGGGAGGGAGAGGGGAGGCTAATAGGGTTTATTATTGTTTTTTAAATGTTTTTGTATAATATAAAAAAATATTTTTTATTACAAATAATATATAAAAATATTTATTATTAAATTATTTTTTATGATTATTATACATATTTTTTAATACAAACTATTTATTTCTTTTTTTTCACTTACCTAAACAAGTAGAAAGAAAAAAAAATTCATCCTATTTCTATCCATCAAAACAACTATCTTATTTCTACTATCCTCCTTTTTTTTTTTCTCTTTATTCTTTTCGTCTCTATTTCAATTTTCATCCCTACATCCAAGCAGACAAATAATGAATTATGCCCTCAACCCCACCCCCCCGGGGGCCAGAGAGAGAACACAAAAATATAATAAAAAATAGTGGAACTATGTTTCCATTTCCCTGCAACGCCACAGAGAAAGAGATGACCAGTTTTAGCATGTTTCATGACATAATTACCTCTATGTAGCAAACTCCTTGAGGATCGGAGGTCCCAATCAAAACAAGGTCACAAGGCACTTCATCATTTTCACGTAGCCACAATATATTACCTACATGAATATCCTGGGCTTGGATCTACATCATTGTAACAAACCCCACCCAGGAAAAAAAAAATTAGGTTCACAGATATATATATATATATATATATATATATAATTTTAAATGATAAAGCTTATGTAACTCTTACTACTAACAACACAGAATCAGACCAAGTTTCATGTAAGCTAAGTAAAGTTTGAAGTCTATAGGCCGTTTTATTTCATTTTGCAAAGAAAAAAAAAAAAATACTTTATGATGTAGCTTTTTTAGAGATTTTATGGTAAAGCTTACGTAACTCTAACTGCCAACACAGAATCAGACCAAATTGCATGTAAGCTAATAAGAAGTTCATAGGCCTTTTTGTTTCATCTTTCAAAGAAAAAAAAGTGTTTTATGATGTTGCTTTTTTCAGAGGTTTTATTTTCAGAAGCTACCATTTTTAGCTTAAAGGAAAGAACTAACAGCTTTTTATGTTTTTTTCTTTTAAACCGAAAAAAACTAATCTAGTGAAAGATTAGTTTTTTCCTGAATAGGCTTAAATAAACATACCCTTAAATTATTTAAATGGCACAAACAGGTGTTTGACCACAAAACTAGAATCACAATATCTTACAAATTAATACTTCAGGCAGGTCTAAGAAATATTACTCTCGTAGATTAATCTGTACACTCATGGTCATGGTCACATAAAGATTTTGGCAGGATAGTGAACAATAAATATGGTATATAACTGTATATTGCTAATGAGTACATACACTCACTAAAATCTGGGTGTGGGATACAGTCACTCATTGTTTCCCATGGCCTCATTCATTAGAATGAAGAAAAGAATGGCAAGCATCCCATATATAGGTTACACCACTAACCATTTTATAGTCCAGTATTTCTTAAAATATTTCTTATAAGATAAAAGTTAAATTCTATTTTGCAGAATATGCATGATATATGAAGGAAAAAGTTAACATGCAATTAATCATCACAAGAATGGACCAATCACACATGCACTAGTCTCTGACCTTTTGAACCAAAAAATGGGGATGGCAAAAGGGAAAAAGAAATTTAACAGTCTAAAGAAATAACAGGGAGAACATAAAGTTTGGGAAGAATGCATATTATTTGATGAGTATACTCCTTGCAGATGTACATAATTAAACTGCTAACTCAGACACAAATGTATACCTAAAAATAGCATTCTAATAATTCAAAAACCCAAACAGAAACCTCATACCTTATGCATAGGGTTTTGATTAAAGTCAAAATCATCTACTGAAATGAAAGAGTAACGATATCTTGGAAAAATCAACAGATATTCCTTTGCGATGAGAAAATTCAAAATGATGTATAGTTATTGAAATGATGATCAATGGCTGGAAACTGCAAGCCAAATCTTTTCTTACATCTTTTACTGTTTGGTTGTTCTGTTCTCAACTCCAAAGAAACACAGAATGAAAATATATTTAAGAAAATTAAATATGCTTCGTACAAGTTTCTTGATGCCCTTCTTGACAACCCAGACTTCCTTCTCATTTGCCTTCTTGTCAGAAAGATATCTATTATAATCATCCCATGCCTCTTTTGATGCAGAGACAGCAAAAATAAAGATAAGTGGACCCCATGTACTGGCAGGATTTACTGGAGTAATGAGAGGCCATAACTGCAGGCAAGCTATCAGCAAAAAGTACTGATTCATGAACCGGCTGAAAAAAGGGCGTAAAATCAGACAGATTAAAGATATTTACATTTAATAAGAAATTTAACATGAAAATTCTCCACCCAAGAATAATTCATTTTGTTTAATTAAAAAGTGCCTTGGTCATTCATAAAAGATAAGGAAGTGTGAACAAAATAAAAAATAAAAAAAACAAAAAGAACAAGGCTGAATCCCTAGAATCTAGGATGAGTTACATGAATGTCAAATTAAAATTGTTTGATAATTGCAAACCAATTTTTTATATTTGACCCTACATGCTCCTCTAATCTTCTGAATTCTACCCTTCTAGTGCTAATTGATGCATCTCTAAAAATTGAAAACACGCAGAAGATCCAACAAAGTGAAATTTCCCTCCTTGCAATCAAACCTTGGTTATTCAATATCAAAGATAGCATTGGTAATCAAACAAATACGTGTTGCATGTGTTTGCATAAAAAATTATGACACTTGTAATAAAAAATGATGATTAAGAAGTAGCATCAGCAGGATTACCTGAACTGTTCCCATAAATTTTTTGGAAGAAAGTTTAATACAGTATATTTTCTATTTGATATACGATTATCACAGTAAAGATCATGAGATGATTCCTCATCATCAATGTAAACATAACGCTTCATTGTTGAATTCTGAGCATTTGCTTCCGTATAGATTATCTTCTACACCTTCATTAAAACACTCAAATGGAACAATGCTGAGGAAACATCCAACACTCGTATTCTACAAGTATAAGGGAGAGAGAAAATCAGATTTGCACATTAAAATTGTTATCATGAAATCAGAACCTAGGAAGTATATCACCAAACAAAGATAACAAGATTGAAGGACCAAACCCAAAATCAAAAATATTTACCACAATTCTCAAATACACATGAGCATCTCAATATGCAGGCCACATTAGTGCAACAAATATCATGCTATTCTCAACATATCTAAATGCAAAATGCTACCAAAGTATTCAGCATCCAAATCAAGACGTCCTGTGTATAATACCTTAAGCCAATTAGACTCAAGCACAACAGAATGACAAAATTCATTGAAAATAACAGGGAAACTTAACACGCAGAAAGGTACTAAATAATCTTATAATCAACTACATATCAGAGAAATCGCCTCGCGGTGAATAAACGAAGACTGCACCAAAGTATGGCAGTGGAAACACAGCCACAATTTCACACATCAATCCATCGCAGCCTTACCATATCCAACAAAGTACACTTCATATTTTTTTTTTCCGGAGCAAACAAATAAACAGATCACTTACAGAATAAGCATCATGCTTTACATGCCAACATTTGGAGCTGCAACAATAGCAAATTAGAAATAATTTTGAACTACGAAAAGCTCATTCCACAAATTTGGAAATTAAACTAACCCTGGGAATCAACTACACTAACTCTCGCCAAAAGTTCCACACGAAACGTAAAACGCCAATTTCACTCGATTAACAAGAACAATCGCCATAGTAATATGATGTGAACTCTTTCAGTGCTCACATCGACTAATTCCTAATCGCGAAACTCAGTCGTCCTAATACGAAAGGAAATGAATTCGACAGCAAAGTCGTTTTGCTCATCCTAAACATATACCAATGAAATGTAAAGGAAGTACCAATCAGCTAAGAATCCACGAAAATCGAAGTCGGATTTCGACGCCGCGGGTCCTGAACTATGCGTTCGATTTCGATAAAGAGAGCTTGGGCATGGGATGATCAGAGATCGTACGTGTAAATTGACCTCTCTAACTCTCTTCCCTTTCTGTTCTGCGATGGTAATAAATACGCGTCTTTCGTATAATATACGATCCGACTTCAAATTTTGTTAATGCTCTACGCCCCAGTGGAGCATTCTTCTGTTTCATAGCCTTAATTTTGTTCCCTAAACTCGGGATTTTCCACTTTTTCATCTCTCGTTTTTTATTTTAAAATTATTTTTTTATATAACATGTATTTTTATTTTTTAAATAATTATTTAATTATGCATAAAAATAATCATTTAATTAATTTTTTAATCATTTAATTCTATATTGTTATTACAAGGATAAATATAATTGTGGATATCACCTAAATATATCAACATCTCTGGAGGATTTAATGTTTTATTCACACCCTTGATTTGCGTGTTTAGTGATTTTATTGTTCAACATAGATTAAAAAAATTAAATGTTATATTAGCCAACGCAATTATATGACGTGAGTAGTCTTAGCTTATTCTTTTTTTCACAAGAGATTGCATTTTGTAAAATGACCATCAAATGAATACTGAATAGAATGTGTGATTTTTCCTCAAACCTCATCTAGATATTGTCTTTAATATGCTCATTACATTGTCAATTTGGAATGAACAAATTATAAAATATATTAACACATTTAATATAGTTCTAATTTAGTACTAAAATTGATTGTTATCTTAGATTTTATTTTTTTTATAATGTTGTTATCTTATATTTTCATTAAGTAAAAAATATACTATAACATGTTTTCTCAAATAATCCTACGACACTTAAATTAAAGTGGCGACAAAATCTATTAAAAAATGTGTGTTGATTGATATTTATTTTATATTTTTTTAATATATATTTAAGAACACATAATAAGACTTTATATAATAAATTTTTATTAAAAATTATAAAATTTAATTTATTGATAGTATAAAATCATAATTTTTCAATAATAATTTGTTTTTAATTTTTTATTTATACTATTTAATATGATTGTATTTATTGATAGTTAAATTTAAATTTATAAAATAAATTAAAAGAATGTCTAGAAATTGATTCACCTGTTTAGTGAGTAGTCTTATCTTTTCTCTAAATCTTAACAAAACAGTATTATAAATCATTAATATAAATTTAATTATACTTGTAATTTCTAAGAGTATAATATTTTCAATTTTTATTTAAATTTTATTTATTTTTACTAGCACTCTATATTTGAAAAAAATATTTTGTTACTTTTTTTACTGAAATCAAAAAATAAATTTTAGATAAAGATTATTTAAAAATTTAGATTGATAAAAACTAAGAATAAACATAAACCAAAGTTAAAAAGCCAACTCAAATCAATTATAAAAAATGGACCAAGTATCATATTGGATAAAAAATGCAGGTTGTATTTAGTAACACAAATTTAAAGTTTATTTAGAAGTTTATAATTTAAAAAAAAAACTAATAAAATTATTTGATCACCCCAAATTAGAAAAAATACAACTCAAAAATTATCAGTTTAAGAAATACAAATATTCACTACGCCAAAAATAGATAAGAGAGCAGTTTCATTTTAAATTAGAGTGCGTTTAAAATAACTCTAAAATTTGGTATTATCCAATATATTACATTTAGTAACACAGATTTAAAGTTTATTTAGGAGTTTATAATTTTAAAAAAAAACTAATAAAATTATTTGATCACCCCAGATTAGAAAAAATATAACTCAAAGATTATCAGTTTAAGAAATACAAATATTCACTACGCAAAAAATGAGATAAGAGAGCAGTTTCATTTTAAATTAGAGAGCGTTTAAAACAATTCTAAAATCTGGTGCTATCCAATATATTATATTTAGGAGAGCGGTTAAATAACCGCTTTCAAATGTTAAGATTAGAGAGCGGTTCCGCGTGAAACCGCTCTCCAAAGTATAAGTATAAGATTAGATAGCAATTCCACGCAGAACCGCTCTCCAAAATATGAATTTAAACCGCAAATTTAAAATTTAAAATTTATTTATTTGTGAGTTTTCTGTAACAAACTAAAATTAATTTATTGTTACGTTTAAATTTTAATTTACAAGTCTGACAATCAAAATTTCTTCATTTTTATCACAAATCAAAATTGAATCTTTAGTTCATACGCTATGTTAATCAAAAAATCATATCTGCACAAACTAAACAGTAAAAAGAGAACAAATTAATAAGATAATTCACTGTTAACAAAGTGAAAATGAAAGAAAGGGAGAATGAATGATTTACCGTTAATAAAGAGAAAATGAAAGAATGAATGAGAAGAATTGTAAAAAAGGTACCTACAAATGTGAACGAAAAACTGTAAAAATATAGAAGATGAAAAGAACTTACAAACGTGAAAGAGAACAAATACACCAACTTTGTTAACGCATAAAAGATGAAAAGAACTTACAGAGGTAAAAGAGACCAACTTTGTTAGGAAGATAAAGAGATTTATGAGTTGAGCGTGAACGTGTTTCATTTATAAAAGTTAAAGACTTTAGAGAGCAGTTCTTTATTAACCGCTCTCTAAGAACAACTTTAGAGAGTATTTTAACATTAACTGGGAGCATTTTAACGTTAACCGCTCTCTAAATGTATTGTTACAAAACGATTTTTACTAACCGTTATCTAAGTTAGCGCTTTAAAAGCTTATTTCTAGCGTAGTGATTTTTCATAGCTCAAACATTCCAATAACTAACTACATTTTATGCATTGTGTAATTGTTTTCTTTCTTTGTTAGATCGTGACAAATATAATCAACTGTCTAGAGATTACTTCTGACTCACCAACATTCGTGCAGGTAATAAAAAACTATTGGCATAAGCAAAATACAAGAATATTAGATATTCATCATCAATTTAATACAAATATGCTTATACATGAAATTCTTGCCAAAACTGAAGATATTCTATGATGGATGTAAGGAGATCCCTTGTTAGTTGTCTGACATGCCCTCACAAACCAGATGGAGCTGTGGTGGTGATGATGCTAAGTGGCCTAAATAATTTTTATGCTTTAATCATTCTATAAATTAAACATGGGATCATCTTTACAAAATATCATTTAATGGAAAATAGGATAGAGCAGGGTGGAGATTGAGTTTTCACAACTTGAGGGCATCATTGATGATGTGGACTTTTGTTCTAAGCTTGCTAAAGAGGATTGTGTAATTCTTTTTCCCTGTGAGAATTTTCTCTAATCATTAGAATTAAATGTTTTAGTGAGAAAATAAAGTTGTTTTCTATCCTATGGTTATATATATATATATATATATATATATATATATATATATATATATTAACCCGACTTCCTACGAAATTCTGACTAAAATAAGAACCTAGAGCACTAAATTAAACAAAAAATAATAAAAGACTAAATTAAAACTTAAATTAGAGTAAAGGATGGAAAAACTAATTTTATTTAATAATTTATTATTAGATTTAATGAATATTAAGTTTCTAATAAAAATAATATTATTAGCTATAGTAGTTTATAACATATCATAATGATTCTTCTTGTTTTTACTTTTAGCAGTGAAAATATTTTTAAAATTAAAATTAATGAAACTTACCTGCATTCAAGTACGTCTCAAGAGAGGTTAAATAAATTCATTATTTTATGAATTGAAAATAATTAATTTCTAAAGTTGTTTATTCAAATTCAATAGCAAATTTTGTATCATAGAAATAAGACGAATATTTTTTAAGTAAATACGCTTAGGCCAACTTTGTCCAAATCTCTTTGTTTTGCCCAATGCTTTGTTTCATACCCATGATCTTTTTCTTTTTCTTTTTTTCAACTGTTCCCCAACTTGCTAATTTTTGTTTATAAGAATCAATGATGTTATTTATTAAATCCATATGAAATATTAATATATTTATTTTTAAAATATTAAATAAATCACAATCATTAATATAAAAAGAGTATAAACGGTTCTGCACTTTTTTTTAATCATTATTTGTACTAGAAGCACGAAAACAAATGAATATAAAATAAGATGGCTTCAACACCATTTCCAAAGCCTAAATAAAAAAGTCCTGCATCTTTTGAAAACCAGTCTGTCTACTGTCTACACAATACGCATGACAAAAAAAGATATTAAAAAATAGGCCATACTTTACACGTCATTTTACTATACGATTTTGTTTTTTAAAAACTGTATGAAATGAACTCTCAATTTGATTTTCTCCACAAAATTTTATTATTTTCTCTTGCTTGGTTGCCACTGCAGTTATATTTAATTTAACTATTCAAACCTTACTTTCCGGGTAGGATGCTTGTTCAAAAGCTCTTTGAAAAATGTCGTATATTTAATAAATTGCATTACGACCAATGTTTGCTTGTCGTAGTTATATTTTATGTATCTAATTATTTTCTTTATTGCATATCAGCAATAAAAGAACACAAAAAAACAAGTTACATGGAACCCACCAACGTGGATTGCTGTTGCTGACAATTATTGACAGTAACAGAACACAAGTTCCATTTGTCTTTCTTAATTGGATATTTTCCCTACCTACATGTTCCTTATATAATTCACTTCTATTGATTGGCCAAATTCCACTACACTGGGCAAAGAGAATGGAGAATGGAAGTGAGAAATGGAATTTTCAAGGGAACAGTGGGTTGAATGCTTCATCCATGTCTGTGAGGGGTGTCTATAACATGCTGATGCAGAGAATCAACAACAATAAAGACAAGAAACCCGTTGTTCGTCTTTGTCGTGTAGATCCCACTGATAACCCATTGAATCGGACTACCCCTGTTGCTTGTGATGCTGTTGCTGATGCTGTTCACTCATTTAACTTCAACTGTTACCCTCCCACTGTTGGCTTACCTCAGGCAAAGAGGTTTGTTCACTCTCAAATGCTTAGCTATTACCAAAATGTTAAAAAGTTTATTAAAATGATTGAATATTTAAATGTATTTCGATAATTTTTTAGTATAATTTATTAAAAACAAGGTGCTTTTAGTTTATTAAAAAGAGTTTATTGAATAAATACTTAAGTTTGTTCCTAAACAAAATTATGGTCATGTTAAGAATTAGTTAAATGAAAAGCTAATTAAGTTAAAATTATATTGAAAGAAATATATGAATATATTAATAATAATTTTTAATAAAATATTGTATTTTTAATTTCTTAATCACTTCTACAGTACTGGTTAATATATGCCTAAAATTATTGTGTGATGTCATAATACGTAGTGTTAGTTTGATAATTAGTAATAAACTAATAGGTTATATGTTTTCATGTGGATTAAGTTCGCCAAGTCTTTGCTATGCATGTGTTGAAGTACCAAATCGATTGAATGATTAAATCTAAACTGATAGATTTTGTCATATATTTGAATTTGACATTTAGTCATATGATGGACTGCATATTTATAATTTCTCTTACAAAGTCTTTGGCGAAAATCAATTTAACATGTTTATGTTGATTTGGTAATAATTTACTATAATATCCAATAACAGGGCTATTGCAAATTCTCTCTCTTCTGATCTTCCATACCAGTTACCACCAGAGAATATTTTTCTTACCGTTGGTGGCACACAAGCTATAGACATAATGTTACCTGTTCTTGCACGTCCTGGTGCTAACATTCTCCTTCCAAGACCAGGGTACCCACAATATGATTCTCGTTCTGCTTGTTGTCTCCTTGAAGTTCGGTACTTTGATCTTTTGCCTGAGAGAGGTTGGGAGGTTGACCTTGATTCCCTTGAAAATCTAGCAGATGACAACTCGGTGGCTATGGTCCTCATCAATCCTAGTAATCCTTGTGGAAATGTGTTCACATACCAACATTTAAAAAGGGTACATATAGTCATACACATGTTTAGGAAAGCCATTTAAAAAAAAAGTTGAATCAAACACTCATTTTTGTACTTACATTATTTAGGAGTTTTGAGTTGAAATGTAATAACATTTTAGAGTTCTTGTAGGTTGCTGAGATTGCGAGGAAACTTGGAATCTTCGTAATTTCTGATGAAGTTTATGGGCATGTAACCTATGGAAGCAATCCATTTGTGCCCATGGGAGTGTTTGCACCAATAGTGCCAGTCATTACAATTGGGTCTTTATCAAAAAGATGGTTAGTTCCTGGTTGGAGACTTGGTTGGATAGCCGCATGTGACCCTCATGGAATTTTTCAGAAAACTGGGGTTAGTTTTTATTTTAAATCTTTCTGTTCTTATTATTATTAGTGCGAGAAGGGTTAGAGATTTCATTTTGAAGATCAAGTGGAATAAAATCTTAATTTCTTAGCTTAGGTAGATATAGTGGTAATGACTGATTATATTGTATGAATTATGCAATTGCTTTCTTTCTTTATCAGGTTCTGACAAATATCATCAGCTATTTGGAGATCACATCTGACCCTCCAACCTTCATGCAGGTAATCAATAAACTAGCTTAAGCAAAAACAAGAGTAATAGAAAAATAATGTTATAAAACTACATCTTTTTTTCTTCAACTGAATAAGTATACATACATTTAGAATTTAGGATCTCAGGGTGTTTGAAAAAGCTTACGAAAATTTTTTAGAGATAACTTATTACTTTGATATGTTTTTTTTTCATTTATTTAATAAATTTATTAATATAATTGAAGTTTATTTCAAAAAGTTTTATAATAAATTGAAAGGATAAACCTTAGTATAAAAAAAATATTAATAAGTTATATTTCTAAACGCACCGTTTATACTCTTTGCATGCACACGTCCTTTTTCTCATTTTCTTTTATCTGAAAACGAAAATGAAGACTAGCTGGTTTGCAGGCAGCAATACCTGAAATCTTTGACGAAACAAAAGATGATTTCTTTTCAAAAAATCTTAATATATTGAGGGAGGCTGCAAACATATTCTATGATGGATGCAAGGAGATCCCTAGCTTGACATGCCCTTACAAACCAGAAGGAGCCATGGCTGCAATGGTACGTGGCATAGAGAGTTTCAAGGTTTTCATCATGTTGTTAATTTAACACTAGATTATCTTTACAAAAGATGAATTAGTAATAAATTGAATGGAGCAGGTGAAGATTAACTTTTCAGAAATTAAGGACATTATTGATGATATGGATTTCTGTACCAAGCTGGCCGAAGAGGAATCCGTCATTCTTCTTCCTGGTAAGCATTTTTTCTAGTCATTAGAATGCATGTCAGATTCATCAATTTGGTGAATAAAATAGTGACGATGAGAATTTCTCTTTATTGATAAATAATACTAGGCACTACGGTTGGACTGAAGAATTGGGTTCGAATTAGTTTTGCTGTGGACACTTCTGATCTTGCAGCTGGCCTTAGCAGGATCAAAGCATTTAGCCTTCGACATGCAAAGATGCCATAAAAGTCATGGCACGGGGGAGGTGTTGGTTACTTATTTGTACGAAGATAGTTGCCTTTTATTTTATAATACTCTGGATTTACAAGTAAATCAATGCTATTCGAATGCTGCCATTTATTATTATTGTTATTATAGAGTACACTCGTCATATTTAAGGGACGGAGTTAGAATTTTGGCTAAAGAGAAGTCCAAATAAAAAAATTAAATGATATAGAATAAATAAATAAATTTAACTATCATGTTATTCTTCATTCACTTAACATTGTATTTATATATAAATTTGGTATAAAAAGTTTAAGAATATTAAGTTATTTTTGTAACCAACAATCTCAATTCATGAGAAAAATCAATCTAATAAATAATAATAATAATAATAATTTTAGTTATTATAATGAATGATCTCCAACTCCATTAAAGATAGAAGGTTTATGGTGGTAGGTAAAATAATTTCATAATAGCTAGTAGATGGATTTAGATTCAGTTTAATAATTGTACTATCCTGTTATGTTATTTTATATTTTTGCTTAAGCAAAAATGTAAAATTTTGCTCAATGCAGGCATCAACTATACCAAATTCTAATCCCTAGTAGATTAGTTGATAATAAAGTGAGCTAAGAAGCAATTAAGCAAATAAATGAAAGTTATGAAATTAAATTACGAAATATAATATAAAATAACTCATCTTAATCATTTATAATTAAAAAGTAACTTTAAAATGAATTCTAATATTTTTACTTTAATTAATGAGTTATAATTTTTATTAATAAAAATAATAATGTATATATATATATATATATATATATATATATATATATATATATATTAGGGTGTTCCACAACATACATATGTCGGACAAACTAAATCCTGCATTTTCAAGTTGTTAAATTTTCTATTATTAAATTTTGTATATTCTAAGCATTTCTATTTTATGTTCATTCAGTCTTTTTTTTATTATTCTTTTCATTTATGTTTCTCATTCTCTTTCAAACGAGGAGGATTGAATTTGTCTCTTCTCAAATAATATTTTAAAATCCTAGTTAAATATGATCTGAAAATATATTCCATTTTCATTTTAGAACCTGATTGGATCAAATGTAATTATCCAACTTTTATTGATTTAGTTATGGTTCCATAAATACTGAACACAACAACTAAATCCCCTGTCCAATGACATGAAGTCTTTTTTACTTTAAGAAATTGCATTGGTTTTTTTTAGTTATTTTCATTCCAAGATATCCGATACAAAATATGTTTATATAAACTCCTCAATAAATATTAATTATAAAAAATAATATATTGAAATTAACTTATATGTCTTAATGCTTTGAATTTTTTTATCTAACTTATATAAAGTGATATAAAATTATAAATCAATCATAAATTGCACATTTCTTTCGATCAAGAAAAAGTCCTATAAACTAAAATTAATCTAAATTAAAAAAAGGGTGTTGATAATACATTATATTTTTAATTATTTATTAAATATATTAAAAATATAAAATACGAGTTTTATTTTTAGTATAATAAAAAAAACTATTCATGGTTTTTAAAACTTTAATTAATAATTTAAAAATATATTAGAGGTTGTTAACTTGTTAAGTTGTTATTATTTCTTAATTTTTTGAAAAAGGGAAATGCATATTAAAAGCGATAATTTCTCCAACGGCTACTGCCTAAAATGTCAGCGTTCAAATTCAACAAGTACCACTGAAACAAGCTCCTCACAAAATCCACAAGAAACCTTTCCTTCCTCACTCACAACCACAATCACAATCACCTTTCAAATCATGGATTCATCTACACCACCATCTATTCCCATTTCCGAGAAACCATTACCAAGCCCCATCAAATCCCCATCACCCTCGACTCTTTCCCCTTCACCTTCGCCCCTCGGAAAGGCCAAGACCCGCCTCGTCGACCGCCTTGAAACTGCGGCGGAGGAGTCGCCGGAGCCCGCCGGGGTGCGGCGGCGCTGCAAAAGCAGAGCACCCCAAATGGGCACCCTGGCATCACCAAGGAATACTAGGAAATCAAGGAGTCGGGAAGAAAAAGATTCGAGCTTGGTTGAAGAGGTTGGAAAACCCAGAAAGAGAAGACAAACGGGTCGAACTAAGAAGGAAAAACTCAACTTGCTTCACTCTATTCATCCTTCAGCTTCATCTCCAAGTATGCGTTTTTTGGTTCTTTCTATGTTTTCTTTCGTTTTCCAATTCAATATTGATGACGTGGCTCTATGTCTTTTTTGTTTTTGCGATTTTTGTGTTCAGAATGTGAAGAAGAGAATGGTGGTGATTTTGATCGTGTTGGGCAGGTTGTGAGTGATTTGATTATGTGGAAAGATGTGTCAAAATCAACCCTTTGGTTTGGGTTTGGGTGTCTTTGTTTCTTATCTTCATGCTTCACTCAAGGACTCAACTTTAGGTCAGCAATTTCTCTTATCACACTTATTATTATTATTATTAAACTTTTCATCCACGTGGAGAAAAATCTGAGACGTTTTCATTTCAGTATTTTCTCGGCCATATCTCAATTGGGGATTCTCTTCTTGGGTGTTTCGTTTTTCTCAAACTCAATTTGTCAAAGGTACTGCAATTTTTACTTCTGAATGCCGCAAATAGATTAATTTCATTGTATTATGTTCTGTGACTGTCTCGTTTGTATTTCAGAAACCGGGTTGCAGATAAATGTGAAGTCAAGCTGAAAGAAGATGACATTTTGCGTCTTGCAAAATTGATTCTTCCTGCTTTAAATTTTGCAATTTCAAAGATGAGAGCTCTATTCTCAGGGGAACCATCCATGACCCTGAAAGTAATCCTCAAAGTTTTTTATCTTTCTTTTGGGTTTGTCTAATTTTACCCACAGTTAAATAACCTTATCTGAAGTGGACAATGGAATTTTGTCTAAAGTTAAATGCAAAATTAATATAATTTTTAATATAATGTTTTAACTTAAAAGTCTACTTAGACAAACCATTTTGCTTTTAAAATATCCCAGGGTCCATGATTGCTTTATACTACCTAAGTAATTGGTTGGTCTTTTGTTGTTGCAGGTAGTTCCTTTCCTTCTACTAGGAGCAGAATATGGCCACTTAATTACTATCTGGAGACTATGTGCCATTGGTGAGAACACATCATAAATGAATTCTATAACCTTTTATCACTTATAGTTTAGTTCAAGTCATATTGCTGAATTGCTAAAATATATACACACACGGACAGGATTTTTTGTCAGCTTCAGTATCCCAAAGCTTTATTCTTGCTACACTGCTCAGATAAACCAGAGAGGTACGAGTCCACCTACTTGCTGAAAATTTCATTGATCTGTCCACATTTTAATGAATAACAGTAGAATTTTTTTTGTTGTGTAGCTGAGTGCTTGAAATTATGTTTGTTGGACACATGGTGTGCTTGCACTCACAAGAAGAAAGTGATAGCATCAGTACTCATGACATTCTGGAATCTATCTTCAATTAAAACTAGAATCTTCACAGGTAAAGTCCCTAGTAAGAAAGTTGGCTGCAGTTTGTGGCATTGCATGAACTATGATTTACGACAATTCACTTGTTAAAATTTAGCTCCATACACATTTGCTCTAGTGTACAGCCTTCTTCAGAAGAATGTACTAGTAGTCAAGGATTTACTTGGAAATTAGAATATTATAGCAAAGTTTGTGATAGTTGATTCTGATGAAATAGTTTTTCCTTGCAGCTTTTATATTGCTTGTACTATTCAGATGTTTAAGGCAACATGTGGTGCAACAATTAGAAGATGGAGAAGAACTAGTGAGCGAGAAGGAACAACAGCAAGCTTCGGTGGTGGCAGAACAAGAAGAGAATGAGCCACAGCAGGCATTAGTTGTGAGGGAACAAGGGAACCAAAACTAGCACCTTAGTTCATCCAGCCATCTTGCACCTATAGATGGGATGGTATTTTTCTGTGTAATTGGGTGAAAAACATGCTTGATTATGCTCCTTATTCAAGTTTCTGCACAAAATTTTAATCCATCCATTTTACATCCAATTGACTTCAATATTCAATTATAAAAAGAAACTTCATTGTTGACTTTCTGTGCAAGCACTGAATTGGTTACTGAATGCCCATTGCGCACTAATCAGTGTTTATCATTAGTATCTAATAACTATTAAGAATCAACTGACTTTCATTGAAGAGAGGTCTAATCACTCTTTTATTGATCCAAATATCATGGTGAGAAACTTTTTTTTTAAAAAAGGAAAAAAAAATACCGTGCTTACTGAACCATACTGTATGTTGGGATTTTCTGAATTCCAGCTTCCACCATTTATTTCCTCATAACAATAGGGTGATCCCAACTTTATGCTTTACATATAATACGATCCTTTTGGTTAATGTAAAAAATTTATTTAAGGATAGCAATATATGTCCTAATAGATAAAAATTAATAACAAAATGTTAAATAGTATAATATGTATGCGGATTATGGGTGCCATTAAACATAGAATGAAATGGAATGCATTAGAACATAATGGAATAAATATTTTATCTTATTTTGGAATATATTATGAAGAAGTAGAGCAAAGTTTCTATTTTGTTATTTGGAACAGATTAGTTCAGTTTAGAATATATTTGTTTAGTTTTCAGAAGTTGATTAGAAATCATATTCACTTCTCTCTCTCTCTCTTTTTTTTTTTTTAAGTTTTTTATTTTTTCAATTTTCAGTTAATTCCATTCGATTTTGTGGTTCACATTAAATTGGATCAATTTATGGCAAGGATAAAATACAATATTATAATAAATCAAAGACTAACTTAAATTGTTCATCCACTGCTTATACCTCTGCCACACTTTGAGAAGGAGGGAGATTTACAAAAGAGATGAAATGAGATAAAATCAGCTTCATCAACTTTCACTCTATTCTATCTTTTAATTTGTCATGAAAATATATAACCATGAAATCATTCTATTCTCTCTGGCAACTGAGACTTTTTAAGAATGATGGCAAGCCACATGCAATTTTTCATGCACCTTCCTTCTCATCTTCCTTTGCTTGTGCTGCATCTCCACGGCATCTTTCGTCTGCCTCACACCCTCTCTTATATGGGTTAGTAGTTGGAAGTCTACAGTTTGTGGGATTTTTTGGGCTGCATACAGGAATAGTGTTACGTGTCATTGCCCCATTGCCGATATCAGTGGCCTCAGCATCATGCACCAAAATGGAACAAACCAAGAGACCACTAAGGAAAGGGCCCAACACTGCCTTTAACATTGCCATTGCCATTGTTGTTTGCTTTAGAAGGATGCATGCGTTTAAATAAGACGTTCTTTTTTTCTTCTTTAAATAACTCTACAACTAGCCATGCACGAGAAATTCGCAAAACCTCAAAATATATACAATACAAATGTGTCATCACTAACAACATCCTCTAGTCTCCAAGACAATGAAGGAATGTTTTAGGTAATTATTCCCCAAAGTTGTGCTAATCCAAGAGATTCAAAGAAGTTATGGTTTTATGAAAATTACTCAAGATAGATATAATGTGCTTTAGTTTAGCGTTTTCACAAGTTTTAAAATTTTCCCCCTTGAGATGAAACTGCTTTTAAACAACCAAGACATAGAAAAAGGAGATTTTTTTTTATTTGGATAAAAGTGATACTTTATAACAAATTATTTATTTGCTCATAAAAAAAAAGAAATAAAGGAAGAAAAAAAATGCAAAAACACATAAAAGAACCCTAAGCAATAGAAGAAAAATAATATACTAATAAAATAAATTTAGGATATTTTTCGTATCATTTTTCTGATTATATAACATAAATTTACTGCATTTCCTGATTATGTAATAGTAATTTCGTATAATGTAAATATTGTATCAAAAACTTTCACTATTTACTAACTTTGCCTTCCATTTGGATTGCAACTGTTTTGGGCCACCATATGACCCATAACAACAGGCTTTTATACAACAGGAATCTGGCCCAACATTTATTAAATCCCCAAATCCGAAATCAAAAGCAGAGAGAAACTAGGGTTAGGGTTTAACTTGGATTTGCGTGATCGATTTCGATTCGATCGATTCTCTCTCGCACGAAGCAGAAACCCGAGTTCTGAATCCATGGCAACAACTACGACGAAGCGAAAGCCAGTGTTTGTGAAGGTGGATCAGCTAAAACCGGGTACCAACGGTCACACGTTAACGGTGAAGGTGGTGAGTTCTAAACCGGTGAAGACGGTGAGCAACCGGGGCGGTCGATCGTCGGTGTTGACGGCTCGCCCCTCGCGCATCGCCGAGTGCCTCGTCGGTGACGAAACCGGAACCATAATCTTCACTGCACGCAATGAACAGGGTACGATGATGTTTTTTTTTTTTTAGTAGTTTGGATTAACTGTTACGTTTGGATGTTTTGTTGAGTATGTTTAGTGATGGGTTTTGAATTTGCATGAATTTGATGTGCTTTTGTTGAATTTAAGTGTTGAAGGCTATGTAAAGTTGTTGACTTTGAGATAGCGATACTTTCTGTCATTTCAATTTTAAGCACTTAGGGCGTGAAGATTTGAAGTTCCAATAACGCTTTTATTTCTTGTACGTGTGAGTAATCATGCCCTTGTTTAAAAGATAAAGTCTTTTTGCTCTGTGAAAAAGAGTTCTTTATATTACTGCAACGACACTGAATGTTTTCATGTTCACTCACAATGGAAATTGATCAATTTCAAGCCTCATTGGTTTTGGTTGGATTGAGTGTGAGTCTGAGATTGATACTCGGAAACCCTGTTTGTTCTCTCTATATGTGGATTGTGCATTGTAAGATATCAATGTTGTTAATGCATTCAAGTCTGTTAAACTTGTTTATTGTGTTTCCCAATGTTGGAAGTCAGTTTGCGCCATAGCTGATGTAAGCATTAGCTTCTGTTTGTATAAACAAGAAAATGTTTGTTGTCCATATGGTACACCTATTGTATTTTCTCGCCCAAACAGTTGTATTTTATGTGTGTTTTTGTTAGGATATCTTTTTTCCTGTCTTTGCTAAATGCTGTCATTCTTGCTTGTTTAGTAGAAATATATCAGTTTTGTTTTCATGTAATATAGCAGTGACTAATTCATTTACTTTTGTGCAGTGGACCTCATGAAGCCTGGATCAACTTTAACTCTGCGCAATGCGAAGATTGACATGTTCAAGGGATCTATGAGGCTAGCAGTTGATAGATGGGGGCGTCTTGAGGTCGCAGAATCTGCAAATTTTGAAGTTAAAGAGGATAACAATCTTTCATTAGTTGAATATGAATTAGTCAATGTTGTTGAAGAGTAATTTTAGCTTCTGAGAGTGAATCTTGAGTTACCAGAGGTTCTAATTTTTATTTTAACCATTGAACATGTGGCTGCGGTGCGGTTTTCATGTGGTACAGTCTTGCTTAATTAGTTTTAAGATTGCTGTGGTTAATGCAATTTCAGGTCAATTTTGAAATGTGACGATGCTTATTATGCTTAAAATGCAAAAGTAAATATTGTTATATGTTTCCTCAATTTAATAATGTATCAACCCTTTTTGAACAAACCATTTGGACTTGCATGCGAATATATTTCTGAACCCTAAGGCAGCACCAAACGAACTATGCATATTCAAACGCCAATTTATTCCTTGTACCTCCTTTTGGGTATATAAAATGGGATTATTGGTGGTCAGTATTGGGTTAGAATTATGGGTTCATTATCGATCCTCTCAGAGCACACGGTAATTAAGACTTATTTCATACTACAAAGCATATATGTAAGTATGACATTAACTGAACACTTGTTTATGGTTCAGTTTCAGAACTGAATTTATGTTCTTCCTTTTATTGTTTACTTATGATATAGTTTCATTTCAAAGCTGAATTTACAGATAAACTTATTTAAAACAATAATTTTATTAACTTCATTCTTATTGAGTTTAAGCATATAAAGTAATGATTTTTTATTTAAATTTTTTATTATATTTTTAATATGAACTATTAGTTTTAAATTTGATCTTAAAAATTGAGATAAATAAAATCATTAAAATAACATGAAAAGGGGGAGAATTTGATAAAACTGGGTCGTTCAACTCTAGTAAAATTGTTTATATTTTCGTATTTCATAAAATTTTATGCGGTCCATGTTTTATGTAAATTAATTTCATAACGTCATTTTTTAAAATTGATATGCAAATCAAAATCAGAACTTGTAAGAGTTCAAATATCCTGACATAAATGAAGTAAACTACAAAAACAGTCCAACTCTGATACCCACGAAGTAAATTTCGAGCATAATCTGTATTGCATTCTGTAGTTATCACATCATGACCCCTCTCCTTCTGAAAGTTACAAAAAATAAAGTAAATGAGAAAAAGAAAACACCACCGTCCACCGTTATATTATACATAAAGATAACAATCCAAAAACAAGCAAGTTACCATGTTAATAAAAAGTTTTTCCTAGGCTGACAAAATTTTAGGCCAAAAATACAAATGACTGGGATAACGATGTACCCAGCCAAGAACAAACTTAATTGGTTAGGCACAAGTAATTGATAGACAGAAAGCGTGAATTAGACTGCCATAAGGGCAGGATGCTTAACAGGCGCCACTTGATTGAAAAATAGAAATTTCACTACATACTGGAATTCTGCATTCATTAAAAATCCCTAGCTGATTCAATACGGAATTTCTCAGTAGCATATCGTAACATGACAACTTTATCCAACATATCGCAATACAATTTCAACTTATTTGCCTTTAGACTCTAAAATCCAGGTGAATAGAAAATAGCAGCCTTTTATGCATCTGAAATAGAAAGAACAGAAGTACAGGCGATCTAGGTTTTTAAAGTTCCTTTCGGCCTTTGGGACTCAATTTGTCCCCCCCCCCCAATGGCTCAGTGAAGACACTGTCTCACGAAGCAGATCTGTACATAAAAGATTGCTTCAACCTTCAGAACATTTATCACACATCATCATTGCAATCTGATTAAACAAAAGAGATCAGTATACAATTTAACTATTAATTGACCCTATAACGTATGATGCCAAACAAAATTGCATCAATTATGGTTTTAATGACAGAATTTCAGCAGCAGTCACATAAGAGAAAAATTATATAATATTCCAAACAATCAAACATAGGTGCAAGAAATAAACTAAATTCTAGAGAAACTCCCACAAGAATGTCATGGGTATTTATCTTAACCTTTTCATAAAAAAAATTATATATATATATATATATATATATATTTTATAAACTCAGGACCCATAAAAAATTACAACTGTCCGTTTTATGTTCCTGACAAATCTACTAAAGATGCACTAACTTTGAACTTCATGATTCATAAACAAGAGACACTTTATTTTCTAAAACACAAAGCCAACTAAGAATCCAGCTCAATGACATTCACCATGCCAACGTAATAAACAATCCAAGAGCAACAAACTTTTTTGGTGATAGAAATCTAGCAATTCTTTCTAATAGGAATGATTTTTTTGTTTTTGGTTAAAGCCCGACATCAAAAGAGGTCCATGTCATCCCAACCTTGCTTCTTGATCTTCAAATAGTCTTCTCTTGGCCTACAAACAAAACCAGTATGTACGGCTTCACTATAAGATTTAGTTGCAAGAGTGGGGAAACAAGATTAAGGGAATCACTTAATCCATCAATCTTATGTACACGGGATTAATATTTATATAAAGATATGATTCAAGCATCAGGTAGATCGACCATCTTTCTTAATATAAGTATGGATAATTATATTCCATATATATATTTTGGAAGCATTATATATCAGATCTAACAAGACTGTATTAAGTTTAACCCAAGAACTGAAAAGAAATACTAACTTACCGGAAAATTAAATTGAAGAAAGAACACAAGGAATCCTACAGATGTTTAGCTACCTAATTCAAAAGTAAAATCCAACCGTCAGGCAATTGAAATGATCACAGACCAAGTGATCCAAAGAGTGGGACCACATAACAACAGTCTGTGTGTCCTAATTTTTTCTCAACATAAGCTGTAAATATCTTCCAAATCCCCTTCTCTTCTATCAACACTCAATAAAATCCCAAGTACCACTACCAACAAACAAACAGGGAAAAAAATACAGTTTTCAACAAAAAGATTGAAATTAACTTTATAACCAAAACCAAAATAAAGCATATCGAAAGCAAAAATGCTTAAAAATTTCATACAGTGCTGCAGACAGAAATCTCCATAAGCATTTCCACTTTACCCAAATCATCCAATAAACAAATGCAAATGAATTGAATTTTTCATCATAAAACAATCCAACCAATGCAGTAGTAGCACAGACACTACCTTCAGGAAGCCAACCGTAGCTGCGGCGAGAGACAGCAAGCATTGAAGTCATCAGAGCAGAAGCAGTTGCCGTATGGTATGGTAGCATGGATTCCACACAAAAGCTCAATTCAACGGGACACCTTTCACAAAATCACAAATAATTCATTTCCGGTATTAACACACCAATCCAAGTAACACTAAATTTATCACTAATAAAAAAATAACTTAATAGAGATAATACTACCGTCCAATTTGTTCAATTAAACTTACATATAGCTTCTGAAAATAATGTTAATTCTTAAATCTTTTTTTTTATCAAATTCAGATTTTTCAACAAAAAAACAGAAAAATCTCAAACCTTCAAAATTCACCGCCGATAAACGAGTAATTCAATTAAAGTAACAGTAAAGTCACGAGTAATAAACTAAGAACTCAACAAGTAATTTAAAAAAAAATGCTCGCGAGTAACAAGCATTTTTGTTATCTTTTGGAAACGCTCGTGAATCTGTGTGTCACGTAAATTACCTGACCGTGGATTGTGAAAGAGGTTTATTGGAGGCAACGCGGAACGGAGAGCGAGCCGCCTTAGCTTCCGAGCCGAGACCGAACGCGGCGCGTCGAGCGGAGCTTGATCGGAAAATCGACCTCGCGGCGGCGGCGGATGCCATTTTGTTATCGGAAATTGTAGGGTTTGCGTAGGTAGCACACTCCCGGCAAAGGGTTCTACAACACTAAAACCCTGCATGAGTTTTCGGTTAATGGGCTTAAAACATAAAGTGGGCTTAAACGCATTGAGTCTCGATTAGCCCAAACTATTAAAAAGGCCGTCACTTGAATCAGGTCGTTAATGGACGAGACCCGGTCCAACATCTCGGATTGAACCGGTTTGCGTAAGTGTTCGTCGTGTTTGCATTGGGTTTCTATGCCCTAAACCAGTTTCTGAAACCTTCTTTCTTCATCTGAATTTTCGAGTTGGTGAGTCACTCATGGCTTCGTTATTCAAGGTAAGCTACACTGAGGATCATGTAATCTGATTCAAGAACTACGTGTTTAGTTTTATTTTACAATTTAGTATTGCTTTGTTCTGTGGCGAATGTTGTAGGATCCATCGAAGCTTTCAGCGTATCGAGATAGAAGGTTCCCTGGAACGCAAGAGGAGTTTGAGCATGCGCTTATAACTTCAACCACCGTTTACGTCGGAAACATGTCGTTTTACACGACGGAGGAGCAAGTCTACGAACTCTTTTCCCGTGCCGGAGAAATCAAGAAGATTATCATGGGATTGGATAAGAACACAAAAACGCCGTGTGGATTCTGTTTCGTTTTGTAAGACTCAATTGCAATGAAATTATGGAAACATGAGTGTGTACTGTGCAGTGTTAATTGCTCTGATGTAGTTGCCATTGAGGAAATTATTTGTTTATCTATCTAAATTTATTTTTGCTAGATATTATTCTCGTGAAGATACTGAAGATGCTTGCAAATACATAAGTGGGACGATACTGGATGATCGTCCCATTCGTGTTGATTTTGATTGGGGATTCCAGGATGGAAGACAATGGGGTCGTGGTCGTAGTGGTGGCCAGGTGAACTTTGAACAGCTCTCGTGTCTGTGTTTTCAGTGGCTGTTTTTGTTGTTGGCTAATTGTAATCTGCTTCTGTTAATTTTTGCAGGTGCGCGATGAATATCGCACTGATTATGATCCTGATATCCTTTTAACTTTTTGGCCTAAATTTGTCTGAAGTCTGCATCATGGCATGGTTTTTTTTGCTCGACTTTCTGCTCTTTGTAAATTGCGGCAATTCTTAATGTTCAAGTTGATACAAAATTCGGTTAGTTAATGGTTAATCTGTGCCGTTAAGTGTATATAATCTACTTTTGCCTTAGTTAGCGATTATAATTTTCTCTAGTTATGCTCACATTATAAAGAAAACGCTGATTCTGCTAAAGATTTCTGTAGATTCCACTTGACATTGAGTTATGAATACTGGCATGCCTTTGGTTGATCATGAACCAGATATACGAGTTTTTGTCTGCTTTCTTTTTGATCATTTTAATTGATTAGATCACAGATAGATTGTCATACTAGTGTCTTTTTAGTTTCCTTAATTCCGACGTACGCAGAGGTGGTTACGGGAAGTTGGTTCAGAAAGAGTTAGAAGTTCAAAGGCAGCTTGTAGATTATGGTGCTGGTTCTTTGGGCTCTTTTCCTCCTGTTATTCCATCTTCTTGTAAGTGACTACAAACTATATTTTGCACAGGCGCTCAGCTACTAGGAGTATCTCTGGCTCAACATTTCACTTGATTTTAGATCACTTTATTTCAAACATTTATTTTTTTATTTAGTTTGGTTTTCAGTTATAACTACAATTGTTCTCTGCAAAATGCATGGGAAAAGAGGGGGAAGAAAGGTCGATTCAAAATTCCCTCTCTTGCATGGTAATAAGTAATAACCAAATACCCTTGAGTAGGATGGAAAAAAAATAATCAAAGGTTGACGTGTAGTAGAGTATTGGACTAATGTTAGATGTATATAGACTAATGTTACTTACACGTTGAGTGATGCTGTGTTTATATTGCTAGTTGGGCCTAACATTGTGCCTATCTCTGTAAATGCTTAAGAGATGAGGCAGCCTCCAACTATGTGCGTTCTTTTTATTAGCTTGTCCACTCCTGCGTCCGATTTATTTTGCAGAATGAAGAAATGGCACAGGTTGATGCCTCCAATAGCCAATGTCATCTGCAATATATTTATCTTCCTAATGATTAATGTTCAGTTATTTATGTCAAAAATTCAAGTTGGTCTAATAGAATTAATTTGTAAGTATTAGACTTCTTGTAAAATGAAAATGTCATTGTGGATAATGACTTGCTTGCGGAATCTAATGAGCATTAAAATGATCGTGATGATTTTTGCCAAGTTTTAGTGCTTATTTATGTGAAAATATACTGGATTTTATTTTAATGCCTTTCTGCATTTTTTGTTCAACATTAATTAAATATTGTCTTTAATTTACAAGACAACCTTTTTTGTGAATTAAACTATTCAGCAATTTTTCCCTTGCAGATGGCAGACATGGTGGAGGTCATGGTCATGGTGGTTCCCATCGGCATGGTAGAGGTAGTTTAATTTCAATACAACCTTTTTTGTCCTGCGATTTTGCTTTTTTAGAAGCACTTAGAAGCGTTGCTGTTACTGAATTACCTCGGAATTTACTATTAATATAAATTTAATTTGTCTATTCATCATTATAGATTACTCTAGGAAGAGACACAGAGATGATGACCGTCACACACACGAGCCCTCGAGAAGAACTTCAGATCACGAGTCTCGGAGGAACACAGACCATGAATCTAGACCGGTATTCTCCACAAACCTTTGCGTCAGGCTGATTTTAATCAATTATTTTATAATAATTCCAATTGTCATACCTTTTTGTGTCACGTGGGACTTATTTCTTCAATTCAAGGCATGATGCTCGCATTATCATGTTTCCTCGTAGTGCTTGATTTTTCTAAATCAAATTTTTTATTTGATGTGGCAGGAAAAAAATCCACGATTTCGTGAGAGTGGTGATTCTGATGAGGAGGAGGAAGATGACAGTAGAAAGAGACGGGCTTGATCAGAATTGCATACTTAATCAAATTTTAAATTGTTTTTTTTTTTTAATGACATGATCAAAAGTGGAAGATTGTTTGCATATCATTGAAAATTGCAAATATCTTACTGTTAGTTTATTAGTTTAACCTAGCATAAAATTCTTGGCCGGATCTGCTACATATGGCGATGCTGTTGTTTATCTTCTATCAATTGTCTTGTCTTTTGTTTTTGGCCATATTAATCAGATTTTTTTTTAATCTTCCTTCTGATCACATGGTCAGATAATTTGATAGGGTTCTGTACCTTGATATCATAAATTGATAATAAACGTCGTACTTAAATAGGCCTGAAGAAACAATATAAAAATTGATATGTATCATAAACAAGAAAAACTACCATGTTAAATAAAAAATTGAATTGAAAATTTATATATGAATTTGTTGCATTGGGACTGAACCGATCCTACCAAGGAAAATCACAACCTATTCATTTAATAAATCAGTTACGTACATGACAGGATGTCATACTTCCACGTGCAATTCGGTTACCCCAGCCAAGGTACATCCATTTGCCTAAGAAATCAGCTGAGGACGAAGGCACACTCGGAAGTAGAACGTTGCACAAACTGTATGCTGACATTAATGTAACAACACTTTCCAGCTCATAAATATTTGCTGGATCCTTTTCCAGTATCGGCTCAGAAAAACTCTACTCAACTTCCTTGATAATTCTTCGTTTCCGTAATGGCTGTGTTGTAACACTCCCGGGGGCACTGTGAGCTTTCCTCTTCTCTTCCTTTCTTTTCCTAGCATCCGCTATAACACGCATCAAAGCAGCAGCTTTAAATATCGGTTTTGGCAAGTGCCTATGCCTGTTGAGCAAAACCAAAAGTGAAAACATTGAGCACATGGCAAGAATTGTTTGTTAAAATATGATTTTAGACAGTTTTTCAGGTCTAATTGTTCCCACAAAATATTGATCAAATCTTGCCTTGCTATACGGTTAACTTCAGGGAGATGCTTGTAGCGTTTCTTTATGGCCTCATGATACTCATGCATCTTCCGTTCCCTTGGGAGAATCTGCAGCATGATCACAAAGTAATCCTCAGGAAATCAAGAATCTCTAATAGAAATGTCTAACATAACCAATAGGCAGCAATATTTTGATACATACAAACCTCCCAATTTTGATAATCTAAGAGTCGTCATCATCTTAGATGGTCCACAATTAAAATATGATAGAGAAAGAACCACAGAACGGGGCAACAAGGAAAATCAATACAACTAAAATGTATTTGCATCTCCCCATTCTACTCCTAGTATGGCCTTGTCATTTTGATCCTTCAGCAGGAAGCCAACCATGAACTGAAAATGTTCACCCCTTATACTAGATTGTGTCTATCTCTTTATTAAAGTGGCAGCCATGTTACGAGTTAAAATGAGCAGATCCAAATCCAAAAACAAAATGTAAAAAAAAACAAAAAACTAAATAAACAAACATAACATAGACTCATCTGCCAATGAGAGAGACACTATCCCCATCATGCAGTTGGAATTGTTCCACACATCCATTATTTGACTTAAATCTCGGTAAGGGATGATTAGTAGGCAAGATATCTTACCACTCCAAGTTGTTCTGATGCTTTAGCCTTCCAAAGCCTGAGGTTAGTGTCATCACTTCCTGATATCACGTAACTTCCATCACCGCTGAACTTGACACAGAATACCCTGTGCATAACAAAGATAAAGATAAGCCTACCATAAAATAATAGAAATCTTTCAGTAAACACTGCACAAACAGCAATATAATTTTGTTACACGTCCAAGGTTTACATTGGTTGAAAAGTGATGCAAGTAATCAAACACAATAGAATGTTCAGAATTCATAAATAAAATAAGTGAACCTTTGCATTCTCTTAGTATGATAAATCTCCTTGCTGTGACCACCATTATACTGGAAAATTCTCACCTATAAATCATAAATCATTAACAGATATGACTCAAACTGAGTAAGGACAAACGTTAAAAAAGACTAAAAACGAAATTGAAGGGAACTAACTGTTCTATCATAAGATCCAGTGACAAATTCTCGTCCAGTTGGTGAGTAGTCAATATCCATCCTGTAGAATGAAATAAGAAAATGCAGGCATGATAAAATATTGAATTAACAACATCACAAAATATTTAAAGTCATTTTACACTGCAGAAACATGATCTTTGTGAACACATTTGGCTTCATCCAACTTCCTCGAATCATAGCTATAGCAGTTTCCATCTTCATTTGCCTGCACGCCAATGAAATTTGTCGATAAAAACACAAATATCACTGTTGAACATCAATGCCAAGATTAATATAACTACAAAAAGACTTCTCAACAATATCTCAGATGCTAGCCATAAGCAAAACCCTAAGCAATAATAGCTTCAGAATTGTTCGATAAATGCATCTGACAGACTTACAGCTGTAAAATTTATGGGTTCCATCGGGTTCCAAGATATAGAATTGGTTTTGGTCTGTCAAAATGAAGTAAAAGTTAGTATCAAGAAAAGATTTGGAGTGGGGGGTGGGTAGACCCAATTATTATAATGTTGTGAAGAAATGTGCCAATGTTATGTGTGTGAAAAAACTGCAGCCATATGCCAAATTTTAAACCAGTGATGAGAAATAATTACCATCATTATCATTTTCCTCACAGGGGAAGCCATACGTAAATCATACAGAATTATGCTCCGGTCACTAAAATAAGAAAACAGGTTAAACAAACAGGTAGATTAAAATAAGTCAACCAACATTTTTCCTGATGTATCAAGTAAAGTAGATTAAACCAAAAATTATTTAACTCTAAAAAAGCAGACCTTCATAGACAATCTCTTGGGAATATATTTCATATATCTTTATATTTCATAATTTGTTTCATTATTTAATTAAGTTTAGAAGTCAACTATTAATGGATATAGAGCTTAGTGTTTTGTCTTTAGAATACATCCATCACCTTATTATACACGAGAATATTAGAATCACTATTCCTCTCAATAATATTGAGAATAGTTCTCCCATTGTGGTATGTTCAAGGAACTTGATTACCTTTACTATCAAACTCATTATAATTTTTGTTCTTTCATCTTTGTTTGCTCCTAATCTCTCCACTGCAAGTTTCTTTGTATTGAGATTTTAGTCTAGAGCTCTTGTTCTGCTGTGCATTGTTGCCAGTTGCTACGATCCCAGCTTATTTAAGTAGGTTCGTAAAATAAACCTGCTCTGCTCCATTTTTTCCGCAAATTAGCTATGCTTCCAACTTATTTATGAAGAATGACTATCTTTCATCCCATGTTAGCTAGATTTCAACCTGTATATCCTAACATTGGCTCTGTTTTAGCCGGTCATTCCATATACTGGATCCATTTCAGCCTTTCTTTCTGTAGACTAGTTCCATTTCATCTGCCATACAGTGGCTGCAGTCCATCCTGTCTAGCCACTGCAACATGACTCCATTCCAGCTTATCAGTCCATAGATTAGCTCATTTCCAGCTTAAAAAATGGTTTATATTTTTAGTGCCAGTGCCAAATGCAGTCTGGTCTTGTTTCCTACCACTGGTTTATATTTTTAGTATGGTTAGCTTGCAGAGTGATAGAATTTCTAGAGGATATCTCTGAATATCATCATTGTATCAAATAGTTAAGAGTACTTTAGCTAATCTCTTGGGAATAGTTTCCATATTATGCATATTTCATGAGCTGTTTCATAATTTAAATTGGAGTAGGGAGTCATATAATTACAGCTCAGTGCTTTGTCGTCTGGAGTACATTCATCACGTCATTATGAATGAGAATATTATTTAGAAACTATATTTCTCTCATTACTTTCTTACCTATCCATATTCCTACAATTTAAGCAAATACAAGAGCTACTAGATTAAGACCAATGTCTACCACCCAACAACAAAAATATAAAAAAGGGTTTTCTCACACTTAGGATCCTATTTAAATTACAATTTCAATCAAGTTAACAGTACCAGGTCTTTAATCTTGAAAACGGAAGAACATTCTGATGTGATACTAAAACAAGCAAGAATATCAACTCAATAAAACACTAGAAATAATCAATAATTAATGGAGAAAGAACACAATTCAACAAGATCAGCAAACACTAAAAAAGCAACAAAGAAAGAGCAAGAAATATCAGGTTATCTATGGGGAAAAACTGAATTGTATCATAGATAACAACATCATAGTGCTTGACCAATAGGTAATCTCACATACCTAGCTGTGGCTGCCAAGAGATTTGGTTCTCCAGGATTAAACCGAACAGAAATTGCAGTATCTGTTCCCCATTCAAAAGTGTTTACTGGCTGAGACCTGCAGAAGGGAAGTAACAATAACATGAAATAAACATACAGCTTAGAAGAGTAACCTGCAATTCTAGTAGTACAAGTAATCAGAAATTGACATCAACACCTGTTGTGATTCCATATATCTACTTGAGCGCCAGCTGTGGCAAAAACCTCACCATCCCACTGGTGATCAACAGCCCTAAAAATTAAAGAAAGTAAGCCAATTTTCAGTAAACATAAAAAAAATAGTAAAATAAGTAAATAACAAGTTTCAAAATCTTCCTCCAGGGTAATTCACAACGAAACTTACCAAAATGCATTCCTCCAAACATAAACACTTGCTGGCTGCACAAAATAAAAAATGGTTTACAAAACTGTTAGTATACCCATTGAAACTCAAAGGAAAAAAAAAAAAAAAAAGAGAAAGAAAACTAGCACAATATTTCACCTCAACAGTGCTCTTAGCTGAGTCACCTGACTCCATAAGAGTATTAACAGGAACATTCCAGAGTCTGATACTGAAACAAATTCCAGTTTACATCAGAAAAATTAGATATTGAAGGCTAAACATGATAGCTTGATTCGGGAAAGAAACTGAAAAGGTTGACTCCTTACGTGCAATCAGTCCCACATGACACAAGAATGCGTCCATCTGTAGATGCTGTCAAGCCTTTTACTGCACCTTGGTGACCTGGAAACTGACAAACTGTTCGTCTTTTTTCCCCCAAATATAACAAGCAACAATATTAGACACATATAGTAAAGTCCCAAAAACTTTAACATGAACAACCAACCTACTGCCCTTGCTTAAAATTTAGTTAAATAATCTAATGCATAACCATTCATCAATGGTTTTCTTATACATATATACAATGTTTATGCACTATTAAACAAATTTATCATATAATAACTACCATTCTTCATAAAGCCAATATACCCTCAACCAGCAAAATAATAAGAACATCTCAAGTCATATTTGACACAGCAAACTAGGGTTCATTAATAACTAATTAAAGACATAAGTACTTCTTTTGAGATAAACTTATTATCTACGTCCATAAATGCAAACAGAAAGGAAAGAAAGAAGAGGTAGCTCTCAGGCATTCTTAAATAACATAGATATGTTCTTCATTTCAAAGAGACAACTAAACATCATGTACTTGATTCAAGTTCCCGTTAGAAATAGTTCTTTTATTCTTTTTGAAAAAAATAAAATAAATAGACAAATTTATTACCTTGAAGCCAAATCCCAGAGACGAATTTCTGTAAACACAACAAAAACAAAAGTTACATATCCTTCAATAAAAAAAATAACTCCACTTATCCAGCATAGTATGAAGATAATGATGTACAGTGGACTAAGCATAATGTGTGGAAAAAGGGTAAAGCATATTCCATATAGCAGGAAAATCTGACTAAGACGACCAAAACGACACCCTAAAAAACAGAGGAAAAAAGTACAAGATATGGTTGAATAGTAAAAGTGAAAGGATGCGTAAGGCATTTCCAATACAATTATTTCTTATAGAATTAAAACATATAAGAACAAAATTCTAGCAAGTCATCTTCATTTCCCGTTAGCAATTCAAAAACATATATACCTCCAAGAATAAAAATCTCCCCTTGTCTGGAAGATTTCCCGTTCTCCTGATAGAATGTAACTACTCCCTGAATTTAAAATTCACTATCTAATTCACCGTAGTTTGAAAATTCATCTGATATCAAAACTAATTTTCACCACTTCTCCTCAAACCTTCCCCACCCCCAAACCAGTAGCACAATGGCAATACTATAATTCAGCCATTACTTCCTACAAGTATACATAAAATTGCTGGGAAGTGACTAAATAAGGAAAATTGAAGTACCTCCATCCATTGAACCAGAGAATATCCCTTTCAACTGACTAGGATTCTTTGCCATACACGAAACAGCATCTATATGTCCATCCATGGCTCCTATGAATGGTCTTGCAAAAATCTAAACTCTCAAAGATTTAAAACAATTCACAAACAGACAAAGTTCACAGCATCGATTAAAAAAACACAAGAGGGGGAAAATCTGACCTTGTCCAACTTCACTGCATTAAGAGCACGCACATACTCCACCGCCTTCTCTTGAGGACGAAGGCTAGGATCGTAATTCCGGAACACCCTCTTTTCCAAATCAAAAGGGCAAAGTTAGAGAAAGCAAAAGACGATAAATTTTATTGAATTCAGTGACATGAAGAATGGCAGTGATAAAGGGTCATGTGCATTCAATCACCTGAAGGTCTTGGCTTCGTTCTCGGGTGAACTCATCAACTGAGCGTGATATAACTTTGACCTTCATTGTCTGCAGAAGCACACGTAGAAAGAGAGACCACTCTGTTTCGCTTCTTAACCTCCAAATTCCGAAGCTGCAAAGAGCTTGGAGTGAAAAACCCTAAAGTGATTGGTTAAGGGTTTAGAGTTTAGAATTAGCACAAATAAGGGTCAACCCGATTATCCGATCCAAAAAAAATGTTGAATTGATGGATTTAAAAAAAAAAAAAGGTCAAGTCGGGTTAAAGTTTATAGAAATCAATCCAATCGGGTAGAGTTTCGGGTCCATATCTCCCGTTGTAAATATTAAAATCGACCCGACACAACATAACTTAAAAAAATTATTTTAATCTTTGATTATAGGTCAAATTATTTTAAAATTTTTTTATTTTAATCCCACTTGACCCATAATTATTAAGTATTTAAGACTTAAAAATTAGCTACAGCCAATGATTAAAAAAACTTTCTGTTAAAATAATACATGTCTAAGATGTTAGGTAATAAAAACTTATAAATAATAATTTTTTTATTAAAAATCGTAATATTTAATGTTATCACTACATTAAATTCAAATATATTATTTAATTTTTAATAAAAATTTACAATGCATACATTTTTATTATGTGTTTTAAAATACGAGGTTGAGTTAAAATATGTCAAAATCTGAACTATAACTTTCCCCTTAGCATTTCCTTGGATACCCACTTTAACAGTAATTACTAAAGAAAAAGAAACAAGAAAAAAAATAGATAAAAGAAAAGAAAAAAGTAAATGTTCTATATTAAACTTCCAGCATCTTGGATCAACTAACAAAAAGGAAAACATCAAAAGAGAAAGGTAAATAAAGGGTTTTAAACTTGGAATAACGTGTTTGACCAAAAAAAAACTTGAAATAATGTCTCGCTTTAATTTCATGGTGAGAAAAATAACGCAATGTCCAATTATAGTAAAATTAATTTTGATACAAATCAATTTTAAATAATTAAATATATGTTTAAATTAATTTCTTTAAATGCATTAAAACATGTGTACAATAAGATTATTTAAATTAAAAGTGAAACAAACATGTCCTTAATCAGATTGCATTTGTTAATTGGTAAATATTGGTTGTCCATTAAAGTTACGCTATCGTACACTTTGGATGCATCCATTGTTCGAATGATGAGCGTGCTAATTCTACGCCTTTACAGCAAATGTAACATACAAGCATTAATGATCATCACTAATAATTTCAGAAAGCATGCATAAATCATGTTCTTCCACCATTCTTTTCAGGGCATTTAAATTTTCTGTTTCATTTCAGTATATTAAAGAGCTTTGTTATATATTTTCTTTCTCATTCTCCGATAATCTTTCTACATACTTTATAAATCAAGTATTAAATAAAAAATATATGCATTTATTATCTTAAAAACATAAAACAAACTCATTACTTTATTCTTCAGTAATTAGGAAAATTTGTAGCGAGAAAAAATAGAAGATTTCTTTATTAAATAAAGACTTGCAATGATTATCGTAGAATTCACTAATTAAATTTAATGAAAGCTATGTTTCTATTTCTTTTTGACATAACTCTATCACATTTATTCAACAATACAAAAGATTACAAATTCATGAAAATGGTATTATACGGAGAGACAAAAGATTAGAGTCTCCAATTAAAGAGTGTCTAGTACCACTTATATTTAAATAATTTTTTAATAAAATATCTCTAATAACAATATAGTTATAATAGATTATTTGAATTACTTAAATAGAAGCAAAAATAAGTACTTAAGAATCAGAATTCCCTGTGACATCCTCATGTTTTTGGTTGATAAATTCCAAATAATTCAAGTTCTTGATAAAAAGGAATCAAAGGCAAGAATTTTATGCCATATAATAAGGCTTGTGCCTTCTAAATGTTACATGAACACAGAATGTTATGTAGTTTCCAAATGGAAAAATACCGAAAAAGATAGAACCTCACACTAGACAAATGATAACACTGCATACTTTCCATCGCTTTGATCAGCAAAATATGAAACCGTGCAAGATCAAGGATGAAACTTGAAAGTAAAGCATCACAAATCTCTCATAACTTCGTAATTTTTTTTTCTCAAATGTGTAAGCACTGTGTCTTTGTGTCACTCTGACTCTTCGAACACAAAGGAACAAAAATTAAAAAAAATAAAATAAAAAATCAAGGAGTGTACCCTTGGCTTGCTTGCTGCTTCTCGTACTCTTCCATGGTATCAAACTCATTTGGATACTCATTTTTCTCAAAGTACCCTTCATTTTCAGTGCTTCCTCTCCCTGATTCATACCCATTGAGGTTATAATTCTCATTTTCAGTATTCACATGATAATAGTACTTGCCATTCTCTAAGAACCTTGTGTCACTCATTCCTTCCTTATTTATCTCATATTCATTGTTGCTGTTGTCTTTCTTGGAGTACTCCTTGCCATTGTAGTTGTTGTTGGAGTACAGGTTGTTGAAGTTATTGGAGTAGCTATTTACGTAATTTTTGTTGTAGCCATTGTTGTAACTGTTCCTGTACTCTTCATTGTTGTAGTTGTTTCTGTACTCTTCGCTGTCGTAGTTATTGTGGAAGTTGGTCTTGGGGAAGCCAGTTTTGTAGCTCTCATCATTGAAGTCTTCATTGAGAAGCTCATTTTCAAAAGTTGTGGTGGTTTGAGTCTCCTTGGTGGGAGAGTATTGGTTAGAAGAAGAACCCTTACCATACAGGCCATAACCATCTCCTCTATCAAAAAATTCAGGCTCTGGTGCCGGCCCAGATGGTATTGTTGACCCAGTTGCTGGTGAAGTTGAAGGTGCTGGTGTTGGTGTTGGTGATGTTATTGGTTCTAATGTTGGTGCTGTTATTGGCTCTAGTGTTGGTGCTGTTACTGGTTCTGGTGTTGGTGCTGCTATTGGTTCTGGTGTTGGTGCTGGAGATTCAGCTTTGGCTTTGTTATTAGGAACTTGAGGATCTTTGGCATTGTAAATGGTCCTGAAATGGGTGAAGAGGCTAAAGACTTTGCCTTCTCTGGCTTGAATTTTGGGGGAGATAACTAGTACCAACAACAAGAAGAAAGAGAGTTGGTTTCCAAAAGAAGCCATAGTGTGAGGAAAGACAATGAGAGATGGATGAGTGTCAACAGAATGAAATTTTTAGGGTCATTTTATAGAGAGATCTTGCTTGCAAATCAAAGGCCGATTAATTATGCGTGGATTGTGGAAGGAAGAATGACTGTGGGGTACGATAATGACTTTCATGCCATGTTGCATGTGCAAGGTTTCTGAATGGAAGCATGGGAAACACAAAGATATGTAGTGCTTAGACAGCACTATTGTGCTAGTCAAAAAGTGACATTTTCTTTTGTTTCTTTAATTTGTTAACAAGTGAGAAGAGACCCTCCTTGCCATATGAATTCCAAAACAGATGGTGGGCCTACTTTGTTATGCAATTATAATGAAAGTGGTAGTTGAAATAAAAGAAGGGGAAGACAAAAAATGAAGACAATTTGTAAGAGGGAGTGTGAAACTTTGAAACAGGTAACCCATATCACTTCTGGGTCTACTTTATTTAAATGGAAATAATTAATGCAATGCAATTTTCAATCGAGCAAATTTAGTTACACCCACCTTGTGGACACACAACTAAGCACCAATTCTGAAAGGGATTTACCCGCTGTAAAGGAGGAAAAAAAAAATTGAAGAATAGAATATGTGCATGTTTGGATCCAAGTTAATCTATAATCAGTTTATTTCATTGTAATGTAACTTTGTAAGAAATTTTTGATGTTTAGATGTTATCAGTCAAAATTAATTTTGTCTCAGAATTCACATATGAACGGTATGATATAAATGTACGTTTTAGAGAAAAACTTTCAAACATAAATTATGTTATTTTCAACTTACTTTTAAACAAAATAAATTTTACATAATTAACTTCATTTCAATTCAAGTTTACAAACTATCTCCCAAACACGCGGTGTCATTTTGCTTAAAAAAGAATCAATTTCATTGCCCAAGGCCTTCTAAATGAATCAATTTCATCAATTAAAGTAACTGCAGAGAAAAGTTTTGTCTATGGTTTTTGAAAGCAAAATTGGAATTGCAAAAGTAAACTAAATGAGTGGCATGATTAGTTAAAAGCAAGTTTGCACTTTTGATATTAGATGTGTTTTGGAGTGATGTTGAAGGAACAGTTATTCACTTAGGAAACTCTGGCGTGATCCGCGGGAGAACAATTGAAAAACAAAGAGAAGTCCCCAACATGAATATGCCTTTTCGGATGGTAAGAACACTTTGACTTTTTACTTGACGTCTGATCCGAAATATTAGGAGAATTTATGGAAACGAGACAATTTTTGGGCCTTCTCTTTAGTAATGGAAACCCAAGTCCAAAAATATTCAAATAGTGTCTTCACATTGGGACAAAAAAGAAGATGGGCCCAAAGTAAAAAGTGCCAAAAAAAAAAGTTCCTGTGACCATGGCATCTCCTTCTGAAGACTTTCTTTCTCGTCGCTCTCACCAGCTCCGTCTTTTCATGTTTTGCAAAAACATATTCGGGGACAGTGGAGATTTTAAAAAACAATTATTTTATTTTTATTTATAGAATTATCACCTTATTTTCATTCTGCTTTTTATTTTAAATATTTGTTAAAAAACATTAAAAAATAATTAACTGAAATCAAAAGATGGACAGAGAAAATAATTTCCAAACTAAATCCCTTACATTTTAGAAGGGCTGAAGTTCAAATGACCAAAAATTAACGCTTTAATTGTATCACATTGTTATCATTAAAATTAGATTCCATATTTTTACGAAATTATTAAATCTCTGGGTAGCATTTAATTGATAATTCAGTACATGAAGGAACATAAAAATGTATTCTGTTTTATATTTGGTATGTTTTAAAAAACTCAGACAACATATTAAGAATGATATATTTTAATTTTACTAAAATAAAGAAATTAAGGAAATTAGAATACAGGGGTATGTTTTATTTGAAAAGAAGCCTTTTTATAATTATTTTAATTATTTTTAAAAAATATTTAAATAGAAAATTATAAAAATTATTTTTTTACCCAATTTCTGTACCATTTTAAAAAAATATTAATAAGCTAATATTTCTAGAATTATTTAAAAATGCAATAAAAAGTTTTATAATTTCACTTTTCATTTTTCTGATTCAAATTATGTTTGATTTATTTTTATTATTAATTAAATTTCTAGTTCAGTCTTTTTGTTTTTTAAAATTAAAACTCATAAATTATTATTTTTATTTGAAATAATTTTAGATTAAATTAATTTAGTTTTTTAAAATACTTAAAATTCACCAATCAAAATACTAAATCTTATACAAAATAAAATTATAAATTTTTCCCTTAATTTTTGAATTCAAATCTCACGCTTTATAAAATATTTAAAATTTAAAATAAATTAAAAAAATTTACTTATAAACTTTTGTTAGAAAATCCATACCTTAAATCTATCGCAAGATCACGATTAGTTGGTTGAAAACAATATTTTACCTAAAAAATCAATAAAGATACTAAATTTTAAAATAAAAACAATTAAAAATTATATACAATTTCTAAATAAATCAAAAGTGTTAGTGAAACTTGATAGAATGTATTTCATTCTATTCCACTAAATATTCATCTTTATTTCTCCTTTAATTTCGAGAGAATAAGGTATAATTATTTATTTTCTTTATTATGTTAACTAGTAATAAACAAATTGTACAATTTAGTGGAATATACTTAAATTATTAAACACATCAATTCTTAATTAAACTTATTAAATAATTATAACACTTGATAATTATTATATATATATATATATATATATATATATGATTAAAACTTTAATATCTATTGAGAGGTCTTTACTCTAACCATTTGATAAGGGAATAATTTCTCTAACATTATTTTAGAAACACAAGAATATAAAAAGATCCTACCATACCCGATTTTAACTAAATCCTTTTGATCAAACATCAATGAACATATTCTGATTTGTATATTATAAATTAATCCAAGTTTATAGATAAACAATCAAAAAAGAGATTACACAATAACCAAGTGAACAAAACAACACAACGCATTACTAAAAAGTCTGTTTATGCAGACGAAATTTTAGAGCATTACAGACGGTTTATGTCTGTTTGTAATATTTTTGTTGGTAAAGAATTACAGACGAATTTTTAGATTTGTCTGTAAATTACAGACGAAAAAATCTGTCTATAACTTACAGACGGTAAAATCCGTCTATAATCCGTCGGTGATATATTTTACTATTATTGGTATTTTTTGTTTATATAGATAGTTATTTACTGCTGTTCTTGATTATCACAATTTATAAACAAAATAAAAACTATAGATTCGACATCTAAATATTCCAAAATGATTTATAAAATATAAAGTTTAAATGTTATTACAAAGGAAGACAAAAAAACATCTAAATAAATACATTTAAAACTAAAATACAAGTCTTCATCAGGAATAATCTGTATGGTCATCATCCAAAGGAGCATCATTATCAGTAGACGAGAAGTCAATAAAGGAATGATGCATGAAGGTGAAAACCAGTGGTACTTGAGCTGGTGGAGGAGGAAGAAGAGGTGTGGAGCTGCTTGCTCTCATGAGCTCAAAATAAGCATGCATCTGCATATGTTGTTGCTTCATCTGCTACTGGACCTCTCTTTGCATTCTCGATGTCACCTTCTTCTCTATCTTCTTCTTCATTTTCTTTGCCCACTTCTTCTTCCATACACTTTCTTTGCTCTTCCACATCTCCTCATTCTGCTTCTAGAGTTCTTCATTGAGGGCATGGACCTAAGTGCGGACCATGTCCTCCACTTCCTCAGGTGCAAGAGAAGGGGCATCTCCAGTGACAGATGCAGGGGACATGGAGTCTGCAAAGCGGCCCCCTATGCCATAAATGCGACCTTTATAAAGGCCACCCACTGTTTGTGACCACATAGCATCCTCATCTATTGACTCTGATCCTGAGAAGATGCTTCCTCAAGCCTTTGAACATAGTCATCCTACAGTTCAATTCAGATAAGTAGATATTAGTTTGGAGAACTATTTAATAAGTCGCTAATAATAACATATATTATCAATAAGAATGACTTACATATGTGGCTTGAGATCATGTATCAACCCACAAGTTTTTGTCCTGCCTGCGAGTGTGTGTCTCCTTAAACAACTCTCCAGTTGTAGGTGGCCTCTTCAACGAATTCTCCTGCAATTGAAAATAAATCACAATCTCAAATATGAAATTATAGATAGAGTAAACTGAATTTTAAAATCACATACCAAGTTTGCCTTAGTGCCAGCCAGAGTCATAGACCCACCAGTATGCAGTGACCCCCCTTATTAGATGCCCTGTTTGTCTTGTTCTTTACAGAGAGATTTTTAAACTCATCCGTACCCCAATACTCCTGCAAGACATGAAGAAAGTTGGGTGTTATCCAATCAGCAGTAGAAGGGTCCTGGTGAGCCTCAGTGTACATCTGTCTTAGTCGCTTTGCAGTGCGACTCTTCCAGGCCTTGAAAATCATCTTTTCATCCTGGGGGGAATGGAGAAGTTGCTATACATAAACACAATTTCATTAGAAGAGGTACAAACAGTCATATGTAATTACACTTAGTTAAAATTAATATACTATTATTACCTTCCAATCTTTGAACCATTCCATCTTTGTATCCTTTGGCACCTTTGCAAAACTTCTGTAAGACGCATCAAGCATCTTCTTAATTGTATTTGTGACCTGATAGAGACCTTTCTGTGGTGGTATCCAACTAATAACACAATAAAATAAAACATAACTACTAACATTCACATAAAATACGCAATGTTAGGCATATTTGATTGAATTACTTACCAAGTGGACTCATCCCATGTCAAAGTTTCTAACGATCTCGATGATGTATGGGTCTGTGATGATTGTTGCCCGCTTACAGCTGGGACAGCAGTAGATCCCTCTCCTATGCCCTGTGTAGCAGGTGACTGTGTGACTTGTGTAGTAGGCGGTGCAGAGTGTGAAACTCGCTATATTGGAGGAGGAGGAGGAATATACCCAAGATTGGGCACCATGATAAATTGCTCTTG